TAATGCTGTTACCACATCAAAAACAGACCTGGAGTTATGTTTTGTTTCATTCACACATTTATTATTATTATTTTATTATTGTTATTACTTTATTATTAGTCTGTTTACAGCTCCAAAGCTCAAAATGCTCTGTTCCACCTTGTGATGCCATGAAGCAGTAGTTTTCAAGTTGACAGCTCCAGATGTGTGAATGAAACAAAACACAACTCCAGGTCTGTTTGTGATGAGGAAACAACATTATAACACACAATACAGGTCAAAAGTTTTAGAACACTCACATTTTTCCGGTTATTTATTGCAATTCAAGTCGTGCAAATCCAATGAAGAGCTTGAAATGGTACAAAGGTAAGAACAGAACAGCTTAAAGAGGTTTAAAAAAAAAAAAAGATAGAAGATACAAAACACAAATTCAAGCTCTGCCAAAACTACCTCAGGAAAAAAGAACAAGATGGAAAACTTGAAGTGTCCAGCACAGTCTCCAGACTTAAACCTCATCGAGCTGGTTTGGGATGAACTGGACAGAAGAGTGAAAGCCGAGCAACCTACAAGTGTCACACATTTATGGGAACTTCTGCAACAGACTTGGGAAGAACTTTCTGAAGAATATTTGATTTCTATTGTAAAAAGAACGAGCCACAAGTGTGTTCAGCTGTTATATCTGCCAAAGGTGGACACTTTCATGAATCAAAAGTTTAGAATATGTTGTGGTCGACAGTAAACAATAAAAAACTGGAAAAAGTGTGGTGTTCTAAAACTTTTGACCAGTAGTGTACTTCAGAAAATAGCGTAATTTGGGCCCTTTAACAGAGGTGATTTAGACAGGAAATGTAGTTCTCATCTTGTCTTATCTTGCTGATAATTTAAATATCTTGGTTTCAGTTCAAATCAAACACAGAAACATGAATGGGCCCGAGAATTAACCACAAAAGTACATTAAGCCTCTAGTTTGCGTTTCAGATGTAAAGAGGGTCTTGTCCCTCTTCTGCTCACACTCTATTTCCAACTGTCTCCTGATTCATGCGGCTTCAGTTACAAACTCTCTCTCCCACCACAACAGATTCATCCACGTGGCTAATGCTCTCCTCCTCTCTCCTTTTTCCTCTCTCTTCTCTCTGCTCTCTTTCTTTCTTCCTCTCTTTTTTACTGTCTTTAACCCCCCGCTCCTTTCCTTTCCTGTTGCTTCTGTCTCTTTCTCTCCTGTTTCTTACACTTAGTCTTCTCAACCCCGCTTTCTTTTTCTCTCTCTTTTATCTCTCTCTCTTCTTTATCTGTCTCTCTCTTTCTGTGTGTCTACTCAACCCCGCTTTCCTTTCCTCGCTTTCCTCTATTTCTCTCTCTTCAGTCTTTCTGGCTCTCTCTTTCCGCTTCTCTTTCACTCTCCTCTGTTTTCTGTCTTTCTCTTTCTGTTTCTCTCTCTCTCACTCTCTCCTTAGTTTTTCCTGTCTTTCTGTCTCTGTCTTTTCGTTTCTCTCTCTCAAATGCCGCTCTTTTTTCTGTCGCTCTCTTTCCGTTTCTCTCTTTCTCACTCTTCTCCTTTTTCTGTCTCTCTCTTTCTCTTTCTCTCTTTCTCACTCTCTCCTCTGTTTTTTGTCTGTCTCTCTCTTTCTGTTTCTCACTTTCTCCTCTCTTTTTTCTATCTTTCTGTCTCTCTTTTTCCATTTCTCTCTCTCTCTCTCTTTTAGTCCTCTCTTTTTTCTGTCTTTCTGTCTCTCTTTTTTGTTCCTCTCTCTCTCTCTCATTCTCTCCTCTCTTTTTTGACTTTCTATCTCTCTCTTACCGCCTCTCTCTATCTCCTGTCTCTCTTTTCCCTCTGCTTCTCTCACTTCCTCTTGGCAACCCCCCTTTCCTTTCATCCCTCTTTTTTTTCTCTTCCATGTCCCTGTGTCTCTTTCTTACTCCCCCTCCCACACACACACACATGCTCCTCAACCCCCCTTTCCTCCTTTCCTCTTCTCTCTCCATCTGTCTTCATCCCTCTCTTCTGTCCCTCTTATCATTCCTTTCTCTCTGTCTCTCTCTTAGCCCTTCCCCCTTATTTTTCCACTCTTCCTCTTGCTTACTCTCTCATTTTTCTCTCCTTGCTCCCTTCCTCCTGCCATCTCGCTTTCCTCTCTTCTCACTGTCCCCTCCTTGTTTTCTCTCTTTCTCTCCTCGATCCCCGTTTTCTTTTCTCTATCTCTTTTCCTTTATAATATCTTATTTCTCTCCTTTCTTCTCTTTTTCTTGCATCTTCTCTTTCACATTCCCTTTCACCCTTCTCATTCTTCCTGTTGCTTCTTCTCTTCTCTCCTCCTCTCCTTGTCTTTCTCCCTCTCTTCCTCTTTCTCTAACCCCCTCTCCTCTGCTTCTCTCCTTCTTTGATCCTCATCTTTCCTCCTACTCTTTCTGTCCCTCTCTCTTTTAGTGTCTTCCTCTCATTATCACTCTCTGATTTCCCCCTCTCCTTCTCTCTCCTTCCACCGCTCTCTATCTCATTTTTCTTTCTTTTTTCTACCCTCTCTCTCTTTCCTCTACCTCCTCTTCCCTCTGCCACCCGCTCTCCTTCTCTCTCCTTCCATCCCTCTCTCTCTTTTCTCTCTCTCTATCCTCTACCCTCTCTCCTCCCCCTTCCCCATCTCCTCCCTTCTTCCCTCTCCTTCTCTCCCCCTCTCCTCTGCCTTCCCTTTCCCCCTCTCCGCTCCCCGCTCTCCTTCTCTCTCTCCTTTCACCCCCTCTGTTTTTTGTCTCTCTCTATCTTCTACCCTTTCTCCCTCTCCTCTCCCTTCCCCCATCTCCTCCATCCTTCCTTCTCCTCATCAACCCCCCTTTCCTCTCTCTCTCTTTCTCCCTCTACCTCTCCCCCTCTCTTCCCTTCTTCAAACCCCCTTTCTCTCTCTTCTGTCCTCTCTTCTCCGTCTCTCCTCTCTCCTCCCTCTCTCCTCCTCTCCATAACCACACACACTCAGATCTTTGCAGACTCACTCTTCACGATGACTTCACTGGGAAATGCTTTGAGCTGCTTCCTGGATCTGTCCCAGTCTGACACGCACACAAGTCACTCGTCTTTTTAAACCCACCCGACTGCTGCAACTCCTCTCTGCACTCTGCAACCTCCACTGCACCCTATAATCTTTATTTTTAGTACAAGCTCAAACTTAAAGGACCTGTATGATGCTAAAATTACTTTCCATAGCATTTAAAGCCCCTATATTACGCAAAATTGACCATAATTGTGAGTTGTAAGCCTTGTTATAATGTTGTTACCTCGTCAAAAACAAACCTGGAGCTGTGTTTTGTCTTATTCACACATGTTTAAGTAATCCTTTATTATTGGTTTGTCTACATCTCCATCTTTTATTCAGTGAAGATGAGCAATTCCAGGGCTGAAATGATCCAAATGATTCTAGTGAAGGTGTATAGAGTTTAAAAACACAGTGAAGCACTTGGAGAACTCAGCCTAAATATGCAAGATTTGTGCGTTAAACATGTGCGAATGAAACAAAACACAACTGCAGATCTGTTTTTAACCAGGAATTACAACATAGATCAGAAAATAGCGTAATATGGGCCCTTTAAGAATGAAATAATGTTGTTATTTTATTCCCTCATTAAAAATATACCAGAAGCTTTATGTGTTTTTTAATTCATGCATGGATAATTGGTCTTTTATATTCAGTCAGTCTCCTTTTCATGAGCTCTGTTTGACTTTGTTTATTTTTTTTTTCTTTCTTCAATTTTACTTTTTATTTTCCAGTGTTTACTTTCTGTGGTTTTTCATCGAGGATTACCATGTTGTCCTTGTTGAGACACTGATCCAGGAATTTTAAAAAATGCAGATAGGTCAGCTTCCCCCGTGTCCCTTTTAAATGAAGTTAAACCTGTTTTGTCCCACACAGGTACATTGTTTGAGCTACAACAGATAAGACACAAACCACAGGCCCACTCCCTTTACTGGTATTTTGTCCTGTATACCTCAGTTAACATTATCAACAACATTTTATTTTTGTATCATTAACACATTTGATGCTTTGCCGCTAAAATCAGCAAAACTCCCTGGGGATGTGATGCTGACTGAAAGCAGTACTCTGTAAGAAGCTCAAGTTAGGCTTCAATCTGAGCTTTATTTTAACTCAGTCTGACATAAAAAGATGATTTAGTTGGACCTACAGCAGGTGAACACATAAAATTAGTCACTCTCACCTTTTTCTTGAAAATCAAACTCCTAAACTGGACCACGTATGCTCGTATTGATCACAGGCTCCAGAAAACGCATTCTTTAAATCCATTTTGCATTTTATCTGGAGTTTTCAGATGATCTTAACACTTTTTTGTCTGTTTTTTTGGACACCCCTGGTTTGTGGTGGTTGGTAATAGTAAAATTGTGACACGAGCGCGTAATTAAGGGCAATTATTATGCAGAGACCATTCATGACGAACCTGTGAGCAAGTATAGTCACATTTTCTTTGTGTTTTCGTCATTTTTAAGGAGATTTTTTTGTATTTTACCTAAACAAATTACATTTTATGCCTCTCTTTATTGTTGGCAGGGATCAAATTAGTTAAAAATAGGGACACCTTGGACATTTCTGGTTTAAAACTGGGACAAATCACTGGTTTTAGATAAATCCACTGGGACAGGGGACACAGGGCTCCAAACTGGGACTGTCCCGGGGAAACCTTACACGATGATAACTACTGAACACTGCCAGTACAGTAGAACACCCCACTGCAGAGTATCATTACACTATAATTGCTGTTTTGTAACTTGGGTGTTCTAAACGAGAAAGTTAAACTCATTAATTTGTGCTGTCAGTTGTAAATTCCTGCCATTTATAGACTGACAAAACCTTTATGGCGTTTGTGGTGACTATTGTCTGGAGTCGGCTCAAAGGGGTAATTAACTACACTGAATGACTAGGGCTAAATACTTTGCGAATTGTTGGTGTGATTTATAACTTGAATGTTATTTTGATTTGGCAGACAGCTAAACAAACATTTTTATTTCTGTTCTCTTCTTGCAGAGGGATCCAGACTACTTGAAGTTATGGCTGGAGATTTTCGTCAGCTCCTACGAAAGATGCCTGAATGTGGATTTCGAAAAGGCACCAACCAGGTAATAAAAATGTGAATGACTGTGGTATGATACAAACTAATTAAAGGTACCATGACTTGAACAAAATCTGCTATGTCCCAGTACAGATATATTGCATAAGCAGCTCTTGAGGTCATCCTACTAAAATTCAAATTACCGTATTTTTTGGACTATAAGTTGCTCTGGAGTACAAGTTGCGCCAGCCAAAAAATGCGTAATGAAGAAGAAAAACATATATAAGTCGCACTTTTTGTATTAACGTAAATGTATGAACAGTTCTTCAGATAACTATAGCATAAACAACAGAACAGAACAAGTTTAACAAACTCTCCATCTCACTCCAAATCACTAAATCCATTCAATTCTTCATCCTCTGTGTCACTTCTGAGCAACTCCACGACCTCCGGAGGTAAACAGAGCGGCGCTTCCTCTTCTGTGTCGCTGTCGTCAGACTCAGCATTAGTTCCAGTTAGAATTATTCCGGTCTTTCTGAATCCCGACAGAATGGGTTCGGTGTCACTGAAGTCCAGGCTTTGTCCATCCATCCAGTGACTTCCAGGAAAGTTGCATGGTGCATCCTCCTGGTTACCGTGAAGCTGTGTTCTCCATCCCCGCTTTCCTCCAGTCCCTCACAAGTTTCTCACTCACTTCAAACTTTCTTTCTGCTGCTCGATTACTGTTTTCGGCTGCATAGTTACGTGCAGGACACGTGCCGGAGACATGTGCAGTAGGGCACCAAGTGACAGTGGTACAGGAGTAATTGGAGTAGCAGATACGGACGCATAAGCCTAGAGCGCTCCCTTGAGGCTGTCAGTTTGACAACTTTAATATATAAGTCGCACCGGAGTAGAAGTCACAGGAAACACCCAAACCATGACTTATAGTCCGAAAAATACGGTAATTAAAATAAAGACCACCCAATTATTTTTAGATGTGGAATTCACTTCAGTTTGTAGAGTTGTTTTAATATTTATTATCCCTCAAACATTAGCTTTAGTGTCAGCATTGAGACTCAGACATCTCTCTTTCTAAACACAGAATTGTCCTCCACTGAAGTATTATTTATTTGTGCACGTTTTAACAACCTTATCTTTAAATATTTATTCATTTTAAAAGTGCTTTGTGTAACTTTTCTGGTGGATCATCAAATACTTTTCTCCATGGAGATGTTCTTGCATTAAATGGCATTAAATATTTCTATCCAAACCAAGGTCAGATCTGTGGAGAGGCGACCCCACTCACAATCAGAATCCCTGTTTTTCTAGGTATTTATGAGCTATAAAACCACCTGTAATTGAATAAATAGACTTTTTAATGTCATACTGTGGAACATTTAAGGCAGAGCAATGACGTCTCCATGGAAACAAGCAGGTGACAAACCCCCAACCAAAAAGTTACACAGTGCAGCTTCAACATGAATCGGCAAAAACCTCTTGGAGATAAAACTGGACAGGAATTAGTGAAGCAAAAGTGAGATTATTAGAAAGCATTTTATTCTCAGATAATCAGAAAGTGTGTGTTAGTATGCTAGTTCTTGGTAGCTTTACTGTCACAGGTCACTGGTCTCTGATACAGTACAGTGTCTTGAACTATTTTATTCACTCCAGGTCGGTTTGCGATTAGGAAATAACATAGTAACATAAGTAAGAAATTAGCGTAATATGGGCCCTTTAAAAACACTTAACTGAGCACCATTTAAAGTGCTGTTTGTATGAAAAAGCAGTTTCTCCATCCATCTAAAGCTGTAATTTTATCTGGTTTTCCTCTTGTTCTAATGACTTTATGCATAATTTTCCATCTCATAATTTTCAGTCTCGTTTTTTCTTGGGCCATTTCCAGTCCTCGTCTTTTCCTCTTTTTGCTCTCTGTGGATCCCTCTCTCTCTCTCTCTCTCTCTCTCTCTCTCTCTCTCTCTCTCTCTCTCTCTCTCTCTCTCTCTCTCTCTCCTCTAGCAGCTGTCACATCTGCTCCTCCAGCTCGTCAAACACTCAGGGCCTGGTTTTTAGCTGCATTTTCTCTGATGAGCCAAGTCTAGATGCTGTTTTTTTCCCACTAATGAGAAGTTGATTGGATGCAGTAGCAGCCAGTGTTGTGTGCATGTAGAAAAGAGCTTTTAAAGTCGCTGTAGCTGATTTTTACCGTCTTAAAAACGTGAAAAAATGTGGACTAAGGGAGTGTGACGTCAGTAGTAAGTCTGACAAAATCTAAAAAAAATTAGAAAATGGCCCAGTTTTCTTAATCTACATGTAGGGATGTACAAATAACCAAAATATCGTGATATCGTATCATCAGAGTTCTCACAATAATATCGTGGACCATCACAATATCTTGAATCCTTTGCTCCATTTCAGTGCAGACTACAAGAAGAAATAACAGTTCTAAACACTTTTAAGTCTTAGTCTTAAGTCAGTGTCAGAAACTACACCAGAAGTCGTCGTTGCATGTTTGCAAACGTCTTCCTGGTGAATAGAGCCAATTTCTCAATGTAAAGTCAAGAGGAGCCAGAGTCGATGGAGCCGGAAGAGGCCCCATGCTCACTTCCTATTTGACAGCTCTGTCCATTTGTATACGGCATATGGTGATTCCTCACTTACCTTATGACCAGAGTGGAGTTTTGCATTTACAGCGATATTCCTCTAACCAGACTGTTGCCACCTAATGCCTTCGCTCAATTTCATTTCTCTCCAGCGACTAGGTCAGGAATCAGAATACACTAGACGGTTTGCAAGAACTTCAGAAGTGTGAGTTCGGGCACCAGCCAATCAGCAAAGACCCATACATTCTGTGTTGGCAACGATTCCCGAGATCGAGGATTTAAAGCCGGAACAAAGAGAATGTTTGGTGAATTTTATCAAGGGGAAAAACGTTATTGTTCTTCTTCCTACGGGATTTGGGAAAAGCTTAATAGACCAGTTAGTCCCGGTAGCGGTGCATTACATATGTCACGACCAAATAGGAGCAATTGGTTAAATTTAAAAAAGTACCCGCCTACCGTAGAGCGAATGAATCCTAATGCTGCGGGGTCAGACGGTTTCCACAAAGTGAAACTGGCTGATGAATAAGGCTAATATTCCTCATTCTCTGACAATAATTTAATAAAGCTTTATGATTAGATGCAGACAACACACAGTGAACTCAAAAGCTGCTGATAAGGATTATTAATCATTCAATAGATATAAATATTTAGTTCTGAGTTGTAAACTTTTCATAACTGTAAAACCTGTGAATATGATTGAACAATTCAGAAAAAAAAAAAAGTTTTTAGTAAAAGTGATTGTGTTGTGATTTGCAATTATTATATGTCTTAAATCCACTTTGAAACATGTTTAATTCTGCTCTACTAGTCGAATATTGATACACAAAGTCCAGGATGTTCAGACACACAAATATACTGTATTAATAATATATGTGTATGTTTTGCATAGATAAAGTCATGCAGCTCTTTTACCAGCAGCACACAAAGAATACACTGTGTACTTTTAAATAACTGGTATCAGAGAGGAATTAATTTGAATAACTGAGATATTAATAATCAATTATAAACTCATTTTAATGTCAAAGTACATTAGAATACTTTTAAATTAAACAAAATGGATAATGGACCTCTGAATCTACCCCTGAAAGACTACAGGGTTAGATTAAATATAAAAATCTATATAAAATAATAATAAATAACAAAGATACTGAGTGTTTTGCAGAGGTCCAGAGTTGTTTCTGGCTTATCTTAACTATCAACTTTCAGAGGCCAGAGGAGAGTTGTGTGTCACGGTAATGCCAACAACAACAAGCATGCCAACAGCGGAACGGCGAACTTCCTGGTTTCTGGACAATAAAATCACTTTGTAATCCGATGCAGACCGTACACAACAGACTTATTCTGACCCTAAGAGCTGCTTTTACCATGTATCTGTACTGGGGCAAAACAAATTTTACTTTTATTTATAATTTCATGTATTTGTTTATGTTCTCCTTTAGGCCAGAGGAGCTGCCCCCAGTGCTGACCTTGCTCCCAGACAACATCCTTCAGGTTTTACGTCACCAGCTGCTTCAGTGCGTCCAAAAGGCTTCAGACGGTCTGGAGCCAGAGCAGCAGAACCTCGCTCTGCTCCTCCTCAAGTTCCTCATCCTCGTGTGCAGGTCGGAAAGCAAGAAGAACTGACAAAGAATGAAATAAAATAGGATAACAGACTACTTTATTTGTAATTTTTATGTCACCTCCACAATTTATTGCACCAGTAGATGCAGTAAATGTAGAATAGCTGTTGTTTTGGTCAAAGGGTTTCTTCTGGAAGGTCTTCTGTCACAGTAGAGCCACATTTGCACATGCATCTTAAATTTATCTGCATTTTACCAGAAAAGGATCAAAGCCAAACTGATTTCCCTGCATTTTTTAAAATCTGATTTCACTGGAAAATTACCAAAGCTTGGGAAGGTCAAACTGAGCTGGAGGAGAATTCTGCGGTGGAATTTGTGGTTTAAGTGTCAGATTGCAGATTTGTTGACCTGGTTTATGGTTAATATCTCTGTCATTACTCTGCCTATCCACATGAAACAAAAACTGGCACAAAGTTCAGCGTCTTCTCTGTCAGTATAAAAAAGCAAAAGTGTTATTCAGCCCCAAAGATGTGAATGTTGTTGGTTGAAAGGAATACTAAAGTTCACTCTGGATATTTCCTCCAAGAACAGTGAATCTCCTATAGAGTTACCAGATAAGAAAGCAATTATAATGTCTTTTTTTTTTTTCTTCTTACAGGAATTTGTCCAATGTGGAGGAGATCGGCACCTGCTCCTACATCAATCACATTATCAACATGACCACCCTTTACATTCAGCAGGTTTGATATCAGTTTTGTACAAAGACTAACTGAGATAATAATAATAATCCGTCAAGGCTCAAGTAATGGATTTTAATTACTTGTTATATTCTGTTATCATGATACATTGTACTTTCTCAATCTATGCTTCTACTACCTAATATTATTACCTACGAGTTATTCTATAGAAAACTGTGACTAAACCAGGACTAAACCAGTTCTAAACCAGGACTAAAACAGAGGAGTAAACCAGGACTAAAACATGACTAAAACATGACTAAACCAGGACTTAAACATGATTAAATCAGGACCAACCCAGGGCTAAACCAGGACTAAAACATGACTAAAGCAGGACTAAACCAGGACTAAAACATGACTAAAGCAGGACTAAACCAGGACTAAAACATGACTAAAGCAGGACTAAACTAACTAGGACTAAACCAGCAGTAAACCAGGACTAAAACATGGCTAAACCAGGACTAAACCAGCACTAAACCACAACTAAAATACAACTACAACATGACTAAAACAGGACAAAACCAGGGCTAAACCAGGACTACACCATGGCCAAACCAGAACCAAAATAGGACTAAACCAGGACTAAACCAGGACAAGTGTAAATACATCCTAGTTTTGTGTTTTGTGTCTAGTTTTGCTTCGGTATCTTGCCTGCTGTACTAACTAATCATTCTGCAAGTACACAAAATTAATGATTCTTAAAGCTGAATCAAATTTGTGTTGGTTACAGTTGAAAAGTAAGACCAAAGAGAAGGAAATGGTGGACCAGAGCCAGGCTGAAGAGTTTGTCCGTCACGCTTTGGCTTTCTGTGAGAGTCTGTACGACCCATATCACAACTGGAGGCACCGGACCAGCGGGTAACTCAATATACCATAAGACTGCAGCTGCATGATCAAATATTAATGATAGCTGCTTTTATGAACGTATATATATCTTAGACTGCTGTGTTTTGATTTTCAGGGAGCAGGTTGGGACGGTGGAGCGGAGCAGACAGAAGTACAAGGCAGCACCTCTCACTGTGGAGTTTGTTCCTTTCTTTTATCGTGAGTCTATTTGTGTCTGATTTCTGTTTATTTTTCTTGTATTCTTTACGCAAGACAACATAATCAAAATAAATTATTTAACTGTACTGTGATTACAAGCGAGCCAGATGTAATTATATTAAAGGCGCTCTACTTTACTTTACTCTCTTAAAATGTGAAAAACAGAAATAGTTCATCTTTAACGGTTTGTATAAGTCCAAAGTTACTTACATTATGCCTTCTTAGCATCCTAATTATGCTCCGTAGCATATATGTAGTAATGGAGACAGTAACTAGCATGCTAACTGGGCACATCCTGACAGTAAAAATGAGTAAAATGCTTTATAATTGACAGATTGATTCGTTTTTATTTCGAGTTTGTGCCAAGAGATGAACAATAATTATGTATACTAAATATACATTGTAAACAACAGAAAAGCACATTTCTCGAAAAGGAAATTAAAGAAGACTTTTTTTTTAACCTCAAGAGCTCGTTATACAATATATCTGTACTGGGGGGGATACACATTTTGCTCAGATACATGGAAAAAACCCGGTACAAGCTCTTAAATATTGTTTTGAAAATGTTAACAAGTAAAAAATATGCAGCTACATGCGTGAATGAAACAAAAGACTATTCCTAAGATGTTTTGACGACACTTGAGCATAATATAGGATCTTTAAAACACAATTAGAAACACTTGTCTTACCTCTTGACTCGACGAGACCTGCGTTACGACTCGGTTTTCAATTATAGGTTTTTTAAATGTCTCTTTGTTGTGGTATGATTGGTATGAAGGAAAGAGACATTACGGAGCCAACACAGGGCATGGCTTGTGCCCATTCGAGTGTGTTGACAGATGAGTTAATAGATGACCAAGACTATGACCTGGAGGTTACTGCCACATACCATTCTCCTCTATCTGAGTATCTAGTCTTAAATATCTAAACAAAGTGCTACAAGCGATGGGACAAGGTCTTGTGAGGTAAAGTTGTCTCAAGATTGTGCACACATGATAAAAAAATTACGGTGAGATTCTTTAACCCAGGGGTCCCCAACCCCTGTGTCGTAGGTCGTTTGGTACCGGGCCACCAAAGTGCAAAGCCCCCCTCCCATATGCATTTCTAAACCAGAACTAAACCAGAACTAAACCAGGACTAAACCAGGACTAAACTGGGTCTAAAACCAGGTCTAAAACCATAAATAAACCAGGTCTAAACCAGGACTAGCCCAAGTCTAAATCAGGACTAAACCAGGACTAAACAAGAACTAAAACAGGACTAAAACAGGATTTAGCCAGGACTAAACCAGGTCTAAACCAGGACTAAACCAGGACTAAACCAGGACTAAACCATGCCGCACCGCCGCAGCCCCTGGTTCGCAAAATATTGTCGGACATTAAACCGGTCCATGGCCCTAAAAAAGGTTGTGGAGCACTGCTTTAACTGATTTTTTATCCAATCCAAAATGGTTAATGCTGGAGAGTTACACCTCTTAAGAAGCTATAGTTATATTTTTATTATATTAAATCAAATAAATCTAAAATTGTGAGGGCAAAATTGTGAACTTTATTGCTGAATTAATTACACATAATGTCAAAATCTTGTCTCTTGTCTTGTAAAAATTAAGCACTATTGTTTACTAGAGCTGGAATGGACTATAATAGTGTTGTCTGCATCTAATTAGTAAGCATTTTGTTGTCTGATGTTCAGGAAGTGCACGTTAGCATCCCAGTTGTTGGCTTTAATAGGTATGTCTTGATAAGAAATTTGGAAGTGCTACATATTGCTGAAGAAAATATAGACAATAAATAATAATAAAACACAGTCTGCAATAAATAAATAAAAGAATAAAACACATTAGTAGTTAGTTTGTGTCTATAATGAGTATTTTTAGTTATTTATTCAACCGTCACCTAATTGTAGAACAGAAAAATAACAAAAACTTCCCTACAGAAACTTCCCGTGATAAATATTGACCCTCCAAAATTATTGTTCCATTTGTCATGTATTGAACAGTAAGTCAATATAGTAATTATCGTGACCTAGTTGTGAAAAGTGCTTATAAACTCATCATGGTGATTAATTAGGATGCTCTGAACGCATAAGGTAAGTGAGGAATAACTTTGGACCACTGCAAACCTTTTAAAATAGTTCTGTTTTTCACTTTTTAAGACCGTACAGAGTCTTTAGTATCATAATCCACTGAATAGGTGTGGCTGTATTTTGTTTTCCTGCTTTGTTTACATAGATAACACCGCACCTCCAGATCCTCTCAGTGCATCTCGGTGTTTATGTTATGGCCTGTGTTCCTGTTACAGAGTGCTTCCAGGAGAGTGAGCATCTGAAGGAGAGTTTAAAGTGCTGTTTGCTTCACCTCTTTGGGGCCATAGTAGCAGGAGATCAGGTAAGAATATAGGTTAAGTTCGTTCAGTTTATGCAAGAAAAAGGCAACAAAAATAAGTGGCTCAAATGTCTGGTTACTAAGGCTGGGTATTATTAAGAAGTTGCCAATACGATACTATACATATCTCGATACAGTGAACTTTCAATTTGATACGATATATTTAAAATCAATTCGATATGGTTCAATAAAAAATAAAGTCTAATCATGGCTGTGGTACAAAAAGTGTTTGTTAAACCACTTCTTGTGCAAAGTGAATATGAAACACAAACATTTTAATCCTCAAAACATTGAAAATGTCAAATGTGTCGCATTTCTTCTTCTAAACAAACAACAAAACTGTTGCGCTGTAACAAAATAATTTTGTAAAATATACCAAAAAATACTCTTGGCAATATATCGATACAGTACCCCATGATATTGATACTGTATCGTCACAGTAAACGAGACAATATTTTGATATTTCGATATTTTTGCACATCCCTACTGGTTACTCTCTTCCTCCTTGTAAGAAACCTAATATTTATGTATTAGAGATATAAAGGTGTCAGTATACAATATTTGTCAATTAGAGAATATAAAATAATTATAATAATATTTAGATAATAAAGGTAACAAAAAAAAGGGGCAAGCTTCATTGTTCTTTGATGTCAGTAAATTGTCGGATAGCAATTTTCAGAGTTTACCACAAAATTATATATTTTTAAAGGTTTTATATTCCAAAAAATTGACAGTTGTGAGCTTTAAGCCATGATATAAACATACCTGACACTTCCTGTATGATCATATGACAACACAAGATGGAACTAAAATTTTCTGTTTGAGAGAAGCACTCTTAAATATAAATATAAAACTCTTAAATATTTAGGTTTGTGTGTTAAACATGAAACAAAGAACCAACTCCAGGTCTGTTTGTGATGAAGCAACAACATTATAACAGATTGAAGATAGTTTAATATGGGCCGTTTACCAGTTGTGTAACACCTGATAACACTTTCCTTGGCCTTATTTGTTGGAAAATAACAAATTAGAAAGCTTAACTATTATATATTTCATGGTAATTTGGGGTTTGAAAATGTTGTGAGACAGACCACATTTTCGAATCAGTCTTGGGGCATTTTTTATAACTTCAAAGTTTGATTGACTCAGACTGTTTATTTTAGGATCCGGCCTCAGATCAAAAATAAACATGGAAATGAGGGTGAGACGGATCATAGGAAAGTGCCTTTCAACACTTAAAAGAGGGATGTCAGATGAAATGGTACAAAAGGGAGAACAAAACATCCGTCCACTTTTTGATCAAATCACCAAAATAAAACGACAATGCAAAAAGGACATTAGTCAGAATGAATTAAACTCAAAATATGGATCTTGCCTTGACTATTTTGGTTAAAAAATGGCAGATAAATTGGCTTGTAAAAAAAAACAACATAAAAAATAGTCAAAAATACCCAAGTTCATTTTACTCATACACATTACCTGTCAAAATGTGAACACATTCAAATGAAGTATTTCTTAATGTGTTCTACTTTCTAATTGTAAATCAGTTAGCAACAGGTTTGGTTGACGGCAAATATGGAATTTGGCTCCAAATCGGCCACTTATAATGGCCATTTACAATGGAATGAGGGAGTTTGATGTCACCCAGACTCCCTCATTCCATTGTAAATGACCATGAAAATAAAGAAGAAACATTAAAGGTCCTATATTACACAAAATTAACTCTTGTGAGCCTTAAGCCATGTTATAATGCTGTTCGCTCATTAAAGATATCCTCGGAGTTGTGCTTGTTTCATTCACACATGCTTGAGTAATCCTTTATTTTTAGTCACTTCTCCAAAGCTCAAAATGCTCTCTTCCACCTTGTGATGTCATGAAGCGGTAGTTTTCAAGTTAACAGCTACATTTACCTTTTGCTCAGTAGAGATTGGCAATTCAAGGACTGAAATTATCAAAATGTTTCTAGTGAAGGTCTCTTATTTGTCTGATAGAAAAAAGCTAAAATGACAAAACAAAACAAAACTTGAACTCTCACTGATCACAGGCTCCTGGAAATGTGATGTTTAAATCCATATGATCTTAAAACTTCTTTGACAGTGTTCGCTCATGTGTGTATTGTGTCACCATGGTACCTTCAAAACATTTCACCATAGAGATACATGTAGAACACCCCCAGCGTGATATAGAGTCTATGGTAAATGGTCAAGAAAATAAAGACATTACAAAATATTAACTGGAAGAAGTGTGTCCAAACTTTTGACTAGTTAGTGTAGAATTATTTTTATTATCTATTTATTTTTTGTATTCTTCTGCATTTGCTTAAACCTTAAATCTCATATTTGTCTTATAGAGAAACGCACTGCTCGCCATCTCCCCAGCCACTATGGAGGTCCTGATGCGCGTGCTGGGGGACTGCTCGCTCGGCAGCTGCCCCACGGACGAAGGCGAGGACTGGGACAGCGAGGCACCGGACCGAAAGGCCCTGCTGACTCTGGGCTGTCTGCGGGAGGTGGTACAGCGCCTCCTAGCGTCCAGCTCGGATCAGCGCCAAGTGGAGATCGCGTCCGTTTTGGAGAATTATTTCAAGTTGCTAAATTCGGATCCGGCTGCAGTTGTGGCTTCGAAACAGCAGCAGCAGCAAAAACAGGGGAAGGGAAAACTACCAACGCTGGGGAGACACTGGGAGAGCAGATTTGTAGCACTTCAAGTTCATATGTTAGGTATGTACTTGGCAAAAATCAGGCAAATAATAATAATACATAAAAATAATACGGCAAAGATAAAAACAGTGAATCATATAGAGAAAAAGTTAAACATACAACCGCTAAAAGGTGAAGTGACTGAAACCTGTTATCAATGGCTGTGTATAAGGGCAAGTTCTGACAAGTATTGTGTTTATATTTGTATGTTTGTATGTTTTAATGATAGGATTCTGTTCACAGTTTACATATTAAAACACGTCCAGAAGAACTGACAAAAAGACTGAAATATAAACTGACAACCTAATAGAGTATTTTTAGGACTATAAGTCGCTCCGGGGTATAAGTCGCATCAGCCAAAAAAAGTGCAATAAAGAAGAAAAAAACATAAATAAGTCGTACTTTTTGGGGAAATTATTTTATTATATTGTAGATGGGACACTTTTTTTGCTTTTAAAATACTTTGACAAGATTTTGGTGTGATTTATTTCTGTTATAATCCCAAAAATTCAAATAAAAAACATATTTCTTCATGTTGTCTGTGCAGAAATGAATCATGGGATATGTAGTTTCCAATGTTTATGAGCTGTTTCTACTATAAAACCATGCACTTAAGCAAAGGAACTTGTAATTCGATATATTGTGACAGTCCTTTTGACATTTGACGATACGATATCACGATATTTTGGTTATTGTCACGTCCCTAATATTCATATCTGTTTGTATTTTTCTCACAGACACTATCAGAGACATGTTCCTGTGCTCGGATCGTCCCGTTCTACAGGCCATCTTCCTCAACAGTAACTGCTTTGAGCATCTCACCAGACTCCTACAAAACAGCAAGGTAAAATAAATCTACTCCCGACTCTCTAGATTTACAACTTAAAATATCATATGACAAGTTTTATGTATTTCTAATTATTACTTGGTTTGGTGGGATTGTAGCTGTGGTCAGTATTTATCATAGTTTTACATCGGTTTAAGTGGCAGTTTGGGGAAAAAAGAAAGGAAAAAAGTGATAGAAGGAGTAGAGCTGCTTTCTAAAACAAATCTCTCTATCCATCAACAGAGGAAATATTTGCCTAGCCCCCTATCTTTTTATATTTGTAATAGGAAACAGGAAAAGCTAAATGCCAAGTCTTCCCAATCTGTGTATCATTCATTCATTTTTCAAAATAAAACCAAAAATAAGAAAACGACAAAACAAAAATTTTCTTCATTATTTGTCTCCAAAATCAAAATGAAAAAACAGATAACGATTCGCTTTTTCAGTTTTCGATTTTGTGTTTAAATGAATAATGGAAAAAACGGATAACGGACGTTTCTCGTTTCCGTGACTTAAACTGCGATGCCGGACTTTTGCGCTGCATATGGACTGAAACAGGACTGATCCCAGGACTAAAACAGGACTAAACAGGTCTCAGTCCTGGTCTGGTCCTGTTCTCAGTCCCGGTCTCAGTCCTGATCATCTGACAGTCTATGTGGGCGCACCTCTGGGCCCGTCTGACACTCAGTACTGGTTTAGTCCTGGTTCAGACTTGTTTTAGACCTGTTTTAGACCAAGTCTGAGGCCAGACCGGGACTGAGACCAGGACTGAGACCGGGACTGAGACCAGGACTGAGACCAGGACTGAGACCGGGACTTAGACCGGGACTGAGGCCGGGACTGAGGCCGGGACTGAGGCCGGGACTGAGGCCGGGACTGGGACCAGACCAGGACTGAAAACGGTTTAGTCCTGGTTTAGTCCTTTTTTAGTCCTGGTTTAATCCTGGTTTAGTCCTGGTTCAGTCCGGCATCGCAGTTTAAGTCACGGAAACGGGAAATAGCTGTTATCCGTTTTTTCCATTATTCGTTTAAACACAAAATTGAAAACTAAAAAAAAACGAATCGTTATCCGTTTTTTCATTTTGGTTTTGGAGACAAAAAATACTTGTTTTTTTGTTTTCTTATTTTTAGTTTTATATTGAAAAACAAATAAACAAATGATACACGGATTATATATATATATATATATATATATATATATATATATATATATATATATATATATATAGATATATATAGATATATATATATATATATATATATATATATATATATATATATATATATATATATATATATATATGTATATTGACAGCTATTTTTGCAGTTTGTACCAGTGTAAGATATGGAGTAAGTAACTGCTATTTTTATGATCCAAAAATGAAAAAGAAGCCTATATTACAACATTATATAATAGTATAATATTATCAAGATCACAAGCTTGGACCATTTCCTTTCTTACATAAAAACAACTTCCAGGTTAATTTAATTCTAATGTGTTTATTGTACCAAGCTTTTCCTTAGATTTCATACCAGTGAAAGGGAAGACATTTCTCTGGCAGCTTAAACCTTCATTTAGTAAAGTAAAGGTGCTATCATTTATTTTTCCTAGTCTAATTTAGATGACTTCGCCCTTGTTTACAATATGGTTGCTAGGTAACAGATAAGCCAGGTTATAAGTCTTCATATATTTAGCTTATTATAAAAATAGAGGAATTCTGATGTTATTTTAGGTGTAAAAAATGCATTATTTTTACTTTTGCATGTCACACAGGCTTGGCCCACTGGTTTCACGTCTTCACAGCAACCCTAATATCTAACTGGCTTAATGTGACCTTTAACCTCTCACCTCTCCTCCTCCTCCTCTTCCTACACTTACACAGACATACTCCCCCTGCACCGCCCCCTACGGCTAATCCTTAACCCTCTCCCTGTAACACTGTCTGAACCACCTCTTAGGCCTGTCACGATAATTACTATAGCGATAATCAATATTTATAGTCTGTGTTTTTTCTTTGCTCTACTGGGAGATTTTGTATTTTTTATTTTTGGCTATGAAATAAGATTTAAAAGTGTACGGTATAACTTTTCTGGTAGAAGGTCTGCCTTGTTGTTTTTTTCCTGAAATGTTCTACACTATGGCATTTAGTTTAACTCATCTCCATGGAGACAAGCAGGCCACATGTCAGATCTGTGGAAAAGTGGACTTGCTTACAGAAATAGTTGTAGTTTTAGTGAATAAAAACTATTGTAAATGAATAAATGCAAGATACAGTATGTTTATTTTAATGCCATACTGTCTAACATCCCAGGCAATGCCATAAGATCACCGTGGAGACAAGCAGATGGCAGACCCTCCACCAGAAAAGTTACACAGTGTACCTTTAAGCCATAAAAGGTTGAATTAATAACTTCTGTCCATCTATTCTCATCATTACAGATACAAACTAAGTACTAAAGTGTTTTATTCTGCTGTTTATTTATTGCAGCTCATGATTTTTTAACAATATTGTACATTTAGAATAGTTTTTGTGGTTTAAAGCTGCACTATGTAACTTTTTGTTTGGTCCGTCTGTATGAAATGTTCCCCAGTATGACATTAAACAGCTCTACCTTACGTTTACTCAATTACAGGTGGTTTTAAAGCTCAAAAATACCCAGAAAAACAGGCATTCTGGCTGTGAGCGGCGTCGCCTGTCCACAGACCTGACCTCTAACTTGGTCTGGTTTGGTCTCCTTGAAGATAGAAACGTTTAATACCACACTGTGAAACATTCCAGACAAAGCAATAACCTCTCCATGGAGAAAAGCATTTAACAGTGCACTCACTGTGTAACTTTTCGAGTGGAGATGTTATTGGTTTTCTTGGAATTTTTCACAGTATGATATTAAACTTTTATTTCCATGGAGACAAGCACCAGGCCAATTTACAGGTCTGATTTGTGGAGAGGTGAGCCCACTTACAGTAGAATGCATATTTTGTTGTTTTATTGTAAAAAAAAACAACAAAAAAACATAATAATATACAACATAATAAGCAAGTTTAATTCCATACTGTGATACATTCCAGGAAAAGCAATCTCCCGAGCATCTTCATGGACACAACCAGGCGCTGGACTCTTACCAGAAAAGTTACACAGTGCGCCTTTAATCTGTGTATCATTCGTTCATTTGTTTTTCAAAATAAAACCAAAAATAAGAAAACGAAAAAAACAACTATTTTCTTCATTATCTGTCTCAAAAACCAAAATGAACATACGGACTGAACCAGGACTTAACCAGGACTAAACCAGGTCTAAACCAGGTCTAAACCAGGTCTAAACCAGGACTAAACCAGGACTAAACCAGTACTGAGTGTCGGGATGGGCCCGGAGGTGTACCCACGTAGACTGTCAGATGATCAGGACTGAGACCGGGACCAGACCAGGACTGATACCAGAACCAGACCGGGACTGAGACCCGAACCAGACTAGGACTGAGACCGGTTTAGTCCTGTTTTAGTCCTGGCATCAGTCCTGGTTTAGTCCTGACTCAGTTCATATGCGGTGCAAAAGTCCGGCATCGCAGTTTAGGTCACGGAAAACCGGAAACGACCATTATCCGTTTTTTCCATTATTCATTTAAACACAAAATCGAAAACTGAAAAAACGAAAAAGCGAATCGTTATCCTTTTTTTCATTTTGGTTTTGGAGACAAATAATGAAGAAAATAGTTGCTTTTTTGTTTTCTTATTTTTGGTTTTATTTTGAAAAATGAACAATCGAATGATATATGGATTGCCTTTAAATCTGCTCTTTTCATTTTTGTGTCAGTGGGATAGATTAGTCTTCATATTATGGTTTGTCATTTGTATTTCCTTTGTTATCGTGACAGGCCTTCCTCCTCTTGCTTTGTTGACATTTTGCCTGTATTATGTATTGTGTATTAGCTCATAAATGCTAGGAGCACCACCGCCGACAAGGACCAGAAAGATATAACGAACACCATGTTACTGTCAGGAGAGAGGGACACCCAGGTACAGCCCCAGGAGATACCATTCGCTTTGGTTATTTTTAAGTTTTATTTAATTATTTTAACGTTCATCCACACTTCACCGCCTGTCACCTACTGCTGCCGAACACCCCAACGCCCTCCCTTTAATCACTCCACAGCCTGACGAGATGTTTGTGTAAAAAATATTAACTGGATTGGGAGAATATGCAAATTAGACCTACAAACTTCATTATTTGGACAGCAGCTCAAAGTGGAAAGATCAAAAATATAATAGGTAAAAATGAATTCAAAATAAGTAGCAAAAGGTGGATTGGAAGACTATGCAAGTTTCTCTGGATGGGACGAGATTCGAGATTGGATCCACGAGAATGAGACAAGACGAGATTTTCACATAATTTCTAATATATACATTTCATGATTTAGTTTTGAGTTTTGGCCTCACAATTTTTTATTTGATTTCATATTTTTGTTTCCATCCTAGCACTGCTTTTTGGAACCGTAAGAGATGTAACTCACCAACATGTGACCCTTTTTTGTCTTATCCAAAAAAAAAATCTCACAAGATAATTTGTCTCTTCTCGTGTACGAACTTGTGGGAGTTTTGTCTCACGAAATGTTGTGGCACGAGATCTTATCCCATCCCTACAACTTAGACTTAGACTTAGACAAACTTAATACTTTGGACAGTAGCTCACACATCACAATATATTATAATAACAAAGGGCAAAATATAAATGGCAATAATACATTCAAAATAAGTGTCAAAAAATAATAAAGTTGGATTAAACTACGTATTGATATATTTAAATGTCTGTTGCATTTTATACTTTACAAGGGTGGTAGAGAAATGAGCCATTTTATAGTGTTTCCTACAGAATTTTGGGCAGACTTTAGTTAGATTTTAGATTTAATATTCTTGTAAATTTTTAAATAAATGAATAAAAACAAACCCAGACATTTTAGATAGATAATACTTGATATTTATTTCCAGTATTATCTATTTATTTTAGCCAAAAATATACTGAAATAATACACTGAAAAACATAGAAAATCATGTGTCCTTACTGTGAGCGGGCTTGCATCTCCACAAACCTGACTCTTACTTCTAAAATCTCCTGCTTCTTTCCATGGAAATTTTGTTCCTTTGGCTGTAATTGTCCACAATATAGACTTAAAAAAAAAGTATGGTTTTAACTTTCTACTTCCATGGAGTCTTGCAGAGAGTTACATACTGTACCTTTTAATTAATTCAATATATTTTAATATAAATGCAGGCTATAAAGTACTATTCCCAGTTATTATTTACTGTTTGATGTAATATTTATTCGTTTACATCTGTTTCCAGGCCTTTATTTAACAGACCTGCCCTTTCTGTCCCATTTAAGCTGGGTTGAAAAGGCTATGTGTCACCTTCATTGTGTACATGCTTTCATTTTCTATTCTAAAGACACACATTATTATCCTCCCATTGATGCATTCAGAGTGAAGCAGGTGAACAGCTCTGAATCAGACAACCACCTGTAGTATGTTCATTTAGCCCTGTGTAACTTAATATAGGGAGAGATGCGATGACCTGATATAGGACCAGTCTGGGCAGTTTAAAGTTTAAATAAATACTGTTTTTTGTAAAGAGGCGAGTAGGGCTGCACGATTAAATGCAATCAAATCTTAATCACAGTTTGAATGGACGCAATTGGCAAATCACAATGGCTGCAGTTTTGAAAGGATCTATGTTACAACAACTGACTCTTGTGAGCTGTAAGAATCCGTGTATCATTTGTTCATTCATTTTTTTAAAGTAAAACCAAAAATAAGAAAATAAAAAAACGAATGTTTTCTTCATTATTTGTCTCTACAACCAAAATGAAAAAACGGATAACGATTTGTTTCCTGTTTACGTGACTTAAACTGCGATGCCAGACTTTTGCGCCACATACAGACTGAACCAGGACTGAACCAGGACCGTATCAGGTCTAAACCAGGACTAAACCAGGCCTAAACCAGGCCTAAACCAGGACTAAACCAGGACTATACCAGGACTCAGTCCCGATCTCAGTCCCGGTCTGGTATTGGTCTGGTCCTGGGCTGGTCCTTGCTTCAGTCCCGGTCTCAGTTCGGGTATCAGTCCTGGTCCTGTTCCTGGTCTCAGTCCCGGACTCAGTCCTGGTCCTGTTCCTGGTCTCAGTTCCGGTCTCAGTCCTGGTCTCAGTCCTGGTCCTGGTCCCGGTCTGGTTCTGGTTCTGGTTCTGGTTCCAAACCTGGTTCAGTCCTGGTTCAGTCCATATGCGGCGCAAAAGACCCACATCGCAGTTTAAGTCACGTGTTTGAGAAGAACTCATCCTAAATATCCAGAGTTTGTGTGTTAAACATGTGTGAATGAAACAAAAAAACACAACTCCAGGTACGTCTGTGATGAGGAAACATTACAGCATAGATCAGAAAATGGCACAATATTGAACCTTTAAAATAAGCCTATATTATTACAGAAATAAAATTACTTGGACCATTGCCCAAAAATATGCCAAAAAATGTAAACAATCCAGATTTAAACTCATTTTGTCATTATACCAAACCTTTTCCAACACTATTCTCATCTGGCTGTGGAGTGATTTCATTAATTTTCATTTATTTATATTTGCTTTGTCCTCTCTCCCTCTCCTCCTCCATTTTGTCCTGGTTGTCTGCGGTATAGTGGGCCCCATTGGAATGCTATCACAATGTTCTGGTGTGTTATCTTGGCAAAGTTAACCAGATTTTGTTGTGATTATTGCCGTTCGGTATTCGTTTGTGTTTTTTTACTCCAAAGTCCCTCTCCAGCTCGTCCAAGACCACTTAAATTCATGATTAAAATAACTTGAAATCCTAAAATATATTACATAACTACAGCACATACAGGACTTGGCTGGAAAGAGATTTGTGTTTCAAAGGTTGCATGCTTTGAAATCTGAATGTTGGTTGTCGAAGGGGAGTTTGCTCTGTTTTGTGAATTGTTTTTTTTTTTTTTTATGTTCCTTCCTGCTTCAGTTGCTGTTCATTATAACAGGACGGTTTTAAAACTGAAGTAGAAAGACAAAAGTATCTGTAACAGGAAGTTCCACCGACAAAGAGCTGATTATTTATTTACTCAATAGTTGTGCTTCCATTAATAGTGATTTGTACAAGAAATGTGTAAAAATGTTTTGTCATTTACAGATTTTTATCAATACATATTAACGCTCCTGTACCTGATTTTTACCCATGTATTTAAGCAAATTTTGTCTTTCCCCAGTCCAAATATATTATATAAGCAGCTCTTGAGGTCAGAATAAGTCAGCTGTGTTCTGTCTGCATGTAATTATAAAGCATAATCAGGAAGTGCACATTAGTATGCTAGTTATTGTTAGCTTTATCATAGTAAAACTCTGCTCTGGCCTCTGAAAGTTGTGGAAAGCATTTATAAACTCATCGTGGTGAATAATTAGGATGCTCTGAATGCGAAAGGTAAGTGAGGAATAAGCAAACTGTTTAAAATGAACTAGTTCTGTTTTTCTGATTTTTAAGACAGTACAAATCTGGTACAGCACCTTTTAATTAGGGGTGTAACGATATTCAAGTCTCATGATATGATATCGTCACGGTATGAACCTCACGTTACAATATTTATTGCAATATCGTGGGAAAGCTCACGATTAGGGATGTAACAATATCCAACTCTCTCGGCATGATATTTTCACAATATACATCTCACGGTACGATATTTATTGTGATATTTTGTGGAGGCTAACAAAATTGAACAGCTTTTTCCTCTTAAAATGCCGTGACAAGACTTAATCCAAAGAACTAAGACTTAAAATTGCTTAAAACTGTTATTTCTTCATTTAGTCTGCACTGAAATGGAGCAAAGGATCATGGTCTATGTAGTTCCCTCTGTTTTTTTTTAGCTATTTCTGCACCATAACTCTTAATTTAAGCAAAGAGACTTGTAATTCGATATATTGTGATGGTCCACAATATTATTGACAATACAGTATCACAGTATTTCGGTTATGGTCACATCCCTACTTTTAATGTACATAAAAGTAAAACTAGAAATCATTTGTGACTTAAACAGGTCTAAATCAGCATATTATATACTTTTAAAATTACTTGAAGGTGCTGTACCTTAGTTTTACTGTCTTAAAAACAAACAACAAAACAACAATAACAGCAGAAAAACAGAGCCATGACTGTAGAGCTCACATGCTAATAGTGCACATCCTGATTTGAAACACTTAATAATTAGATGCAGACAGTATATAGCAAGCATATTTTGACCTCAAGAGCTGCTTATACAATATAGCTGTTGTGGAGCAAGATATATTTAGCTTAAATACATGGGAAATATCAGGTACAGACCCTTTAACCTAAAATTCGGTATACTTCAATGTATACCGAATTAAACTGATAAACTGTATATCAAACTCAAATTCGACATGTTCTTTTAGCTAAAAAATTGTCTAATCTTAAACTGTAAAAATATTACAATATTTATGGAAACACAACTACTTTGTTTCACTAATTGAATCAAAAGTTTGTATGTATAATATGTGTGCTGCATGTTGTATTGTGGTCCATTAATGAGACCTTTATAATGCAGCATGCACATTACTGTAACATGGAGATTTGCCTTGTGTTCTTTTGTCTTTACCCATAATCCATTGCAGCTGTAAAACACAAGAGAACAGTTGTGTAAGTCTCTAACTACAGTCATTTTACAGGTGTTTCAGGGAAGACTGGACTCACTCGCGGTTGCAACTATTAAGGCGTTAACGACAGTAATGCACAAATCACCAGCCGCAAAGGTAAAATAAGAGGAGACGCACACACCAAAACCAGGACTAAACAAGGACTTATTGGGACTAAACCAGGACTAAGCAAGGACTAATCTAAGATCAAACCAGGACTAAAACAGGATCAAACCAGGATAAGTCTGAAAGCTGCCATGGACCATATGTAAACTAAACCAGGACTAAGTCAGGGCTAAACCCGGGCTAGAAGAGGATTAGTAATCATAGTAAGTAATCATTAGATTTATATAGTGCCTTTCAAGACACCCAGAGACGCTCTACAGTGCATTATTCTTTGTCTGACGTAAGCAAGGCTGCCAAAGGACATAACGACAGGTCATCCAGTTACTGCCCCACTGTGGCACCTGTTATTCCCAGCTGTCTTCCATCCAAGTACTAACCAGGCCCGTTCCTGCTTAGCTTCTGAGATCTGAGGAGATCATGCTTTGACAAACCGAAATGGCCACTAAATTAAATCAAGACTAAACTAGGACTAAACCAGGACTAAACCAGGACTAAGACAGCACTAAGACAGGACTAAGACAGGACTAAAACAGGACTAAGACAGGACTAATCCAAGTCTAAAACAGTTTTAAAACTACTCAAACAGTACTAAGACAGTACTAAGACAGTACTAAGACAGTACTAAGACAGTACTAAGACAGTACTAAGACAGTACTAAGACAGTACTAAGACAGGACTAAGACAGGACTAAGACAGGACTAAGACAGGACTAAGACAGGACTAAAACAGGACTAAGACAGGACTAATCCAAGTCTAAAACAGTTTTAAAACTACTCAAACAGTACTAAGACAGTACTAAGACAGTACTAAGACAGTACTAAGACAGTACTAAGACAGGACTAAGACAGTACTAAGACAGGACTAAGACAGGACTAAGACAGGACTAAGACAGGACTAAGACAGGACTAAGACAGGGCTAAGACAGGGCTAAGACAGGGCTAAGACAGGGCTAAGACAGGACTAAGACAGGACTAAGACAGGGCTAAGACAGGGCTAAGACAGGGCTAAGACAGGGCTAAGACAGGACTAAGACAGGACTAAGACTGGACTAAGACAGGACTAAAACAGGACTAAGACAGGACTAAAACAAGACTAAGACAGGACAAAGACAGAACTAAAACGAGAATGAAACAGACCAAAGACAGGACTAAAACAGGACTAAAACACAACCAATACCAAGTCTACTAGAACAAGCGTGAACTCCACCTATAAAGACTATGGCTGCATCAAAACTGGGACTAAACCTGAACCTAACTTGGACTAGACCAGGCCTAAACCAGGACTAAAACAGCTCCAAACCAAGTCTACATTAGGACTAATAAACTGGACTCAAACCAGGACCAAAGTGTGAAGATACTACTTGTCTGGTAAACTGACTTCTTCCATGTGTTTATTTCCAGGAGGTGTTCAAGGAGAGGATAGGCTATAATCATTTATTTGAAATCCTGATCTCTCTGGGGCAGCCGTCACGCCACCTCCTCAAAGAGCTCATGAACATGGTAAAGATGCTGTTTATTTACATATTTTGCATACTTTAGGACCTTTAACAGTCATACATTTACGGAAAATTACTTTACAAAGGAAATAACCTCTTCTTTAAACCTCCCTGTCTTGTTTTTCCAGGCGGTGGAAGGAGAGCACACTTCAGTCGGTCTCTTGGGCATCAGTAACGTGGACCCTCTCCTCCTCCTCGTCCAGTGGCTTCCCGAACTCGACTCTTGTGAACTCCAGCTCTTCACCGCCGATTGGGTCAGACGCCTCAGCTGCTTAAACCGCCAAACCCGAGCCACCTGTGTCAACGCCTCCATGGTCAAACGCGCTCTATCTGCTCTCAAACGCCACCAGAGACTACACAGATCATGCGGCGAGAGTTTACTGGGACTACTGGGGTCTTTGGGGTCTCAGTCTCTAAGTACACACGAACTATTGGAGTTTTTAAGGCTTTTACGACCGCCAGACTCAACGCAAGCACATCCGTATGTAGGACCAGCGCTGAAAGCTCTTCTGACCATGGTACGGAAGCAGGGGTTGGAAAGTGCAATGCAGTATTTCGATTTGTCCCACGCTATGGCCGGGATTTCGGTGCCAACGGTGCAGAGGTGGCCCGGGTCTGCGTTCAGTTTTCTGGCCTGGCTTTCTCTGGACCAGGAGCAACTCGGACCCACCAGTAAAGACAAGCGGAAACAGCTCTACAGGTAAGATATTGGTTTTAAAGGTCTTATATTATGTAAAATTTAGCTTTTGTTCAAAAACATAAGTTGTGTTGTGTTTTGTTTCATTCCCACATGTAAGCCTGCATTATTAGTCTGTCTATATCTCCAAAGCTCAAAATGCTCTGTTCCACTTTGTGATGTCATGAAAAATTAATAAGAATTAATAGAGATTGGCAATCCAAGGCTGAAATAATTGAAATGAGAGTGGTGAAAATGTATAGAGTTTAAAACTATAGTGCTGCACATTAGGGCTGGACGGTATCCAAATTTTGATACCGCTAAACCTTCTCAGGATTTTACCGAGGTATGCGGTATTCCCGTATTACCAAAATGTTTTAGTATGACTTTGGCAAGCTGCGAAGCGGCATACGGCTCTATACGGTCTATATTTATCACCTGCAGACTTATAATCTCTGAAAAGTTTCACCTGAACCAACTCCCATCACAATACACTCACAGAACAGACTCACCATCAGCCGCACATCCTCTGTGACAGAAAAAACACATATAATCCACTGAGTCGTGTCCTGAGCTGTTTTTATCAGAGCTTTATTGTTTATGCAAATTAAATGTGGTTTCAAGTTTCGTTTCTGTAAAACCGGATTTACTGTCTTGTCTCCCTTATGAGCGTCACGTGACAACGGAACAAAACTAATCAAATGTCATCTCCCCACGCAGTTAAAAGAAACACTATAGACACTGTTAGTTTTAAATCGTGATAGCATTATATTAAAACTACAACCACATATTCATTTGTGCTGAGCAAACAAATGTAGATATCAATAAATTCTAATATTATATTAAGTCCTTATGTGCTGCAGATTTTTTTAATGATGGTAATGAAACTGATACCGTTGCTACTTTTTGATACTGCGGGATAATGTAATACCGTATTACCACCCAACCCTAATGCACATCCTGTATGACCACATGACATCACAAGTTGGAACAGAGTGTTTTTTGTCTGAGAGATGAACTCTCAGAAGCCTAAATCTGCAGGGTTTGTATGTTAAACATTGGGAAAAAAACTAAACACACCTCTAGGCATGTTTGTTATTATAATATAAATCAGAAAAAAGCTTAAAATGCCTCTTTAAATTACTCTTATGCTTAAATGATTATTATGCTTGAGGTCATGCACAGCTTGAATGATCATTTGAATAAATAAATGTTCTTGAATATGTTTTTAATTTTTAAATAGGTGTGTCATAAATGGGCTCTAAAGTGGGCTAATATGAAAGTCACTATGCATGTAACTGCCCCGAAGCAGTAATTTTAACAATTTCTAGGCCAAAAACGTATTTTTCCTGGCGTACATGAAATTTTAAAGCACCATTAGACCACAATGTGTGTGTTTCCCATTATTAAAGAAGACTATGATGGTTTAAATTTCTTTCCCATAGTCCAAAAACAATCTCGTCTATTCGTTCACACTTTTGTGCATTACATCTCTCTCATAAACATTTAAATATAACTATGCAGGGCCAAGTGGACTATTATTCAAATGAAATGTTATACTGTGCGTCATTATGCATATCACAGGCTGATTTTTCTCGTTTGTAGTTTCTTCTCCGCGGGGGGCACTGGGTTTGAGGCCTTCATCTCGGCAGCGGGGGTCCTGGTGGTGGCCGTCTGCACCAAAAAGGAGTATGTGACTGTGATGCTTCCTGACTACTGCTTCTGTGACTCGCTATGGGTAAGGAAAGGATTTGTTTATACAGTAGATACATTTAAAGGTCCTGTATTAAGCAAAATTGAATGTTGTGAGCTTTAACACATTATTAAATATGTGTGAATGAAACAAAACACATCTCCAGGTACGTCTGTGATGAGGAAAAACATTATAACAGAGGTCAGAAAATAGTGTGAAATATGGGCCCTTTAATATTATAAGCCGTATTGTGTTGTCAGTGAATCGTGCACTGACCTTTTCAAGTGCTTTTCCCACATATTTTCTACAAAACAAGATTCAAAATGCGAAAGGTCAATTTTTGTAGCAGTCATAAAAGGAAAATTATACTACAAATAGCATTATTAAAGGTGCTGTACTTGATTTACAGGACTTGCATACAGTTTAAAAAATGTAAAAAACAAAATTAGTTCATTTTAAACAGTTTGCAGTGGTCCAAAGTTATTCCTCACTTACCTTACGCGTTCAGACCATCCTAATTATTCACCACAATGAGTTTATAAGCACTTTTAACAACTCTCACAGATCAGACGAGACCACAGTTTTGGTGTGACGGTAAAATGCTCACAACAACCAGCATGCTAACACCGACTTCCTGATTTTCAACCAATAAAACTCTTCATAATTAGATGCAGACGGTACACAGAAGAGTTATTTTGATGTCAAGAGCTGCTTATACAATATATCTGTACTGGGGCAATACAAAGTGAGCTCAAATACATCGGAAAAAATCAGGCAAAGGACCTTCTCTAGAGTAGACCTTCAACTAAAGTGTTATTATTTACCATACTTATTGTTCTGTCTACAGCACAGTATTGGTGTGGTGCATGTACCCGGAAAGAGGCCGTTTGGACAGAGTCTGGTTTACATTTACGTGGATGGACAACAAAAACTGTCTGCGCCGCTCAAGTATCCCACCATGACTGAGGTAGGAACTGAATCTATGTATTGCTTTGATTAAAATTTTATATAATATGATCTGCAATCTCCATAGTAAGTACAATATTATCAAATGTATCGTTCGTTGTTATAAAATAAGTTCATGGATAGTTTAAAAGTGGTTATGGCATGTACCGTTCAACTATAATAGAATATGTATATTAATTATATTTGGTGAGCAATGACACAATTTTCATGCATACAAATCTAGTAAAAATATCATTTCTATAACCCAAGCTATACAGAATACAGATTTACAACAGAATATTGCAATAGAAAGTCATAAAATATTTTACAGTTGTCAAATAAAGGTCACGAACGATTGTTAGAAAGACATACATTTTTTTAAAATTGGTTAAAAGGTGATTGAACAGTAATAGAAACATAATATTGCTATTTTTCAGATCACAACTTTCTATAGGTCAGTTATAGGGATGTAACAATAACCGAAATATCATGATATCGTATCGTCAAAAGTCTCACAATAATACCCTGGGGTGTCACAATATATCAAATAACAAGTTTCTTTGCTTAAATGCATTTTTTATAGTAGCAATAGCTAATAAACATCGGGAACTACATATGCCATGATTCATTTCAGCGGAAACAACATGAATTTATAGGTTTTTTACTTGAATTCTTGGGATTATGACTGTAATAATTCACACCAAAATCTACCTTTTAGACAGAATTTCATGACAAAGCACAATGTAATCCTTTGGGAAACCTGACTCTTGTCCCCATCTGGGAGTTTGGCATCCTCACATTATAGAATCTAAAAGCCACCAATAAACCTTTTTCACAACGACCGGAAGTGCCGCGATGTAGGGTTAACGTCACTCCCAGTTAATGGTTTTCTATGGCAAAATATCTGTGGAAATGTTTCGTATATTTTCCACCAGCTTCATAAAACTCATCACCAAATCTTCATCCAACAAGGTCGGCAAAGGACAAATTCTGTCCATGAAGAATTTATCCACAAATATCGAGGTAAGAAAGAGGAAAATGTAAAGCCGAACAACGACAACGCTTTAGTGAAATACTGATCAAAACTAACATTATAGTCATGAATAAAAGATAATTAACTTGTTCACTCAGACTGATTCAAGAATTAAAATTAAAAATCGATTTCATTATGTAGATATTAGCATAGACAGAGAGATTTGTGCAGTTTAAATGCGAGACATGTGATCTGTGAACATCTGTAGCATTCGAACTGCACAAATCTCTATCTATCCAATATCTACGTCATGAAATCGATTTTTTATTTCAATTCTAGAAACAGTCTGAGTTACTTATTAACGAATTACTTATTACTTATGTTTTATTCATGACCATAATGTTAGTTTTGCTCAGGAGTAGTTCACTAATGCTAGTCTTCGTCTTTCTTATCTTGATAGTTGTGGATAAAGTTGTGGTTATTAGATGAAGATTTGATGATGGGGCAGATTTATGAACCTGGTGGAAAGTACGCGAGCCATTTCCACAGATATTTCGCCATAGAAAAGCATTAAGCCGTTGTGAAAAAAGGTCTATAACTGAGAAAAAGTTTAATATTGTTTTGTTTCATCAACAGCCTTTCACTTCCTGTTGCATCGGTTCAGCGGGACACCGGACCACCACGCCCCCTCCCTCCCAGATCCCAGACCCGCCCTTCTCCTCCGCCTCCACCCCCACCACGCGCTCCTCTCTGGGGGGCATCCTGTCTCCGCACACCTGGGGCGGTTTGCTCGGGGGCAAACCTGAGTCTGTGACCAAACTGATCTCGGCTGGGACACAGGACAGCGAGTGGGGCAGTCCAACCTCACTACAGGGGCAACTGGGGAGCGTGATGGTGTTTCATGAGCCTCTGCAGCCAAATCACATTAAAGCCATCTGCAGTGCGGGTTAGTATTAAAGGGCTTTATTTAGTATTAAAGGGTTTTCTGTGAATGAAACATAATACAACTCCAAGTATGTTTCTGATGAGGTATCGAAATTATAACAGTTTAAAGTGGAAAGAGGATCTTCAAGGATGAATGATTTGGGAAAAATATCAAATTGCAATTTTCTGACAAGCACAGCGATTAGATTTGCAATTTAGCGATTAGATTTGCAATTTATGTTTTAGGCTCGTAAACTGTATAAAGAAATGGACTAAGGGAGTGTGACGTCACCTGTAGCATTTGGTTCCAGTCAAATGAAGTGAAATAATATGGTGAAATAAAAACACCAGGATCATGTAGAGAGGGTTTATAAGAAAAAACATGTTTGAAAATTCACGTTATTAATTAGTTCAGCGGTTTATAATTATGTTTTATTCCTTCCAGGTCCTAACTGCATATCTCCACTCAAAGCCCAGGAATCTGAAATTGGGGACCTTACAACTAAACTACTGCTTTACTATTCGCCAAAGGTAAATCGATCGTCATGGTAACTCTTTATATTAGGGCACAACATATTAGAAGCTATTCATGTGTTTTAGCTTTGTGTTATTAAAGATTTACATTTTGAGAACTTTTAACCATTCAAAAGATATAATGTTTTTGTTTTAAATAATTTTGAAACCCATTGATAAACAGTTTTACAATTTGACATATTACATAAACATTTTCGTGAGGTCCGTCACCTTTTTGTTTCTATGGATATGTTACACAATGCACCTTTAATTTTACTAATAAAGGTATAATCTCAATCTTGATTTATAAATATTTATATGCATTTGCAATATGTAAGAATTCCTTTAAGTTTTTAATGGTTTGACTGTAATTTCGATTACTTTATTACAGTGACTTTGGAAGCAAGTTTTATATTTACCCTATACTCTCTCCAGGCATGTAAGAGCCCCATCTGTCTGGATCTTTCGCCCAACACACTGCACGGTCGTCTGACTGGGAACAAAGTGGTCAACTGGGATATTAAGGTATGCAAATGACTCCAGACTGAGCAATAAAGACTCTAAAAACCTGCCTGCGATCCAGAATATACACTGCTCCAATACTTTACAAAGATGTGAGTCTGGTCAAAGCGGAGTTCAGATGTGCATAATTGACAGATAGTTTAGCCAATCAGAGACACCCATGGTCCATCAGGGTTAAAATAAATAGGACTACTTACAACGAAAATAGAAAAAGAAAACATTTTTTTAAATATCCAAAGGGGCTGAAAAACATTTCTGCAGAATTAATGAGCAAAGCACTGAAAATTTGTTTAAAATGATGGAGGACCAATGAGCTCCTTCATCACTGAAATGCACTGTGGCAGGCACTTGACTGATCTGTCTAGACTTGTAAGTCACTCATCAAAGTCTAATAGAGATAATTAGTATCTGTGCTTTTACTTAAGTAACAAAATTGTGTATTTCTTCCAGCACTGTGCAGATGACATTTGAATGACACTTTGGAACTGTATTAGTGAATTATATATAGGCAATGTTATTTCAGGGTCAGTGGTGAGTAATGAAATTTTCTCCAAAAACTGTGAAAGTGCTCCTGCAGTCTGAAAACAAAGATAAAAGTCTACAACTCTGCAAAATATTTAGTCTGTACCTGACATCTAAAACAAGAAAATGAAGTAAACAGGGACATAACACAGAGCAACACTCGCATTCATCACTGATACAGACTTTGTGATCATACATTTGAACTGAACCTTTCGCTTTTTAAATAACATGTTTCTGAGTCTGAGTGTTGAATAAATAATTATTGTGGGCGAAAACAACACAACACGGACAAAATGGAGGTCAAAAAAGCAAAGCATTTTGTCTGTTAAGCTGCTCATAGTTCTGCCTCAGTGCCACTTGTAGCAGTTTTTCGAGGCAAGTATTTCTCGAATATCCAGTCCACTTTATTTTTATAGCACATTATATTAACAAAATAAACAATAAAAATTTGAATGAGGTCAGAGATGTATTGTGGGGCCAGTACGTTCAAAGCTTTCAAAACAAACAATAAAATCTTTAAATCTGTTCTGCCGTCAGCGTTGGGTTATTCCAGTGTAAAGCGCATCGCATTAGTCCAGATGTGACAAAATAAAAGCATGCATGACGCGAATAAAATGATGTCAGTGCATAACCTTCACATGTTCCGATTTGTCTGCATCTGCGTTTTGTCAGGATGTGATAAACTGTGTGGGCGGTCTCCCGGTGCTGTTTCCCGTTCTGGAGCAGTTGGCCCTGGTCACTCCGGATCCACAGACCTCAGATCCCGGCTCCGGGTCTTCAGACTTCATCACTCCAGACGTCTCCACACCTGCCGAGGGGGACTGGGTCATTCTGCCGTCCACCCGAGCTTCAGGTTTTAAATACTACTGCAATTATGGTCTTGAAAGGGCTGTACCGCATTTTCTTTCATGTAATAAAGTAAAATTGGTTTTGCCATAGTACAGATATATTGCAAAAGCAGCTCTTAGCATCAAAATGAGACTACTGTGTGCTTTGTTAGAATTACATCTCTAGTCTCTGAAAGTTCTAAAACACGCCAATAAACTCATTGCGAGCTAGGTATTAGTTAGGAAAGTGATGAGTAGCTCTAATGAGTCTGTTGTCTTGCGAGCCATAATTGGAGAAACATTGGCATTTGAAAGATTCCCATTCTTTTTTTTTTTTGTTAATTATAATTTTCTTTCACAGAGTCAAGACTGGAGAAGAACTTGGTGGCCACTTTTCTGTTGGTCCTGAAACATTTTCTCCAAAGACATCCCATAAACCAGGAGACTCTGCTCCACACACACGGAGTCAGCACTTTAGGAGCTCTTCTGCAAAAGGTAAAAGTCCATTAAAATATATATATAACCATAAGTGTAGGTAGATATTAGTCATATTAATCTTTCTTTAGATCAAGTAAAAAATAAAGGATAACAATTAAAAGAACAGAGTGAGAATTATTACTGCTATTTATTTATCTGAGTTCTCTCTGCGAAGTTTATATGAAAAAAAAGACAAATTTGGCTTCAAAATACATCAACTACTCTTACTTTCCCTTAAATAAAAACAAACACAAAAAAATAATAAATATAAATATTAAAATAAATAAATAAATGTAAAAAATGAAAATAAAAAATACTAAAAATACTAAAATTAATACATAAATAAATTTATACAAAATAATTATTTAAAACAATTCTCAGGATTAAATGGACTCATGTTTAGTCTAATCTTCCTGTTCATTTTTTAAAGGGGTGTTAGAAACATTTGCTGCCTCCTCTGAGACTGCACCAGACACAGCCACTCCCTTTAAAATCACAATACCCCCAAACAAACAGCTCTGGTATTTTCTTATCTTAACTCAGCCCCTCAGCTTCTTTCAGTCCGTCCTTGACAACATCTGTTTAGTCTGTTCTTACACTTCTTAATTTATACCGCAACCACATTTGCACAGAGTGGGTTTATAATTGGATTGTGTTAAGACAGATAAAGATTTACAGCCAAGCACTAGCAATTTTTGGTAAATTTTTAAACATTGCACAGTGGGTATTTTGTATTGGCATATCATATTTAGAAATGTATTGTTTTATATCAGATAAAAATGTACGATAAACACAATGCAACTTTTCTGAGATGATGTTATTGCATTGCCTGGAATGTTCTTAGACTTCAACTTCATCTTAGACAAGCTTTATTGATCCACAAGGGAAATTATTTGGACACAGTAGCTTACACATCACAATATATTATAATAACAGAGAAAAAATATGAATGCAGCAGCTTATAAATATCTGTTCCCAGTACGACTTTAAGTACAGTGCTATGAAAAGTCACATTCTGATTATAAAAACAAAAGAGGACAAAAAGCTATCCTTTCCTGTTTTCTCTCTGTGCGGGAGTGCCCTCCAACTCACAGATGAGGTCAAATATCTTGGACATTATGTCACCAGTGACCTCTCAGATGACAGAGATGTGTACAGACAGCAGTGTAAGCTTCACGGTCAGGCCAATGTACTTGTCAAAATGGCACTTTTTAAATGTTTCTGCTCGCGCTTGCATCTTTGGCACAACTACCGTATTTTCCGTACTATTAGGTGCTCTGGATTATAAGGCGCACTCTCGTTGAATGGTCTATTTTCAAACTTTTATCACAAATAAACCGCACTGGACTTTAAACGAAACACAACAGTTGGATGGGTCAGTGGGACTTGTTTGGCGCATTCACGGTGACTCTGGGTTTTGTTCAGTTGTGGCGTGTAGGGAGGGTGCTGTCTGGGCCCGCTGGATTGTCAGCGTGTTCGCAGTCACTCAGTTGTTCAGTTGTGTCTAGAAGTTGCACATTGCACTCACTTTTTCGGTTCGTTCGTCCGTTCCGTTTCTCGTCGGCGTGGAGTGATGAGTGTGGCTGCGGGTGTTTTTCGCTGGGCAGTCGCTGTCTGCTCCGTGTGTGTTTGTGGCTTTGTAGTTTACTGAAGTCGTGCTGGGACACCTGAGTGGATTCGTGTATAGGGCGCTCTGGATTGTGGGGCGCACGGCCGTTTTTTGATGGGGTTGGAGGCTTATGAGTGCCCCCAATAGCCCGGAAAATACGGTACAAGAAAAAGAGTTTGGAGAGTTTGACAGTAGCTTATAATGACTCCTTGAGAATATTACTGAAAGTGCCATAGCCCCAGTAAAATGTTTGTAAATTGTGGCATTAGACCCTGTGCTGTCACAATCAGATGTTGTGTTTATTTATTTATTTATGTATGTATTTATTTATTTATTTATTTAGTTAGTTAGTTAGTTAGTTATATATGTCCTCTGAGGAACTCTGTCAGATTCACCTCTGAGCTGTGGAGACACTGGCGGTCTTGTCTGTCTTTTCTTTTAATATTATGAACCAGATATTATGTGTCTCTTAATAAAGATTGAATTAAATTGAATGGTAATAATGAAGCCACCAGCTGTCAAATTCAGTCTTTTCATTTTACACTACATAACTGTCCTTCTCTTGTGGTCTCCAGCTCCCTGTGGGTCATGTAGATGTCAGTGTTCTGGTGGCCATGCAGCTCCTGATCGAGCAGGTGACATGTGAGAAGAACCAGGCTCTGCTCCAACAGCTCCACTCACATCTGCTCTTCAACTTCAACATCTGGAATAAAGGAGATTTTCCACTGAGGATAGGTCAGCTGTCTATTTCTGTATTGGGAAACTATTACAGTATGAGTACCCATGTTTTGTTTAATATTTATTTAAAGGTACAATGTGTAATTTTCTGGAGGTGGCACATCACCTAGATGATTCCATGGACTGGAAATTAAAATTAGTTTCATTCAGCTGTTTTATTTTGCTATAATCCTACCCAACATTAGCAACCGATTGTATTTTGAATCTGAATTTCCTTTCCTTTGTTTCCAGGTCATATCCAGTACATGTCCACAGTCATCAAAGACAACAGGAAACAGTTCAGGAAGAAATATGGAGTCCAGTTCTTTCTTGATGCTGCTCGTCTCTATTATGGGTAAAACATTCTCCTTTAGATTCAGTTTTTTAAATTGGCTTTCAATTGAATTTAGGGTATTTTAACAATACAGAATTTTAATCATTAATATTTAACACAAAATAGTCACATTTTATAAACTAAACACCAACTATATTATAAGGGAACTATTATTTAAAACAGAGGTGTCCAAACTATGCAGCCCTCAGACCAGTTTTTGTTAGACCTCAGCGTTCCTTAGAATTGGCCTAAATAACCAAACTAATTATTTTCACTTCAAATACTGAAAAAGTCTGTGATCATTTTATAAATCACAAACATTTTGCTGTGATTCAGACCAAATATTGATGTTTAAAGTTTGATTGAAGGAGTGGTGACTCAGGCAAACCTGCGTCAAATGCAACATTGATTTGACTCATTCTCTTTTCTGTCTGTGGCCATTTGCGCCATATAATTTTCAGTATGTGGCCATCTGTGAGAAAAGTTTGGACATGGACTGATTCAAACTATGTATCATGTACAGGCCATGTTGTTGGTGTTGTATGTAGTTACTTTGCTGTGACTTTAACCGACTGCAGCACTTTGAGATTTATTTTTAAAATGTAAAGTGCAATGTAATATTTTTTTTCTTTGCAATTTTGCCCTTTCTTCAGGAGGAACAGCAACAAAGAGGGTGATCTGAGCGAAGACGACATCCGCACCATCAGAGCCTCTCTTTATGGACTCATTAAGTACTACATTGGAAAAGGCATGTCCCAGGATGAGATGCACAGCATGCTGGGATACATCGCTGCTATCGGGGATGAAGAACAGGTCAGGAAACACATTCAGAGACAAACAGCAATATGTGGACATTTAAATACATTTAAAACCACTGCACAAAAAGAAATCTCATGGTAACTATTCTTAGAAATACCAATGGCTGATGTCGACTTACATCATTTAAAATGGGAAATATAAAACACAGTGTAATTTGAGTATTAGGATTTTAATTGATTGAGTCAATACAAGATTAAAGCCCCACTGTGTAACTTTTTAACGCAAAAATAGACAACAAAAGTGTGTGTTTTGTTGCTCTGAAAACCTTAGAAAAACATCCTTTAGATGCTTACTGTGAGAAGGTTTGCATCTTCTCAAGAAATGATGTTCCTTTGACTATAATATTCCACAGTATGGCATAAAACTCCTCTGTCTCCATGCAGAATGTTCCGAAGTATGGTTTTAACTTTTTTTTTTTTTTTTACACAGATTTTCTTTCTGTATACAGGATTACTACATTTTTGTATTTTATTTTTCATAGTTGTATGTTGTATATTTTAGTTGTTTTGTCTGTTGTGTATCTGTAGTTGTGTGGACTACTGGAGCTGTTACTGAGCCTCCTTCAGACGAGTCCTTCTCGGGATCAGCTCTTCCTGCTCCTGTTTGAGCCGAGTGCTGCAGACTCCTGCTACGCTCTGCTCCTCAACCACAAACACTCAGACAGACTCAGGGAGCTGGTCTTCAAGGTAAAGATGTAATGTTATTATATTTTAAAGTACTGTACTAGTATTCTAATTCAAATTCAGTGTAATCTGTAGGTTTATAGATTAAGGTTTGGCCTGATCCAGTAAAGTCCAATAACAAAAAAAGAAAATAAATTTATTCAATTGAATTTATGCACTCAGTTTATTGTATTAAATCAATATATTAAATTAAATCCACTTTGTTTTGTTTATTTTATTGAGTTTAAGTAAACAACTAAAAACTAACTAGTAAATGAATTAAAGGAGCTGTAGCAGATTTTTCCCATTTTTTTTTGAGCTAAAGTGTTTATTTAGAGTCAGGAAGTGTGTAATAGCATACTAGTTGTTGCTCAGCTCTAGTCTCTGATAAGTAAGGAATAACTCTGAACACCTGCAAACAGTTTAAAATGAACTAGTTCTGTTTTTTATGTTTTAAAGTTTAACTAAACAGAGTAAACACAATAAAATATAGTAACATGAATAAACTGAGTAAACAAAAATAACTCCCTCTTGTGGTTAAGTAAAAGTACTTCTGTTGTTTCCACAGTTGTTTGAGCGAATGCTGCGCTGTGACCGTGTTTATGAGAAAAACAAACAGAGGCTGAGGCTGAGGGAGGCGGGATACTCCGGCCTCTCGCTCCTCTTCTCCGACCTCCACATCACTCCCAGCCTGATCCGATGTCTCCTCAACCAGATCCTACACACAGGTCAGAACTCCATATAACATGCAGACAATGGCTTTTGATAGGTATTATAATTAGTGCTGAAAGATTGGGGAGAAATATCTAAGGATTTTGTGATTTTTCTGACAAGGACGATTGGATTGCGATTGGATTTGTGATTGATGGAAATAGAAACTGATACTAGAATCACATAGCAATTGCCATGGATCCTACCTGGACGATTGAGGGATTACAGAGACGAGAATCACATTTCAGAACATGTTTGCACAGATCTAAACTACAGGTTCAGCAGTTTAAGCAGAATAACACAGGATATTTTGTTCTTTGTGGAGGAAATGATGGTGTTTCAAAAATGATCCTGTTTACAGTCCATTGAAATTCCAAAGGGCAAGTACTAGTATGGATATTAAAATCTTCAGAAGACTACCATATTTCTCTGACTATTAAGTCGCTCCGGAGTATAAGTTGCACCAGCCAAAAAATGCATAATGAAGAAGAAAAAAACATATATAAGTCACACTTTTTGAGGAAAATTTATTTTATAAAATCAGAGACCAGGAACTGACATTTCATCTTCAAAGTCAAGTTATAGTAACAACAACAGAACAGAGAAAAACAGTTCTTCAGATAACTATAGCATAAACAACAGAAGAGAACAAGTTTAACAACTCTCCATCTCACTCCAAATCACTAAATCCATTGAACTCCTCATCCCTGGTGTCACTTCTGAGCAACTCCACGACCTCCGGAGGTAAACAGAGCGTCGCTTCCTCTTCTGTGTAGCTGTCGTCAGACTCAGCATCAGTTCCAGTTAGAATTATTCCGGCCTTTCTGAATTCCGACAGGATGATTTTGGTGTCACTGAAGTCCAGGCTTTGTCGATCCATTCAATGACTTCCAGGAAAGTTGCATGGCACACCCTCCCGGTTACTATGAAGCTGTGTCTCCATCCTTGCTTTCCGCCAGTCCCTCACAAGTTTCTCGTTCACTCCAAATTTTCTTTTTGCTGCTTGATTACGGTTTTCGACTGAATATGAGACATGCGCAGTAGAGCCAAGTGACAGTGGTACAGGAGTAGAAGATACTGACACACAAGACTAGAGCCTGTTGTGGCTGTCAGTGTGAACATTTTAGTATATAAGTCGAACCGGAGTATAAGTCAGGAAACACCCAAACCATGAAAAAAAGTGCAACTTAGTCTGAAAAATATGGTAAGCTCACTCAGTTTCTCACCTGTAATTCCATATTTTTTATTCTCTTAAGCCCATATATAAGAATGTTGTTTTTGTTTGTTTGTTGAAATATAGTAGATACTCCTCTAAATTGGTCTAAAATTGGTCTAAATCTAAATTCCTGTCTGGTTCATTCATTTTTCTACTTCTGTAAGTGCCATTTAGCAAACAGACAACTTGTATTCTGACTGTGTGTTGTAATTTCTATCTATATCAATCTACCTAAGTACCTTACTGCAGTCACTGTGAATACTCATATTAGTTTTAATGTTTTTATTACTGCAGTCTTACCGTACAAATGCAACAAATCAAACATAAGCCCGACTATATCCCGATGTCTCCCTCCTCTGTGATTCAGATTCAGTTTTGACAGTGTTGAGTTACATTCAGCCCCAGTGCAGCTCTGAGCCAAAGAGCGTTTTAAGAAATGAACCTCCAGGTGCATTATACTGTACAGCTGACGTATTTAATATCATTGGACCCACTGATCTCGGGCCTAATGCTGTGAGCTAACACTATGACTTATCAGTATGATTATTACAGGTACAGTAGTTCTCAAAATGTCGTACACAGTTGCTTGGCTTGTCACTGTAATACGACTTATTGTTCAATTAATGATAGAAGAAGCAATTGGTAGTTTTTGGATTCAAGGCCAGGACCACATTTTCCTATTGATTACATTGTACAGTGCCACGAAATATCCAAAAAGTAAACTCACAAATGTTGAATCTGGTGTTTTAAATTACTGACAAAACCTTAGAACTCACTGTATTACAACATAATTTTGCTTTTTAACATTTTTATTTGTATTCATTAATATGAGTCTATAGAATGCTGTGATGTCGTCTGAAACCCAGCAATTTTAGGGTTCAATATTTACTGTGTACATTTTTTTTTCTGGAAGTTGCATTGGCCATTGAAGGCAGCACTTAGACTTCTTAGACATAGACAAATTTTATTGATCCAGAAGGGAAATTACTTGGACACAGTTACAATACCAATACAATTACAATAACAAAGAGTAAAAAAAAAAATTGTAATAATCTTCTAAAGTTTTGGTGTCTTTGACCAGAAAGCTGTAAATGTACATAATTTGCACTAAAGTTGCCAGTTGGAAGAGAAGATAATGCGATTAAAACACCATATAGACAGTTCAGTAGCTTCATATAGATTTAACACCAAAATGTCCCCGGTGTTCATTACAGAGGACATGTAATGTACACCAGGGATTATAAGTAAAAATAAAATGAACAAAATCTAAATGCTAAGGTGTTCGTTTACCTCCAAATAAAGAGAAAAACACAAAAAATATATATTGCAATACACTTTTTTTATTCGGGTCCCAGGAGGATATAACACATAATATCTTCATCAACCAGACATACATCAACACAAATAATTAAATAATGAACACAAATATAAACAATAATAATATTTAACAAAAATTACAACCAAAGAATAAGGAATACTGATCAAAAAGGAGACAAAATATAACAATAACTTAAAAACAAAACCAAACAAAAAAAGTGGGAGAGACAGGAAGTTGGCATCAGCTCGAAGGCATGGGTGGGGGTGTGGTGGTGGATTTGACAATACAATACATATTTCTGAACTAATTATAATGTATTTTGTTTCAGATCATAATGTGAACTACAAAGACCTGATGGCTCTGGTCCAGCTCACTCACCGAGCAGGTCCTAGTGTCCGCCTGTTCGTCTGCAAAAGGGTAAGAAGGAGACGCGCTCAGTAAAAGCTTTTTTATTCAATTCAATTCAGGAAGAGAGACGCTATTGTAATTTATTAATGTTGGGCACCACTTGAAATGGACCTGCTGTCCTGTTTTAACTCATTCTTAATACACTTTGTTTCTATTACGGACTCATCATTGTTTGTTAGAGACTGGCTCCACATTTAATCTTACGGTTTAAAGTGCTTTCATCTGACAACAGTGACGTCTTTGGGGTCGAATAATGGCTCCACTTTCTGAAGCTATTGTGATAAATTAATTTCACTTTCATTCATTTACGCTAACAGAGAAGACTTAAAATTTTGTACCAGTTTTTGCTTCATGTGGAAAGGCCCAGTAGTTATAGAGATGTTAACCATAAACCAGGTCAATAAATCTATAATCTGACAGCTAAAGGGCCCAGATTACACAATTTTCTGACCTGTTATAAAGTTGTTTCCTCATCAAAAACAGACCTGGAGTTCTGTTTTGTTTCATTTACACATGTTTAACACACAAACCCTGCATATTTAGTTCTCTTGAATGGAAAACACTGATCTAGAGTCCTGCATGGGTCCATTTTGGGAGACCCACACCCGCTCAGTTTACCCGTGATTATATCAAAGTTAAAACCACCCAGACCCGTTAACATTCCACCTTTTACCCGCTTGTGCCCATGATAAATCACACACAAATTAAAAGCATTCTAACTGAAGCATCCATCAGAATACGAATTGAAAAGTTACAACTTCAAGAATTACAATCACAGAATGAAATGAAACGGTTACACTTACTTCAGTATGAATATGAATTCACAGACGCAACTCGACTTTCATCACTTCACAAACATTATTTACTGAGCGGAAGAAACACTGATCGAGATGCCGGACTTTTGCACTGCACACGCCACAGACTGAACCAAGACTAAACCAGGACTAAACCAGGACTGATTCCAGGACTGATTTCAGGGCTGAACCAGGAGGACTAAACCAGGACTGAACTAAGACTAAAACAGGATTAAAACAGGACTAAAACAGAACTGAACCAGGACTCACGGGCTCAGGCTTGCGCCCGCGTAAACCGTCGGGTGACGACAGACTAAATGACCAGAGCTCTGCACCGCATGGAGATAAGCGCAGCAGTCGCCCGATCGCACTTTATGGACACCCTGCTCCACGGGCTCAGGGTTCTCTCTCTCTTAAATCCAAGATTAATCCTGGTGTAGTCCTGGTGTAGTCCTGACCTGCGGGTACCCAACCCGGTGCAGGACTCTGCTCTGATCTATCTTTACTCAAACATGTGTGAATGAAGTTTTTTATGAGATACTAACATTAGTGGCACTTTTGCGTAATATAGGATCTTTAAACAGCTCACGTTTAAATTACAGCCTTTCTAGAATTTTGGTGAAGTCATGTGAACACATCTTGATTAAATTATGTCTGAAAACCCAATTTGTCACCATATAATTACTTAAATACTTTCTTTTTGCTGTGGTAGGTGCACCAGCTGCTCCAGTCCTCCCAGGATGCAGCAGTTCAGATGGCCAGACAGCAGTGTTGGCAGGACACTTTGATGCGCTTATATCTGCGAGGAGACGGATCTTTAAATCTGAAAAACGCAGACTCTGTTAGCACGTGTAGCTTGGAATTGAGCCGAAACTCCAACTCAAACCGCTTGGAGTTACCTCTTGAAAGAAGGACTCGAACTGGAAGCAACAGCAGATTGGACAGACTTGAAGATGATAGAATAAGCATAGGAGACACCAGATCTGTTGATAGTTTAGAAAATGATGTTATTTCGCTTTTGGATACGCCGTCTTCGTCTGCGTCCACCGAACCACACATCCAGACAAAGCCGTGGATTGTGGGGAAGTCAGGGGGGTTGACACTGGACTTATCCCACATTCAGGGCTTCGAAGCTGGGGAGAGCGGGACGCAGACCCCCGGGAGCATGCCCAGTACGCCGTCGCCCATCGAAACGTCCAAACCTTTTCCGGGAAATTCCAGTGAAAAAGATCCAAACTCCTCCCTGAACGAAGACAGCTTTCTCTTCAGTGATAATATTTCCCTGGGGGAGTCTTACAACAACACTGAGGTAAGATAAACAAAATATATAATCCAGAAAAACTCAAATAAACCAAGATTTAACTGAGACTAAACTATGACTAGATCAAGTAAAAACTAGACTTTCATTTCCATGGTTGTTGGATATTTTTAGCATCAGAAGAAACCTGCCTGAATATAGCTTTGTTAAGGTAAAAATAAAATAAAATAGATTATACAAACATTTTCTGTACTTTTTATTTTTTATCAACACATTTTGCAGCTTTTTAAAATCTGTTTTCTCTTTGTAGACAATTAAGGCTGGGTATCATTAAGAAGTTGCCGATACGATACATAACTCGATACACAGAGCAAAGTTCAAATAAAACACGGCAATTTTAATCATCAAAACAATGAAAATATCAAATGTGTTGCATAAACAAGTTTCCTTCCACTAAACAAGCAACAAAATTGTAACACTGTAACAAAATAATTTAGTAAAATATACCAAAAAATACTCTTGGCGAAATATTGATACAGCAGCCCACGATATTGATACTGTATAAGTACATTAAACAATACGATATATCTATATTTTGATATTTTTATATACTTTTAATCTAATTTAGTATACCTTTAAAAATCACAATATCCTATTTGTAATGCAGATGATTTTTACTTTCTAACAAGGGTGGGGACCATTCATTTTCTTCTGGTACTTGAACGAAACTGAAGGTTGCTTTTTTCAGTACCCATTTCTGTTTTATTATCTATTATCTTATCGGATCTACATGACTATTTTTTTTTTTTTCATTTTTATTGTTAATTTGAGGTGGCACTGCCTAAAAACTTGCTATAGTTCGCTCCCAGGATCCAAAAGGCATGAAAACTTGTTATCAAAATACATTTTCAGCACCAATAGTATCTTAACTTTCTAAAACTACTCAAGACCTGACTGGATAAAAGCTTGAAATCTCTGTCTAACTGACTTTTTTTGCTTTTTCAGTGTCTATTTATGTATAATTCTTTATCTTCTGTTGTTTGTAGCGCGCAGAGGAGGAGTTGTGTTCGATGCTGTTGGAGATCGTCCTGTGTGTGATGTGGAGAGGAGTGGAAGGCTCTGATGACGCAGCCTGGTTAGAGCGAGGACAGGTTTTCTCTGCTCTTACCAAACTGGGAACAGCCAACGAACTTTTGCAGCCCGTCGACCAAATAAAACTCGGGTAAAACAAAAATATATATGTTTATTTTTTATTTTGATGATAAAATTTTTATATTTGTGGATTGTGACACTGAAAATTACAAAAAAGGAGAATGTTTGCTTCTGTTTAGTGTGTCCTATTTTTTTGCCATGACAAATTTCTTCTCAAACTCCTTCTCAAATAACATTACAGTCACAAGCCAGCTGACATTATCCAACAGTTTTTTAGTCACTCTACTTTTTTCCTCCAAATTCCGTACTTGTGCTGATCACAGGCTGAAGGTTTAAATTAGGGTTGGACAGTCTATTAAATCAATTAATTGAATATGAAGTTCAGTGTCAAGAAAAACAATCTTTATTTTCCTCACTTTTAAGAGTTGGAAATTGCTCCCTTCAGTCACAGGAGCTGAGTCACAGGACAATGCGGCGCTCAGGCTTTGAAATCAGTGATCTAAAATTAAATGTTGGGGCTGCAGGTTTAATACAATGTTTAATCTCCTTCATAAAAGATTTCCCCAATGACCAAAGGGTTAAAGATGATCACTGAATATAATCTTTTCAGTTTTGACCATTTTTTGTAGTTTGCAGAACATTTTTAGTGGAGAAGAGGATTTTATTTTTAGGCAAAATCGTGCAGGCCTTGTTTAAATCCATTGTGAATTTTTTTCATGAGTTATCGTATTCTGCAGTGTTTGTTCGTTTGTACTTGGTCTCACAATTGTAAGTGCTGAACATTCCTTCATAGACATCTATGCAGAACCCCCCCAACATGACGCACAGTATCAGTACAGCAATTTACAAACCGTTTCTTATTTCCCTTTCCTCTCCGGTGTAGCCTGATGGAGCGCATGTTGGAGTGGGCTGTGGGGGATAATCGTGAGGCGTCTGCGGCCTCTTTACCTCAGCACACAGAGAACGCTGTGCGCCTCCTACACCTGGTCCAGGACTTCCTCCAGGCCGAGGGGCTCATAAACCCGGCTCTGTGGACGGAGAGGGTCTTGGAGGAGACGGTCACGCTCATGGACAGTCTCATGGTCTGGTACTCGGCCGGGACTCAGTGGTTTCAGCTGTCGCAGGTCGGACTCAGGCTCCTGCTCGGGTTCATGGCACAAGAGGACACTGATGTGAGTTTTCTTTTTGGTTTCAGTTCAGTTTCAGTTTCTTTCTTCTTCTTTTGCATAGATGAACACTTTATTTTTAATAGAATTTGTCAACAAAACACAAAATACAAACAGAAACAAAACCAGTGAGGATCAAAAAAGAATTTTAAACAGTCACCACGATGAGCCACTGTCTTAGTAATGCTACTAGCATGCTAATGGTGGACTTCCTGATTCTTTGTAATTAGATGCAGAGAAATCAGGTAGAGCCACTTTAAATCAATATCAGATGAGACTTTTATTTTTTTCATAATTTTGTATAGACCACAGAGTAAATAATTTATACCAATCAGAATTAAGATATTTTATTTAAAATTTTGACAAAAACAAATGCTTTCTTTGTTTTGGGTTTTGTTTTATTCTTGTCAAAATATATAGGTCTTTTTTAAATATTTCTTTAAGATTTAATTTTATTACTTTTTTGTATTTTCCCCAGAATCTTGTACTTTATGTAATTAAATCAAAAATAATAATCAAGATTAAAATAATGAACTTAAAGATCATTCAGTACATTGTCGTAAATATATTTTGTGGGTATAACATAACTATTCTATTAAACATCTTTTCTTCCTCAAGGTGTGTGCGATGGCGACTGCTAAACTCAACGGTATCCTCCAAACCAAAGAGATCTCGAGTCAGGACGAGGCCTGTTACCTCCTGGGCAAAGTGGAGGGCATCCTGAGACGTGCCATCCAGGAGAAAACCGAAGAGACTTACTCTTTTCTGGTTCCGCTTTTACGAACTCTTCTGTCCAAAGTCCATCGTCTCCTGTACATGGAGCTGCACCTGCCCCAGCTCCCAGACACCAACGGCAGCCCGTCTTTCTTCGAGGACTTCAGGCTCTACTGTAGCTCTCCTGAATGGCGCGTTTACCTCGATAAATATGTGAGTATGAAACCAGGGATGTACCAGTAACTGAAATATCGTGATATTGTATTGTCACAGTAATATCGTGAGCCATCACAATATAACAAATTACAAGTTTCTTTGCTTAAATTCATTGTTATGGTGCAGCAACAGGTAAAAACTGAGAGAACTACATATAGTTCCCTACTAAAAACACAGTCCACAGAAAAAAGTTTGGCCGATTACCACCATACTGATAGTAATGGAGCAAGCAAATTAATTAAATGTCGCATTTCACAGCAGCAAAACTTATTTTAATGGCTACCTGACGATTTTGAAACCTGCCTACACATAGACCTGTCAAGATAATTACTATATTGACTTATCCGTTCAATTTTTGAAAGCTGGAACAATATTTTTTGAGTCAATATAATGTTTTTTCACTCAGTATTTATCGTGTGTACATGTTCTTTATAAAATTGGGAAGATTTTGTTATTTTTGTTGTGATACGACAATATTTGAGCTGTGGAGGGTTAAATGAGTAACGTCTATGGCAAATTATCTGTTTATTCAGTTATTTACTTGTTGCAACTCAGACCTTTTAATGAGACTGTCTATTTAAGATGGGATTAACCTGCTGTATTGTTATTGTGAGAGTGGCATAATGTTCTTTAAATATTGTCATTATATTATCAAAGGCTGCATTTTTCAATTTTAATCACCTGTTTGTACAGAAAAGTAGGGAGTAGGTGAAAACAGGAATATTCCGAGCCCTCAGGGATTGAATGTAGGACAATACTTGATTACTCAAAAATGCATTAACGAATTGAAATATAACTTCAATTAAAACACACTAAAAATGCATGCTTTTCTATCTTTTCCAGTGCAATAAAAGCATTCAAAATGACAAAATATGCTTTAATTTTAGACTTTTTGGCTAAATCCAGACTTAAACCTGGACTGCTTGTGGACCGAATCCAGTACTAAACCTGGACTAAGCACGGATTTACTTCTTAAATGACTGGACCAAAAGCTTAACTACTACCACCAACCTTTTTCTTCCACATCTATTTCAAATTTCAAACATTTATTTCCAGATTTTCATTTCATATTATATTTTTTATGACTTGGAAAAAGCCATGTTATATATTGGTGTCTTAATATTCCCTTTCCTCCGCAGATTATTCCCTACATGAAGCAGTACGAGATAGAAACTTTTAGCCAAGGTCACGAAACGATGGCCCTCTACTGGAAGGAATGCTACGAGACTTTTATGGTCAGTCTGCACAAGAGAGAGAGGGAGAGAGGAGAGAGCAAGATCCGATTCCAGGTACGATAATGTTTCAAATTACTTTACAATTATTATTAGTACTTTGCAGCAGACGTAAACACATTATCTGTAAGTAGCTCTGTTACTCAAGTTGGTTTACACTACTGCTTTGTTTTTCACACAGTCTGATCAGAAAGAGCTGACTTATTTGGAATTACAACAATTTTAAGCTGATTTGTGCCTTTAAACAAGTCTCTCACACGTAACATTACAATCCACAAGTTTGCTAGCATTAGTTTTTCAGTTTTTCAGTTAGTCACCCTCACCTTTTTTCTGAACACAATCTCCTGGACACGACCATGAACATTCGTATTCATCACAGGCTCCTTGAGTTTTCAGACTATCTTAAAGGTGCATTATGTATCTCCTAAGATGGAGGGTCCGCTACTTGCTTATCTCCATGGATATGTTACTTCTTTTCCTGGAATGTTCCATTGTGTAATTACAGGTGTTTTAGAGCTCAAAAGTGAAACATGAAATTGCAAACGCACACCAAAGTCCAAAAAAATACACAGTATAGAGTGGTCCAAAGCAAAAGAAATTATCTGACAAAGGTTTTGTGGCGAAACATTTATGTGGCAAAACATTTATGTGGCTAAACATTTATGTGGCGAAATGTTTATAACAGGACTGTCAAACTCAAATTCACAGAAGGCCAAAATTAAAAACTGGGACAAAGTCATGGGCAAAATATTTATTGAAAAATTTCAACAACATCTGCATGTTTTCTCTTCTTTCGAGATATGTAATGTTAAACCACTTCTTATTAAAATAAATGTTTAATAATAGTTCTGCTTAAACACTGAATCCAGAACAAACTAATATAAAATCATAATAAAATTTAAAATAAATAATGTCTCTATAGCCTATCTGTAGGCGGGCCAGCTCTAATACATATTTGATATAATCTCGCGGGCCAAATATAATTATATCGCAAGCCAAATTTGGTTCACAGGCCTGAGTTTGACATGTCTGGTCTACAATAAAATAAAAACACTTTGAACATCAGCATTTTTTCACTTTTCTAGCTTAAAAATACCTTAAAAAACATTCATTCTTACCATATGCAGGCTTGCTCCTCCATAGATCCTGTCTCCATTGTGATTACCAAGTTTATTTACATACTGTGGAATATTCAAGGCATGGAGACGAGCAGTTGGCAGATCCTCAACTAGAAAAGCTACACAGTGTGCCTTTAAAACTTTTTTGGCAGTGTTTGCTAATGTGTGCATTGGTGTCTCCATGGTAACTGCTGAACACTCCTCCATAAACATACATGAAACACCCCCTCCCCAAAGCTTGATGTCACTGCAGAGTGTCAATAAAACAAAAATAAATGCAATATCTGTCTCATCAAACTGAGAAACCCATTTGCTTTCATTGTCCCGTTAGGAGCAGTTCGTGGAGCCATTCTCACGACGCAGCCGCCAAGAAAACCTGAGATACAACAGCATGCTAAAGCTGCAGCACAGCCAGAACAGCGCCACCCTCAGGCAGTGGAAGGCAGCGCGCAGAGGCCTGGTCTGTGAGAGAGGGCCATGGGCTGACAGGTATTATGACGACTACTATGTAACTTAATACACATCCTGAAAGATTAGGCACAATTTGATTAAAGTAGTCATTTTAATCGTGGCAAAATGGCAAAAAAATTATGTCCTCAAGGCGTCTTATTCTGTGTGAAAGCTGGTAACCCTGTAGTTTAGACCTCTACAAACATATTCAGAAGTGCATGTGATTCTTGTATATTTTAGTTTTTTCTCAAATGTTAACGGTGCATTTGTAGTTTTTCTGTTTGTCTGCAATTATCCAGAGTACGGTGTAAAATAGGTATAGTGTTTTTGAGTGTGTTTTTTTTTACTTGTTTTATGTAGAGTAATAAAAACACCTGTAATTGACTAAACATACGATATGTTTACCCTGTAACAGTTTAGACAAAAATATAAACACTACACTGTGAATTAATCTTGATTTTGTTTTGTTTATTTTTTAGGCAACAGGACGAAATGCACTGGCGAGTGTCCAGTGCGGAGAACTTCTCACGGATGAGACTGAAGCTGGTTCGAAACTATCACTTTGACCCACACAAAGAGGCCAGCGCACTCCGAGATAATCTAGGTAAGATGCCAAGGCAAATGTAATTCATTATAATATAAATAAATAAATGTAAAAATAAATTATAGATAGATAGGAGTCAGCTCATTGCATGAAAAAATAATTATAGTATCTCAAAGCAGTACCATCAAATTGAAAATGGGAATTGAATTTAGTTTAATTTCAAAAGCAGTTTACAAATGAGTAACTCTGATAATTTTTCTACTATTATAGCTCATCTTGGTTTAATATTTAATAAAGTCCATGCAGTTTATGTAAACTTTATACAGTATATTCCCCACTCCAACTAAATATTACAAGTGACATGAAACAAAACTTATAAAACTGTCAGACGTAAAGATATGAACTAAAATATGGCAAAATATGTGCTGAGTAACGGGAATGACTTTGGACAATGTTCCCGAGCCCTGTTAAATCTATTGAGTGCTTTTAAATGGACGATATAATATTGATTGAAAATGACAGATAAAGAAGAGACTTGAAGGTCTTAAGACATTAACCTTCACCTGTATTGTATTACTGCAAGTTTGATGAATTGAATTACAATTTGAAACACTCTGTCCTCTTTTCTCCATTCAAATAAATAGGCAGCTGGACTATAAATTTGCCATGTTCACTGAATGAAAGTGAATAGTTGGCAGTCAATACAGAGTCACTGATTGCTGATATGACTGTCAATGTTGATTCTTAGATGACCATAAAAGGAAAAATTTTATAACTTTACAAAATAACTGCAATCAAAACTACACATTGGCTTAGTGACTGTGCAATCCTTGGTCTTTTTTTTATTTATGTTCTGTGGTGGCGGTTTGTACGGTGCTTATGCTGCTGTGTTGTCTTGTCTTAGTTTTAAACCATGTGATCCTCTGTCCCAAGATAAATGTATCCCATGTGAGACAGTAAAGGATCATCTTATTTTATCTTAATGTTACAGTGGAAAATATTTGACTCAGTATGACAAAAATGAGAAGCTGTTCATTTAGGAATAAAACATCACATCTAAGCCAGAATCAAGCAATGTTTCTGTGCATATTGTGTTGAATTTTTATGTTTAGGATCCTTTAAAGGGCTCATATTATGCTATTTAAAATATGTTATAATGTTGTTACCTCATCAAAAACAGACCTGGAGTTGTGTTTTGTTTCATACACTCATGTTTCACACACAAACCCTGCATATTTAGGCTGAGTTCTTCTTTCAATCTGAAAGCACTCTGTTCCAACTTGTGTGGTCATGTGTCTCCACTGTGTTTTTAAACTCCATACACCTTCACTAGAATCATTTGGATAATTTCAGCCTTGCAATTACCCATCTCTACTGAACAAAAGCAGAAGGTAAAAGGAGCTGTTAACTTGAAAACTTCAGCGAGAGGTCTGCGCAGGACAGAATTTTCAGTCTCACTCCCGCCTGCACTCGCAAAGAATTATAATTTTCATTCCCTCTCCCTTCTGCAAGATGGGGACGTTCGCGTTCTTAAACTCTATCAAACACGGAGAAGGGAAAGAGAAATTAGACCATGTCCCCAAATTTAGGCCGCTTAAAATGTTTTTATTAATGCCAAATAAAATATCCAGCACAAATTATATATGATAGGCAAACATTAATCATTTGTACATTTTACTTTACACGCATATTTAGTTTGCGGGACTGCAGTTTATCATCCCACCCGCCTGGGCCTGTAATGAGCTTTCAAAATGTGTCTCACGTCACACTGTTTTGCATCAGGTCCCGCAGTGCTCTAACTTCAGCATTTTGAGCTTTGGAGATGTAAACAGACTAATAATAAGAATGTTTTTTAGGAGGTAACGACGTTATAACATGTCTTAAAGTTCACAAGAGTCATTTTTGCGTAACATAAGACCTTTGAAAACAAACGTTGCATAAGCTGATCTTGCTACAACAACAATTCAGCTTTTCACTGTACAGTTCCAGTTTATTCCACGCTTGGCTGTTTTTTGGCATACAACCTGATACGATTTGACAGTAATTGGCAACCGTACAAAACAATTACTTCACACTTGTCGAATATTATTTACTTTTGCGATATCAGCCGGCACCTTCTTGTAATTTTACTTCATGCCTTGTCTTTTGTGTTGCATTCAGGTGTCCATCAACAGCGCGTAAATCCCGATTCTATCCTCCTGGAGGCAGTGAAGCAGGTCAAAGTGAGCGATTTGGAAGACGATATTTTGGAGCTGCCTGAAGAGGATCCCACCACTGCCAACAACCAGTCAGTCTTTAAATACAGTACAGGTTTAGTCAATAGATCTGACAGCATTAATCTAATCTAAGAACAATATTTGTGTGGGTTTTCTGATACGATATATGCAAAGGGGTGCATTGTGTAACTTTTCTGGTTTAAAAGTATCACATTAAGCCTTTCTATCTTCATGGAGACCAAACCAGGCCAAGTTACAGGTCAGATCTTTGGAGAGGCGACCCCGCTCACAGTCAGAATGTCTGTTTTTCTAGGTATTTTTGAGCTATAAAACCACCTGTAATTGAATAAATGTAAGGTAGAACTGTTTAAATTTATACTGTGCAGCATTGCAGGCAGACCAATGACATCTCCATAGAAACAAAAAGTTACACAGTGCATACTTTATGTAGTAAACGCCTCCTGGTGTTGAAAAGTGGAGTTGCATGTTTGAAAGTCCAACAGTGAACCCCGTTTGAAACCCATATTCTGTGCTTCATTCACCTTTTAAGAACTCTACCAAAGACTATACTGCTTTTGAGAATTTTTTTAAAAAGCCCTGAATAGTTCTAATCCAACAAGAACGATATTAAACATTTGTATATTTTATTTTTATTTTCCTATATAAATACTAGAAGACAGGAGTTTTGCTGTGACCACACCAAAATGAAGACACATTGAGAGAAACATAAAAAACAAACAAACTTGTGTATCTTTAAATATTTCTTGCCTATAATTACATATATTAAATTGCATAATATGACATGATTGCCTCCTCTCCACAGAGCTGAGCTGGAGGAGGCCAGTCAGAAGGAGAAGCTGGTTCTGTGGGAGGACTGTGAGCTGGTGACGATTGTGGACGTGGTCACGGGTCGACTGGAGCTCACGACACAACACATCTACTTCTACGACAGCAGCCAGGAGAAAGAGGAGGGTAAGGAGACATGTACATTAAAGCCAAGAATAGACTAAAATTAAAGCTTTTTTCATTTTGATTGTATTTATTGCACTGAATAAGTTAGGAAAACATGGATTCTTACTCGTGGGCTTGCATCTCCACAAACCTGACTCTTATTTGGTCTGACTGATTGCCTCCATCTGCTTGTTACCATGGAAATATTGTTGCTTTGGCTATAATAATCCACAGTACTGCCTAAACTCAATCTATCTCCATGAAGAATGTTCCGAAGTATGGTTTTAACTCATGGACTCATTCAGATGACATTCCAACCCCAGAAAGTTACACACTATATCTTTAAATAAAAAATGATTAATTACAAAATTATTTCAAAATCTTAAAGTTTTTTTTTTTGGTTTTATTAACAGTGTTTTAATTGTGTTTGTTTTCAGGAGTGGGTCATGATTTTAAATGGCCTCTGTCTCAGATCAGGGAAGTTCATTTACGGAGATACAACCTGCGGCGTTCAGCTTTGGAAATCTTTCTCATCGACCAAACAAACTACTTCCTCAACTTCAAAAAAGAGGTAAAAGGGCCATTATCAATCTTCATAACAAAAACTGCACCCTTTTATAATATTAGCAGTTATCTCAAGCTTTCATATTCATTCTCCATCTAACAAAAAAAAAAATCTACGTTTGTAAAGCTAATTTTATACATTTTGAACTCCAAAATTCTCCTTGACTTATTTAGTTTTGTCTGTTTTTATTTTGAAAAGCACTATTACTCAACTAAATTATGGAAACTTTACCTTTCTGTAATACCAGTACCAGTTACCACAAGGGTTTTTTGTAAATGTAACTCAATGTATTTTCTATTAACAGGCGAGAAATAAGGTGTACAGTCGGATGCTGCTGCTGCGATCGCTCAGTTTATACGGGACCAGATCTCCACAAGAGCTGCTCAAGGCATCTGGGTTAACACAGGTGAGAGGGGAATTACTGGGAGATAGGACTGCACGATATTGGAAAAAAATTGAGAAATGGCTGTTAAGTACTGTTATATTCTAGTCTATACTCAGTAATAATTCCAGTTTCTGTGCGTATGCTTTATTTATGACAAAACTGAAAGCTGAAAATATAGGCTAATTTAAAGGTACAGTGCTCAACTTTTCTGTCAGAGGGTCTGTCACCTACTTGTCTTCATGGAGATGTTATTGCTTTGTCTAGAATAAACCACGATAGAGATTAAACCTACAGGCTACATTTGCAGGTCAGATCTGTGGAGAGGCAGCCCTATTCACACAGACAATTATTGTATTTTTGAGCAATTGAATCACCCGTAATGAATAAATGCGTCTAATTTCATGCCATGGGACATTTCAGGATAAACAATAACATCTCCATGGAGACAACAACATGGAGATGACAGAACCTCTACCAGAAAGTTACACAGTGCACCTTTAAGGAAAATAAACAAAATATTAATTATTGTGTCAGTCAAAATTGCACTATTGATACTTGTAAGCAGTCCTACTGGGAAGCTTAAAAATAGTGCATTGTTTGTATTCATTTTGACCTACTTAATAATGGAAAATCTTTAGGAATCCTTAACAAAACTTCTCTCTTTGTTTCATTCTGTAAAAGCAGCATTTAGTCCTGCAAAAATCAGAGTTTGGGCTGGTTTAGATACATACGTACATGCATATTTTAGTACTAGTCTAGAGTTCTCTTAGTTCTGCTTTAGTCCTTACTAGGTAATACAATTTTTTCATCAGTTTTAACACTTCGAGTCTTAAATTTAGCAAAACAAGAACTAATCTTTACTCTTGCTTATACTTTCCTTGTTTACAGAAATGGGTGAACAGAGAGATCTCCAACTTCGACTACCTGATGCAGCTCAACACAATCGCAGGCCGAACGTACAACGACCTCGCCCAGTACCCTGTCGTAAGTCTTTCAGTTATCACTTCACTCCAACAAAACTCAAACAAAGATGATTTTTATATTTATCGTGTGTTTTTTCCTCATTATTTTAGTTTCCATGGATACTCGCCGACTACACGTCAGAGGAGCTGGACCTGTCAGACCCTCGAGTTTTCAGAGATCTTTCCAAACCGATCGCTGTCGTCAATGAACGCAACGCAAAAGCTGTGAGGGAAAAGTAAGTATTATATTATTTCCTATGTGGGCACTGTAAATTCTGTTTTTGTTTTAATATAATGATTTTTAAATTGTTTTGCTATTGGTAGTTAGGAGGACGTGAGCAGCTGCATGAACTTTAGATACAAAAATAGCCGTCATTATTTATGTTTATGTTTAATTTAATAAACTTGGCGCATTCTTTATATGAATAATGATCTTTTAAAAACCACAGTGTGTATCTTTTAAGCCAAAAAAATAAATAAAAGCAGTTTTTTTGTTTAGTTTTTTTTTTCATTTTGGTTGTGTTTATTGCATTGAAAAACAGAGAGAAACATGCGTCCTCAATGTGACCGGGCTTGCATCTCCACAAACTTATTTGGCTCATTGGAAATGTTAATATTTCACAGTATGGCTTAAAACTTATGCTTCCAAGTATAGTTTTAACTTTCTATATCCATGGAATTATGCAGGTGATGTGCCACTTTCAGAAAATTAAATACTGTACCTTTAACAGTGTGAATGAAAGCCGACAGAAAGTGACAGTTGTATTTTATTTTAATATTTCAATCCAATCTAATCCAATATAAAGCAAAAAATATAACAATTAAAAAAAAAATCAGCAGAATTATGTTCCAATAAAGAGGAAACTAATAGAATCAATAAATAAAATAAAATAATAAAATCAATGAACAGAAATAATAAAATCAATGCATAAAAGCAGTACTAAAAAAACAAAATAGATAAACAATAAATAAATAAATAAATAAAAGACACAGAGGACCACACAACTCATACAGTTTTAAAAGCCAGAGAATAAAAGTGGGTCTTAAGATGAAACTTTTATTCATATCTTAACACTGATGTTTGTTCACTTCAGGTATGAGAGTTTTGAAGACCCGACCGGCACCATAGACCGGTTCCACTACGGGACTCACTATTCAAACGCTGCTGGAGTCATGCACTATCTGATCAGAGTGGAGCCCTTCACCTCTCTGCACATACAACTGCAGAGCGGACGGTAAGAATGTGACTACATGGAACAAAATGTATAAAATGTAAAATGTGAAAATGTGGTATGCAGAATAATATGAAAAATATGTTTAAAGTAATGCTTAGTTCCTGATTGATTTTTACTTATTTTCTACAGTTTCAGGTGTTGTTTCCTTGTTTAGTCTGCATTAAACACATCTTTCTCCAAGGAGACAAGTACCTTTTAGCAGTAAAATGCCTGTACTTGAACAATTAAATAGATAAGTTTAATATCATACTGTGGAACATTCCAGGCAAAGGAAAATAATTCATAAGAAGCAGAAAAGCTTGCATAGTTTTATAGATCCTGACTTAGATCTAGTTTAAGCCTGAGTTACATTTGTTCAGACCTTATTTTGTCATGTTTTAGCTCCAGTTCAGATTCAGCCCTCTTGAATGTTGTCCAGTTTAATCCTTATTTATTGTGAGATTTTCTATGTACAGCTTGACTATCACTGACCTGTGTTGTTTTCTAAATACTTAAACATAACTCTGTATTTGCTGATTCCTTATTGGTTTGTTGTAGATTTGACTGCGCTGATCGACAGTTTCACTCCATCCCTGGAACATGGCAGACCCTTATGGACAACCCCAACGATGTGAAGGAACTTATACCAGAGTTCTTCTACTTCCCAGAATTCCTCGAAAACCAAAACGGTAAAAAAAAAAAAATCATGATCTATTCACTTTTTGCAATAGTGTTTGTAGTATTTATAACCTAATTTTGAACTGTTTTAATATTAGGATTGTGTTCAAAGCTCATATTTTAAAAGCATTCAGAAGAATTAACAAAAAGACTGAAATATGAACTGACAAACTAATGCAAGAATCAGATTTCAGAACATTTGCACAGATCTAAACTACAGAGTGAGCAGTTTTTATGCAGAATAAGACAAGAGACTTTATTGTTTCAAATGATGGTACTAAAACAAATGCATTTTCGATTTGATTTCATTTCATCTTGCAGACCTACCTCACTTTCCTAATTTTGTGTCCTCTTTTTGATAAATATTGCAGGTTTTGATCTGGGTCGGCTTCAGATCTCCAAAGAGAGGGTCAATGATGTTATTTTACCGAAATGGGCCAAGTCTCCCGAGGATTTTATCTACAAGCATCGCAAAGCCCTGGTGAGTTAGTCTTGATTTCTGTTTTTTCAAAATACACTGAAATTAGCTCAACTTAAGGGCAGGACTCATATTTTTAAAACATGCTTGTTAATAGTCTCGGCTTAGGTTCAACTATTGCACAAAAAAGTGAACAGACTGTCAAATTAACTACAAATAATCAGAAATATTACCTTAAATTATTGATTTTTGTTAACTTTTATGAAATAATTTTTGTGATAGTTTTCATGTTTTAGACCAGTTGTTCCTGCCTAAAAATAATATTCGATCCCTCTATGTAACAGCAGATTCAAAACAAGTATAAAACAGTAATTTTCCAGGTCTAAACTAGGGCCAAACCAGATCTAAAATAGGTCTACACAATTATTTATACTATAGTTTTAAACAAAAGACTAAGAGGACAAAAATCTAGATAAATTTAATCTTAATTCAGCAAATATTTGAAAAGCAAGTGAGTCCAGATAACAGGTACATGTACCATAGTTTGAGAACCACTGCTAATCTTCATAACAATGAATTAACTGTTACAATGTCCATTCCCACTTCTAGCTTTATATTTGTGCTTCAAACATAGATTTTGTATTAAATAAAAGCATTAATATTTTCACAGGAGTCGGAGTATGTGTCTGCCCATCTTCACGAGTGGATCGATCTGATTTTTGGTTTCAAACAGAGAGGACCAGCGGCTGTGGAGGCGCTAAATGTGTTTTACTACTGCACATATGAAGGTACAGTCTTCTCTTTTAACTTACTTTTACTAATATTTGACTGATTTGACTGAAAGAACACTAGTAAATTGTAACTTTTCTATTTGCTGAGTTCAGCCTCTTTTGTCTCAATACAGCTGCTATTGTTTTGCCTGAAATGTTCCACAATATGGCATTTATCTAACTTGTAAAACATGCTTACTGTCTTACTGTGAACTTGCCTCTCCACATATCATGTAACTTGACCTTGTAGCTCTGTCCATGAAGTATGATAATGATAAATAATTCTGTACTGACACATTCCAGGCAAACCAATGACACTGCAGTGGCGACAAGATAATGCCGGACTTCCATAAAAAAAAGTTACATAGTGCATCTTAATAAATAAATAAATAATAATATAATAAAGCAAACTGACCAATGACCACTTTGAACAGTTCATTATTTTAGAATTAGGGCTGCGCAGTACAGCAAAGAGATTAATAAAAAATTTTCTTTCCACATATTAATCTTTTTTTTTCTTTTTTTGGAGTAACAATAATATTTATGTTTATATTTTAGGAGCAGTGGATCTCGATGCTATCACTGACGAAAAAGAGCGTAAAGCCGTGGAGGGAATGATCAGCAACTTTGGACAGACTCCGTGCCAATTACTCAAGGTATGCTCGGAAATTTTACTTTGTTTTCACATTTGAGTAGCGTTTTGTAGTCTTCATTTTGACCTGCATTTTGACCTGTCTGTTTTCTGGCCTCATCACATTTTAGGAGCCCCATCCTGTGCGTCTCTCTCAGGAGGAAGTGGAGAAGAGGAAGGCCCAGCTGGACTCCAGTCCCGTCAACATGTTTGAACAAATCGGCGACCTCAAATCTTTCTTTGTTGAGGTTAGAAATATTTAAAGATGCACTGTGTAAATTTTTGGTCGGTTGTTTCTGTGGATATGTCACTGCTCTGCATAACATAAAACAGCTCTAAGATACATTTATTCAATTACAGGTGGTTTTATTGCTCAAAAATACCTAGAAAAACAACATTCTGGCTGTGTGCAGGGTTGTCTCTCCACAGATCTGACCTGTAACTTGGTTGGTTTGGTCTTCATATAAGATAGAGATGTTTAATGTTATTCTGTGAAACCTTCCAGACAAAGTAAAAAAAAAGAAAAGCATTTGACAGACCCTCCACCAGAAAAGTTACACAATGCACTTTATAGTTTTTAGCAATTATCAAATCACAAAGACTGCATTAGATAATATAATAAATATGCTTTTATCGAAAAATCTTAGCAAATTTCTGTGGTTTAGACCTCTACAAACATGTTTAGACCGCTACAAACATGTTTAGACCACTACAAAATTCTGAAATGCATGGGTAGGCCTGTCACGAAAACAAATTTCAAAGCACGGTGTATTGCTACAGACATATACTGTGATAAACAATAACACTGAAACCACTTTCTGCCACTGACACAAAGCAGAGTAATCCCAGTAAACCAATTTTTAAATAGACTGTATCATTAAAAACATGAGCTGTAACAAATAAATGGCAGATTGAACCAATATTTAGCCTTAGAAGTTATTTATTTTACCCTCTATAGCTCAAATCTTATGTTATTACCAAAAAATATATAAAAAATCTCCATCTATAAAATAAAATCTCAATAAAATCACTATGGCCAATAAATTGTACAGATGATAAATACTGAGCCATAAAATACATTGTAATGGAATAATTGCATTCGATTATTTTCTATAAATGTGCAGCCCTAGTTGTACAGTAATTTTTATAGCTTTAGATATAGTTTTAGATTTTATTTTTCAGTGTTTCAAGTTATATTTATGCTATTTTTGTATTTTTTCTGCAGGGCATCAGTGACAATGTCCCACTGGTCAAAGTTGTGGTGCCTAAAAACCAGTCCCACTCCTTCATCACACAAGGAAGCCCAGACACTATGGTAAGTCAATATTAGTTATAAGATTATGAAATATATCTCAATAATTATTAATTTCTTCACCAACCTTTTATTCCAGGTTGCTGTGAGTCAGAACTGTATGTTTGGGACACACGGCTGGCTTCCCTACAACAAAAACATCTCCAACTATTTCACTTTTATCAAGGATCCCACAGTCTCCAACCCAAAGTAAGACTCAAATAATTTAGTGAATATGATACTTCTAACTTTTTATGCATTTTATATATTTTATAGTATGACTTTATATCTCCAGACATTCTTTAAAGACGGTATCAAACAAAAAATGACTGTATTAAAGTTTTGATGTAATCCATGAATTCTAGAGCACCGCTGCCATAATAATTGACAATTCAAAACTTATATTTATACTTCTTTTTATTTATATTGCTTATATTTATATTTATTTTTCTGATACTTATATTTATTTTGAATTAAGTCCTCAAAATAACACCAATTTAAATGTAAAACTGAAGCCCCTGAATAACCAAAATCTGTTTCCCTTTTCCCTGTTGCTGAAATTCCATTACACCCGGATGTAGACCTATTATATTCCTTTTCAACACTTAATATTATTTTAATTTAAACTCTTCACAACAGGACGCAGCGTTTCCTTTGTGGACCCTTTGCCCCCGGTGTGGAGGTGACTGCCGGGTTATTTGTGGTTTCTCATGACGGAAAACTCCTGTTCAGCGGAGGACACTGGGACAACAGCGTCAGGGTGACCTCTCTGGTCAAAGCCAAGACTGTGGGGCAGCACATTAGACACATGGGTATGGAGTCTGGAGAATTTTTGTTCGGGTTTAGTCTTGGTTAAATTCTGGTTTAGTCCTGGTTTAGTCCTGGGTCACCTCTCTGATCAAGGCCAAGACTGTGGGGCAGCACATAAAACACAAGGGTATAAAGTCTGGTTTAGTTTTGTTTTAGTCCTGTTTTAGTCCCGGTTTAGTCCTGTATTAGTCCTGCTTTAGTCCTGTTTTAGTGACGGTTTAGTCCTGTTTTAGTGCTGGTTTATTTCTGGTTTAGTCCTGTTTTAGTGCCGATTTAGTCCTGTTTTAGTCCTGTTTTAGTGCCGTTTTAGTCCTGGTTTAGTCCTGTTTTTTGTCCTGTTTTAGTCCTATTTTAGTCCTATTTTAGTCCTATTTTTAGTCCTATTTTAGTCCAGGTGTAGCCCTGGTTAAGTCCTTGGTCACGTCTATGGTCCAGGCCAAGACTGTAGAACACATAAGACACATGGGTCTGAAGTCTGTAGCACTTTTAGAAACAATTGAAGTATTTTAGATCACTTTTTATACAAAATGTGTTCAATTAAACTATGTAAACTGTCTAGTCCTGGTTTAGTCTTGGTTTAGTTTTGGTAATTTTTTGATTTAGTTCTGGTTTAGCCTTTTATAATATTGAGACACAGATTATGCCCCATAAAAACACATGATTTCGAAAGTCCCAGTTTTGAGAGGTAAAGGTTCAGAGGTCTCAGGTGCTGTCCATATATTCTGTCAGCATGTTGGAAAAAATAGTTAACCTTGGGTGTTATTGAAAAGTAGTTCCTCCTACTGCCAGTAGATGGCAGTCTAACCCCAGTATTGAAAAACAGCTCTAGAAACACTGTCATGATTTCAAGTTCTAAAACCTGAGATGCCAAAGCAAAGAAGCACAAGAGCATGTTTAAAGTCATTCACAAATAATTAATTATAATAATTGTATAATATTTGTTCTTTAAGTGAACAGTATGCTTTTTAATTTGGTTTGGAAAATCGGCAGGATTATTCTAGCAGCTCAAAAATCTTCATTATTATCCTGATTTAGTCCTGGTTTAGTCTTGGTTTTAATGGACTAAATCAAGTTCAGGTTTAGTCGTGGAGTAAACCTGTAAAAGTAAAAGTAAAGTAAAACCAGAAATTCTCCATAACTGCTATCGTATCCCTAATTTAAAAAAAAAAGTTTGTAAATGACTAATCCTTTCCATATCTAAATTATATTGTCTTATAAGTCTTTTCTTTCTTTCTCAGATATCGTCACGTGCCTCTCGACAGATCACTGTGGAATCCATCTGATCTCAGGATCCAGAGACACGACCTGTATGGTGTGGCAGGTCCTTCAACAGGTAATAAATATATGTCCCTATGTCATATTCTCGAATTATTTCCTCATATTTTATTGTTCGATTTTGTATGTTTATAATTCTAACTAAATTCAACCGTCAATAAATCTTTTCTAATCTTGACAAAATCTAGCTTCAGTGTTGTTATTTTTTTAATATTTCATAATATGTTTTTAAAAATGCCCTTCATGTCCACAGGGGGGCGCTCCTGTAGGCCTCCATCCCAAACCAGTGCAGGTGCTGTACGGTCACACAGACGAAGTGGTCAGTGTGAACATCAGCACAGAACTGGACATGGCCGTGTCTGGATCCAAGGTCAGTCCTATAAAAAAAACAACAACATTGTGACGTCTAAATCGTACTAAGGATGGTTCACTATTAAAATCTCACTGAATAATTTCTATATAATCTTTCCCATTTGATATTTATTTAAAGACCATTAATTATATAAACACATCCATATAACATTAGCCACTGTAATGAGATCTGTGTATTATTTATGTAGTTTTATGTTTGTCTGTGAAACCTGTTTTACATTACTCATTTGTCTCTCTCTGTGTGTTGTAGGATGGGACTGTAATAATCCACACGGTCCGTAGGGGGCAGTATATGCGTTGCCTCCGTCCTCCCTGTGACAGCTCTCTGCCCATGTCCATCCAGCACTTGGCCGTGTCCTGGGACGGTCACCTGCTCGTTCACACCTGTATTGAGGGAAAAGCGTCTCTCAAGGTAAACAAACGCTCTACCTGATATCAACATAACCACATTTTACATTTAAGAAGACATATTATGCTTTTTTTTTTGTACTTGGTTTTAAAATACAACATAAGTCGGTCACTATTTTACATTTTTGTTAATTGTAAAATGAAGTGCTGATCATTTTACTAACATGTTTACTAACATGTATATTGTGACCTGAATTACAAAACAATGATTGATTCTTGTCCCTTTGTGCGTCTACAGGATAAAAACGCTCTGCATCTGTACTCTGTGAACGGGAAGCACCTTCACTCGGAGCCTGTGATGGAGCAGGTCACAGATATGTGTGTGTCCGGAGAGTTTGTGGTGATCGGGAGTGAGCAGGGACACCTCTCCATCAGGGACCTCTACAGGTAAACAACAACAGATTTAGTTGAATAGTAGTTCAATTTAGTCTCGTCTCTTACTTATTTACTTACTTATTCTGATTTCTTATTGGCTGTCATGTATAATGTTAAGCATTTTGAGGCAGTACGGTCTGTTTTTAAATGTGCTATATAAATAAACTTTGACCTAGAACAGATATAATCTTGGTTTAGTCTTAGATGCGAGTGAGACGTTAAGTTTGATAAATTTTCTGCATGTATATTTAGCGATAAATCACTCTTAAATTAGCTATCCCTAATTTAAATAGTCCATTTGGCCTTATATTTTGGTTTTACTCCAAATGTAGTTATAATAGTTCAATTTGGACACTTAAATACATATATTTTTTGGGTAAGAAAAATTATTATGTAAAATTCTTTTACAATGGAACATATAACATTAATGAAATCATAGTGGAAATAACAACCAAAAATTGCCCAAAAAGGAGTGGAAAGAAGAAAACATATTTAATCCCACCCTCACTCTTCTAAACTAACACAATAAGTTTTCTTTTTCGCATTTTACATTAAACTATATGAACTATTTACAAGTACGGAAATGTTGTGATAATATTTTTGTTTTACGAATGTTGTGATAACATTTTTGATTTGCAAAAATGTTATACAACACTTACACCATATTTTTTATTTTTTGTAAGGGTATTTTTGGATACCAATATACCATATTATATTTTCAATCCTTATAATTTACTGTACTCACTTGATTTTTATAGTTTTTTACTACTATTTTTTAGCACTTTGAGATTGTAACTTGAGAATTGACTTTGAAATGTAAACGTTATTTATGATTCTGTAGCTTCAATCTATTTTATTTTCACATTTAGCCTTGTTTGTGTAACTTAGAACTACAATACACTTGGTTTAGATCTTGGTTGTTTTCTGAAAGACAAATATTTTTAAATTTTCTTGGTTTGAAAACTTTGAGAACCGCTATAAGAGTTAAAATACCTCGCTAATCTTTCTCATGTCCTTTCATTATTTCAGTTTATCTCTGTGTATGGAACCTATGGCGATGCGAGTCCCCGTGCGCTGCGTCTCCGTCACCAAAGAGCAGAGCCACGTTTTGGTCGGACTCCAGGACGGAAAACTCATCATCATCGGCGTGGGGCGTCCGGCCGAGGTAAAGAGCTCCCTTGAGGAATTACATCGCCCAGAGTCTGGAAGCGTCTCCGCTCCTCTCCTCGCCCCTCCTCGCGCCCCTCCGTGCCCGCTCACCCACCAGACTCATCCACCAGCGGGACCAGCTCGTCTTCAGCCCTACGCCAAGCCCACACAATCAGAATTAAAAAATATACAGTGACAGAATAGCCTTGTTGATTGGATTCTTGAAGGTGTGCTATACATGTAACATTTTGTTGGAGGGCATGCCGCTTCCTTGTCACCATAGAGATATTATTGAGTTGACTAGAATGTTTCACAATATGGCATTAAACATATCCATGGAGAATTATAGGTGACAGTGCCAGGACAAGTTTCACTCAGATTTGTGCATATTTTTTCAAGGTATCGTTGAGAATTAATTAAATAAATACATTAATAATAATACTACTACTACTACTACTACTACTACTACTACTACTACTACTACTACTACTACTAACTAATAATAATAATAATAATAATAATAATAATAATAATAATACAAAGTGCTTTACACAGAGGTTTAATTATTATTTTTTTTTTTTATTTGTAATTTATTCAGTGCTTTTTTTGTCCACATAAATCACAGTATATATGCCCAGTTTTTGTTTTTTCCCCCCACACATAAAATTAATATAAATGTAAAAGGTACATAAAATAAAATAAATCAATAAAATAAAATAAAAACTAAACAAAAAGAAAAATAAATTATGTAAATAAATACAATACAATACAATAAGTACTGATGATCCTAAATAATCATTATATTATTACAATTACATACGTTTAATGCCGTAATGTGGACTTTTCCAGGCAAAGCTTTAAGTTCTCCATGGAGACAAGCACATGACAGACCCTCCACCAGAAAAGTTACACAGAGCACCTTTAAGAAAGCCTACAGTACTGTGCAATAGTTGTACGAAGTGTGAGATATTGTGTAAAATTGTGTAGATATTGTGTAGAATAATTAATAATCTATAATTAGACCTATATAGCTGCATATAGTGTAAGTTTAGCCTTAAGTAAGTATTGTATGCAAAAGTTAGATTTTTATTTTGATTCAAGCTTCAGATCACTATAAATGAATATAGTTTTTATAATTTTTGTAATATTAAAAGTAACAGTAAAAGTCTAGAACTGTAATTATTTTTGTAGTTCAGTTGTGGGCATTATATCTTCACAATTGCGAGTTAGGACCAGTGCCTTGGCAGAGGTCTATGTTATTTTTTTATATTTTTAACATCGAATACACCTTTGTTTATTTACATTATCGTTCAAAATCGTGCACATAACTTTTGCACAGTACTGTATTCTCTAAATTAAATTCCTGTTTTACTCAGGGATGGTCGACACTTCCATTTGAATCAAACATTTGCAGTTTCCACGCATATTTTAAAAGATTCACTGTGTAACTTTTCTGGTATAAGTCCAGCACCTGGTTGTGTCCAAGGAAATGTACCACAGTATGGCATTAAAGTTGTTCATTATTTGATTATGTGGGCCCACCTTTTCATAAATCTGATCTGTAAATTTTCCCTGCGCTTTTCTCTACGGAAATAAGAGTACTAATATTAAAGTTTAATTTCATACTGTGAAGAATTCCAGCATCTCCACGGTGACGGACCCTCCACCCGGAAAGTTACACAGCGCGCCTTTAAGCTAAAACTCCACTATTACCATCTCCAGCTGTGAAATCAAATGAATTATACCTCATTTAGTCTTTAAAAACTGGTGAACTGTGCCATATAGATATTTATTACCAACAATATGCTGACGATCTCAACCCATGCTGTTAAAAAGTACTGAAGACTGAAACTATAACTGCAAATCTAAGCCATAACTTTAGTGTAGCTATAACTCGATGCAAATCAGTGTGCCAAGTAGGTAACGAGTCAGTATAATGTGATAAAATAGTTAAAAGCGTACTAAGCCTATATCGAACATCGCATCTTATTTCATGTATTTGTCACTGAAAACGACGCAATTTTATTTTTTACGGGGCCTTTAATTTGCCTAAAGGCCCGTTCACTTTGTTTGAAAATGTGAAAAGTTGTGAAAAATTTTAGAGGTATTTAAGGCAATAGCTGTTGTGCATATCTTTTAATTAATTTGCTATTTTTAATCATGCTTAAATTGGGGAGAAAATGTACATAGACCGCTGTATAGTCCTGGTTTAGACTTGCCTTAGTCCTGGTTCAGTCAAGTTCTGGGGTCTGGTTTAGTTCTACACTTGTCCTGGTCAGGCCAAACGATTCACTTGATTTTGGATTAGATCTGGTTTTGTCAAGTCTTAGTCCAGTTCATGGCCTAGACCTACCCAAGTCCTGGTTTAGTCCAATTTTGGGTTGTGGTTTAGTTCTACAGTAGTCCTGGTCAGGCCAAATTATTCACTTGATTTTGGTTCAGTTCAAGTTTAGATTTGGTTTTGTCAAGTCTTAGTCCAGTTCATGGCCTAGACCTACCGTAGTCTTCGTTTAGTCCAGTCTTGGGTTCCGGGTTAGTTCTACAATAGTCCTGGTTTGTGATGATTCCATAAATTTGCTTCGTTAATACTGTAGATTAATTTTAGACCAGGTTTAGTCCAGTTGTAGTCGTCATTTAGTCCACTGTTTTTGCCGAGGTTAGTCTTAAAAAATTGGCACGTTTAGTTCTGTTTTAGACCTGGTTTTGTTGAGACTTAGTCCAGTTTTAATCCCGGTTTAGTCTTAGATTAGAGTGAGATGTTAAAAGTTTGATAATTGTTTTTGTATGTTTTTATTTAGCTACAAACCACATCTAAATTAACTTTTTAAATGGTCTATGTACCCTTTGTTCAATCAATTTTTTTTTTTTTTGTAAAATGCTCAAGACGTTCACTGAAAAAAAAAAGTAAATTAAACCAAAACCTGATTGAATGAAGGGTACATCGACACACACCATCACCAGTCAATCAAGCTTCTATTTTACCAATCACTCACCCATAAATCATGATCCTCTCCTCCTCTCCTCTTTTTTTTATTTCTTTCACACCCCCTCCTCCCTCTCTCCCCCCCTTCCTCCTCTTTCCCAGATGCGATTCGGACAGATCACCAGAAAACTCTGGGGCTCCAGCAAGAAAATGAGCCAAATATCATCGGGCGAGACTCTGTACAACACCCAAAATGACCAGACTTGACCTTTGACCCCAGCGCTCCCACCTCCCGGCCTTCCCAAACCACATTCCAGGATCCTCCCTCTCATCCACACCTGCCAGTCATTCAGCATTCACTCCCAGTATTCCTTTATACACAGACAGTAGAAAATAGTAGACCAGTGAATTAAAGCGAAAATACAGGTATGAGCAGAGGTGGGTAGAGTAGAGTAATGCCACGCTGTTGAACATTTTAACAAAGCAACGATTTATCCATAAAAACATACCCCAACCAGAAAAGTGACTTAGTGCGCATTTAATTATGGTTCAGTCTTTTAATAATAGCCTAACTCTAATCCTTAACCTTAAAGAGGGGCTATTATTGACTTACAATTAACTTTTTGGAGCTTTCTACCATGTTATAAAGTTGTTTCCTCTTCAAAAATACGCCTGAAGAGGGTTTTAGGTTACGTTTATTTATATTTACTGAAACGAATCACCGTATCACCATATCGGAAGCAATTTGCGTCCAGACACGTCGTTTCTGTGTCTGCAATCAAAGCCTTCCCTATCCACACAGCTTTGAGCATATTTGTTTACATTTTACAGAAAGGAAACGTAAAACCGCATGGCTAATTTTTATAAACTAAGCACTCAAAAAACAGGTCACTATTGTGCGCTGATGCGGTTCAGCTTCTGTCAGAATAAAGGACAAGACTCAGCTGACTATGAGTGTTCTTTCTGTGACAGAGGGGTGTTCTGCTGATGGTGAGTCTGTTCTGTGCTTCTATCGTGTTGGAGATGGTTCATGTTAAACTTTTCAGAGATTATACGTCTGCAGGTCGTACGCACAGACCGTATATATGAATGGACATATATTCTAGCCTCTTAGCGTTTTGGCGGTGAATTACTTCGCGGCGTATAGACCTACATCAGCGTATCAGTGTTTTCAGGTGTCCACACAGTGCTGGATCAGATCTGTAATCAGATGAATACATGGGAGCTGGCGGCACCAGATTGTTCCATCTCTGGAGTCGTTTTCCATCGGATTACTGTGAACGAAGACTGCATCCACAACAAAAACAACTCAAATAATGTACTAGTGTGGAATGGATGGGGCCTTAAATGTCATCTATGTATGTTTGAGTAATCCAGCGATCTCTCCTGGGCCCTATCCAAACCCTCTTTACGATTAGCTGTAAGATTTTGTCCAATGCTCAGCTCACAAACCTACGTCACCCATGCTCCCACACGGCAATTCTCCGTAAATATACAAAAACATGATACAAAAAAACTACAACTTCACAAACCTGACAGTTTTTTAGGAGAAATATATCACTTTAAAAACAATAAAAGGTAACATGGTAATCTAAATGTTATATTATGTGTTATAATTTGAGATTAATGTAACTCAAAAGACAAAACATTAAAGTATATACAACATTTTCAAAGGATAGACACTAAAGAAAACCTTTAAGAGTATAAGAGTACTGTTACATTGTTAAAATACTCAAGTAAAAATATCAAGTATTGTCTGAAAATGACTTTAGACTGACTTACCAATTGTATTAAAAAGTTACCAAAGTAAACATTTAACTTAGCTCTACCCACCTCTGTCTAGTATTAAGAAACATTCAATTTGTTGTTTTCAAAATCTGCAAATTGTACCCAAATTTTTCCATAAAATATTATAAAATTGTATAAAATGTAATATCTGAAACTCAGCAATTTGAAGATTAACTGACTTGACAATCCTGAAAGCTTTTGTATGCCAGATGCCCTACCCGACTCACTCTAATTATCATTTTTTAACCTCTGAACATAACCGGGATTTGAAGTACTTTTAAAGAAACAAATGTATTAACTTAGTATTGGTGTAGGTGTTGTTAGTCCTTACGATGTCTAAACTGGTCCACTATTTTTCTACATGGTCTTTTCTATATTAAAACACTACTTCAGATTGGTTTTTACGGTGCTGGCGCTTAAATCTCAATCTAAAGTAGCCCCCGAACCACTTTAAAACACCACTACGACTTTATTTTCGATCATTCTCATTTTATAATCAGCCGAAATGTTCACCAACGCATCGCTGGTTCTCTTAGGAATTCTCGATCGCTAGCGTGTGTGACACCTCTGTATGTGTTTTTCGAATGTTTTTCCATGCTTTAAAGGTGTACTGCGTAACTTTTCTGGGGTTTGGGTGGGTTTGTCTCCATGGGGATGTGTGCGCTTTGTCTGGAATGTTCCACGGTATGGCATTACACTAAACTAATCTTGCTTTTTTTCAATTACAGGTGTTGCTTTTGCTAAACATCGAAAAACATGCATTTTTTCAAGGAGATTGAGAAGTTTAATGCCATATTTTGGAACATTCTGTGGAACACTACAGGGGAAAGCATTCTGACGAAAAAGTTACGCAGTGCAGCTTTAAATATAGTTTTAAGTGGCCTTTTTTTGGCTTGTTCAGACCACGCCTTATGCAGTAACACCAGATCAATGCTACCACTTACAAGACCAAACACTATGCCGAAGTTTTTATACATTTGTTAATATTGTGAATGTCTTTTTTTATGTTATTTTTTTCTTTGCATGTTTGTAGAAAATTCACGTTGAGAATGCAGTCTGTTTCGTCATGTTTTAAAACCCTAACACTACTTTTTTTTTTACAGTTTCAGCCTCAAATCAGTCTCGTCTTTCGAATCCCTGTCTTTACTGAATATCTAAGTTACTTGAAGACGTTTTATTTATAACTAAGTAGCAGTTTTAATCATATTTTCCCTTAGTTTTCCATGTTATTTAACTTTGACTGTTTTGAAATCCATAAAATGAAGACAGAAAATTCGCTGAAGGGCTATCCAAGCTAAGCAATACAAGTCAGTGCTTTCTTCCTAGTCCCAAAACGCCATATTATTTGGGTTTACTAGTCTTCCCTTAACTTAAATTGGGACTTTATAATCTATTTAATTCAACTACTTTTCGTTCCAGCTAATTACATTTAATAATTTTGTAAACGTAGATTTTTTTTGTTATTTTTGTTAAGACCTTTATCTTCCCAAATCAGTGCGTAGATGCCATAGTTGTTGATTATATAAGGGGCAAACTGTGGAACGTTCTAGGCAAAGCTACATCTCCACGGAGACGACCGGAAAAGTGACACGGTGCGACTTTTAAGCATTTTTACAGCCAAATATTTTTCAGCATAAGTCAAGTTTCTGTTTTGAAGTGTAAATTCTCGGGCTTCTGCAATGCTGGTGGTTTCTTAAGGTAAAGATTTGACCTAAAAATATCTAAATAATAATAATGATCATTCAAAAAACACAAAACTATATTACTTTGAGAAATCATTTTGTGTCTTTACAATGTTTTTTCATGTTCATTACAGTCCATTTCAATGCAGTTGTATTGTTCATATATATATATATATATATATATATATATATATATATATATATATATATATATATATATATATATATATATATGTATATGTATAGATGTGTACCACTTTCTCAATTGCAAATAGTGCCTTTTCAAAACATGTTAATTTATAAATAATAATATTTAAAAAATCACTTAAAGATCCTATATTACGCAAAATCAACAAATGTGAGATTTTAGTCATGTTATAATGTTGTTACGTCATCAAAAACAGACCTAGAATTGTGTTTTGTTTCATTCACGCATGTTTGAGTAACACTTTTTTTATTAGTTTGTCTACATCTCCAAAGCTCAAAATGCTCTGTTCCACCTTGTGATGTCATGAAGTGTTAGTTTTAAAGTTTACAGGTTCATTTGAGATTGACACAGAAAATCTACAATATTTTCTGGTGCACAGAGAGTGAAGATGTTCTAATGAAGATAAAATAATAGCTGTAGCTCCAAAGTTTGGCAATTCTCGGGCTGAAATGAAATCTAGTGAAGGTGTATGGAGTTTAAGAACACAATGGAGCGTTTTCTGTATTATCCCATGACATCACAAGGTGGAACAGAGTGTTTTCTGTTTGAGAGTTTGATGCTGGATTTGTACGCTAAAAGTGAATGAAACAAAACACAACTCCAGGTCTGATTTTGATGGGGAAAATCATTATAACATAGATCAGAAAACAGCGTAATATGGGCTCTTTAAATGAAATTACTTTGATTACAACCAAAACTGCATTCCTCGATCCAAACAGGAACAACGAAAATATTTAACAAACCTTTCTCTGTGATTGTCAACAAATGGATGTGTGTATATGTCTGATAATTTATGAAAACACTATATAATGTACAGCATGATTCTTATTTTTATGTTTATTTTTGGTGTATTTCAAATGTACTTTTTGCACTTTCCAGGGTACTAAATTGTAACTAATTTTGTTTTGAAAAAATCGGCTCCCTTATCTGTAAAAAATAACAGCTTTGTATACAAAAAGTAGTAAATGATCATTAAAAGTATTGTCTAAATTTATAATGTTGCCTTTTTGTTTATGAAATAATGGAGACACGTGTGTAATGCTGAGTTTTATTTTGTTGCAGATTTGTAAAGAGATTAAGCTACAACAGGATAAGAGCAGAGTGACGCCCTCTTCAGGTCACAGTCAGCAGCGCTCCACCAAGTCTCATCTAAAGAAAAAGAGAGAGGGTAGGGAAAGAAACAGAGGAGCATTAAAATACACATTTAAGTATATTTTTTAAGAGGGAAAGTCTGTTCTACTGGTTTTAAGCTGGTATTAAGAGATTTCCAAGTTACAGTTTATAAAAATACATCTTAATTCATAAATAAAAACGTAATCAGGGTTCCAACGCGTCCTGGAAATTCTGGAAAACCTGAAAAATAATTACTCTAAATTTAAAATTATTAAAAGCTATAGTCAAGTGTGAAGCAGTGTTGAATTAAATCTATGTAACTTTTCAACAAGCATGTGACAGATACTCTGTCAGAAAAGTTACACAGTACCTCTTTATTTACTTTTCTTTAACTTTATTTAATCACTGGAAATATAATATATTATCTGACTTTTTAGGGAAACATAATTGAACCACAAGGAAAATGACTCATGGCATGGTAGTTGTAGGAAAAAGATAAACAAAATATTAAAATCACCACTAAAATGTACTTGAAAAATAATTAGGCAGGTTTAAAAATTATGATAAAATACTGTTGTCTGAAAAATTATGTCTGTTTCCCAGACAGAAAAAAAAAAAAAAAATAGGGCAAATGTCCTGCAAAATACATATATTGTCCTTGAAAATTTCTCTATCTATTACTTTGTTGTATATCAAATCAATAGAGATTGTTTTTTTGTTTTTTTTCTTCTGAAGGACAACATTTAAAATCCTGGAAAATGATTTGAAGCAAAACATGGGAATGCTGTTAATTCATAATGAACGATGGTTTATTAATGGTTAATTGATGTTCCTGGTTTACTACTACTACTGCTACTTCTGCTACTATTACTACTACTACTTCTGCTAGTGCTGCTACTACTACTACCACTACTACTACTACTACTACTACTACTTCTGCTACTGCTACTACTACTACAACTTCTGCTTCTGCTACTGCTACTACTACTTCAACTACTTCTACTACTTATGCTACTATTACTACTGCTACTACTACTACTACTATTTCTACTACTACTCTTCAGCTAATGTATTCCCTGTTACAGTAGTTTGGATTAGAATAGATGTTTCTGTATATAGACTGAAATCTTAATAAGCATGAATTATTGTTTGATAAATACCAACTAATAACTAATTAACAGCTAATTAGCATATCAATTAACACTTAGTTTGCAATTAATAAGTGGTCCCTAAACTAAAGTGTTACCCAGTTTTGTTATCGTGACCGTATCAACCAGCCGCACTACTTACAGTAATGTAATGTGTGATTGGACTTTATTGTGTATCATAGTTCACTCTTGACGTGTCTTATCTATTGGCATCAGCATCAAGAAGATTAAATAAAAATATATTGACTTTTCTGATGAGATAGTTTGGGTAAATACCGAAAACAAATAACTGAACCTAAAACAAACAACCCTGCATGCATTGGTCAAATCACATGTTAGACCAGTTTAATTAATAGTACACACATTTATAGGATAACTAATAGGATAAATAATCATAATAAACACCATTTTATACTTCTACTTGATGACTTTAATTTTATTTTGAAGTGATGTAATGTTTCTCTTGCAATTTCGCTTACAATTTCTGGCAACTACCCACCTCTGGTCATAGTTTGGGAAATGCAAGCCTGCTCAAAGGAGATATGTTTTTCGCTACTACTACTGCTACTACTACTACTACTACTACTACTACTGCTACTACTACTACTACTACTACTACTACTACTACTACTACTACTACTACTACTACCACTAGTACTCCTACTACTACGTACTTCTGCTACTATTGCTGCTGCTGCTAGTACTACTACTACTACTACTACTACTACTACTACTACTACTACTACTACCACTAGTACTCCTACTACTACGTACTTCTGCTACTATTGCTGCTGCTGCTAGTACTACTACTACTACTACTACTACTACTACTACTGCTATTGCTGCTACTACTACTACTTCTGCTACTACTACTAAATAATAATAATTATTATTATTATAGTGAAGTTATTAAAATAAAGTTGGTGTTTCTTACCCAGCCTGAACATTTCCACACAGACGGGTTTGTCAGTCTGAATATTGGGCTGTCCGGGCATCCAGTCACTGTAGCCCCACTCTGCCCCATCCAGCCAAGAGCCACGCTGGTTCTGTAACAGCAAATACATCAATAAATAAATAAAATGTTAAAAATCATCAGAAAAGTTACACAGTACTTTTCTTTATTTAATCACTGGTAATATATGTTGGTTTGTGTGTGTGTGTTTTTGGGGTTTTTTTTTCAGATTTTTTAGGCAAACTTTATTCAAATATAAAAAATGAATCTTAAAATCACAAAAATATTAAATATGAATAGAAATATGTTTAAAAATATCTGTAAATATATATAGAATACTGGTAAATATTTTCAAATTTGAATTTCCTTGTGGACATGGAAAAATGTGATGCAATCAACAGAAGGGCTACAGTAAATAATCAACGTTCGTGATCTTGACTTAAAGACTATAAAAAATTATCAGTTATAACTTGATAACCATCATCGTTATCTGGATTTCAAACTCTCTAAAACACATACAGATCTTTTTACAACAAAGACAATCAGATTATCATATTATATTATTATTTTCAGATCTGTTATAATGTTGTTTCCTCATCACAAACAGACCTGGATTTGTGTTCTGTTTCAGCTTCATGACATCACAAAGTGGAACTAAGCATTTTGAGCTTTGGAGATGTAGACAGATTAACAGTAAAGAGTTACTCAAACAAGTGTGAATGAAACAAAACACAACTTCAGGTTTGTTTTTGAGGAGGTAACAACATTATAACATGATTTTAACTTTATTTTTGTATGTGTTTGAAAATTTTTATACATTTATAGAACAAAACAAAACAAAAATGCATACCTCAAAAAAACTGAATAATACTCAGAGCATCTAGTGTGAGCGGCTCCTGAGTAAAATAATAATTATCTATCTTCACAGTATTAAAATATCGAAGCCAAGGTATAAATGCACGGTCAAGTACTTTTTGCGTTTTGATGTAATCGACTCATTTCCTCCAATATCTGTTACATTTAGGGTAAAGTAGTAGAAAGTCTCAATGAAAATGTCAGTCTCTCCATGTCATAAATTTCGTTAACCACTTTGATCCAGTCAGTAAGTACTGGTGCATTTTTACACAAACATTTCCTGGTAATGACTTTCTTTGCTTCAGCCAACAGTACTGACAAAAGATATTTATTAAAATATTCATTCTTAATACACTTAATTTGTAAATATTTCAACCTTTATTTGGTTTAAAATGTATCTAAAAAGACTCACTGCACAATAAAAATAATCATTTGGCTTGTCAGCTAATCAAAAAATGCATTGTTAACTACTCAACTGATAAAAATTCTTAGTTTCAGCCCTAAAATTCTTAGTCATATTTCACTTATGAAATAAAGGGAAAGTCCTGTTTATCGTTAGTGCTTAGTCAGTGAAGTGAATTGGAACATGTTCTAGTTAAATGATGGTCCAAAGAGCGTGACGTGCCAAGGTGGAAAAACACAGTCTGTCTTGCTGATAACGTATCTGATGGTTTATCCTTGGCCTTAGTTCAGTGAAGTAAGAGGCGTAGAAAGCTCTTTTCATAACAGTTTTTATTATGATTCAGCTGCATTTAATAGCCATTTAGTGGATCTTTCTAGGACTAGCCTTGGTGTGGTCTAAATCGTACTTTTTTTGTCCTTTTTTAGGGTTAAGTTCTCATTTGGAACTACCTGGTTTAGTCTTGTGGGTATTGTCCTGTTAAAGACTTGGTTTAGATCTAGTGGGGGAATACTTAATGTAGTAGTAATAAGTAGTAGTAGTACTAGTAGTAGTAGTAGTAGTAGTAGTAGTAGTAGTAGTAGTAGTAGTAGTAGTAGTAGTAGTAGTAGTAGTAGTAGTAGTAGTAGTAGTAGTAGTAGTAGTAGTAGTAGTAGTCCTGATTTTGTCATACCAAAAAATCAATAGCTCCTTTGCTTTAAGAAAATCCTTAAAAGTAGTAGTAATAACAGTAGCAGTAAATGTAGTAGTAGTGGTAGTTGTACTTGTACTTGCAGTTGTGTTAGTATAGTAGTCAGTTCCTGATTTTGTCCTACCAAAAAATCTATATCTCCTTTGCTTTAAGAAAATCCTTAAAAGCAGTAGTAGTAGTAACAGTAGTAGTAAATGTAGTAGAGGCGATAGTAGTAGTAGTAGTTGTTATAGTTGTTGTTGTGGTAGTACAGTAGTCAATTCCTGATTTTGTCCTACTGAAAAATCAATATCTCCTTTGTTTTAAGAAAAGCCTTACAAGTAGTATTAGTAGTAACTGTAGTAATAAATGTAGTAGTGGTAGTAGTAGTAGTCAATACCTGATTTTGTCTGCTGCTTTGCCATTAGAAAATCCTTATTACTACTACTACTACTACTACTTATTGATCATTGATCATTCACTCCATACTCCATATATGGTGATAAGCTGCTACTACTACTACTACTACTACTACTACTACTACTACTACTACTACTACTACTACTACTGAGAATGTAAACAAGTATTTTCACCTTGTTGACAAAGTAAGTAGTGATTGTTCCGTGTAGGATAAAGTCAGGAAAAGAGATTTTGTTTTGGTAAATTAAAGTACTGCTATTATACCAGGAATGATGCAACTTTCAAATGTATATTAAGCGAAGTATGTATTTTAAGACTTGCCTTGACCATGCCTCCTAACCAGGTCATCACCGGCTCTTTCTCTCCTCCACTTGTCACCAGGGAAACAAGTCGAGAATGAAGATCCTCGCTGGTCACCGAGGCGAGCTCTGCATTCGGACTCAGTCTTTTACAAGAATCCTATAGCATCAAGGAAATAAAGGCGCAGATTTAACTTAACTCTTTCAAAAGTCTGTGTGAATAAGTACTTGAATTGAAATGGAAAAATGCCAGACCTGAGCTTCCAAGAAAGGCAGCCGTGTGGGGTTGAATGCATAACAACGTCCATTGATGATTTCACCTTCGCACTGAGGAGTTTTTGGTTTGTTCATTATGGCGAGCTCGTTTTCGTGCCAAACACTAGCTGGGATATGATTTGAGGGTTCAATTCCCTGTGCTTCTCCATCACGAACTGGCATAAATGGTCCGTTACCGGGCCTAAAACCACTCAAAATCTCATTGGATGCTTTGAAATTATCTGGAATTGCGTTTACATTTTCAACTGGGAGGGCTTTCAAAAGAGCATCAGTTCTGTACGCATCTGGGTTTGCAGGTTCGGTACCCTGTCTGAAGCCACGTGGAACTTTCACAGATGGTTCGGTACCCTGTCTAAACCCATCTCGAATTGGCATAAAAGGCTCAGTACCCTGCCTGAATCCTTCTGGGATGCGACGGCTCGGTTCGGTACCCTGTCTAAACCCGTCTGGAATTGTGTCAACATTAATAGCTGGAAGAGCTTTCAAAAGAGCTTTAGTTCTGTACGCATCTGGGTTTGCAGGTTCGGTACCCTGTCTGAAGCCACGTGGAACTTTCACAGATGGTTCGGTACCCTGTCTAAACCCGTCTCGAATTGGCATAAAAGGCTCAGTACCCTGCCTGAATCCTTCTGGGATGCGACGGCTCGGTTCGGTACCTTGTCTAAACCCGTCTGGAACTGTGTCAACATTAAGAGCTGGGATGCCTTTCAAAAGAGCTTTAGTTCTGTACGCATCTGGGTTTGCAGGTTCGGTGCCCTGTCTGAAGCCACGTGGAACTTTCACAGATGGTTCGGTACCCTGTCTAAACCCGTCTCGAATTGGCATAAAAGGCTCAGTACCCTGCCTGAATCCTTCTGGGATGCGACGGCTCGGTTCGGTACCCTGTCTAAACCCGTCTGGAATTGTGTCATCATTAAGAGCTGGAAGAGCTTTCAAAAGAGCTTTAGTTCTGTACGCATCTGGGTTTGCAGGTTCGGTGCCCTGTCTGAAGCCACGTGGAACTTTCACAGATGGTTCGGTACCCTGTCTAAACCCGTCTCGAATCGGCATAAAAGGTTCGGTACCCTGCCTGAATCCTTCTGGGATGCGACGGCTCGGTTCGGTACCCTGTCTAAACCCGTCTGGAATTGTATCTTCCACATCAACTCGAACCCAACCTCCGCCATTTTTCAGGACCGGAGCATCTTCTATCTCTGAAAAATTAGAAATCTAAAGTCAAAATCTAAACACCAGTTCATGCTCCCATGTATCAGTGACTTTTTCCTGTTACAGATGCCATTTGGAGGACCTTTGACCACTGAAAAGACATATCAGCAAACCAAGTATGATTTCCAGTTAACACGCTGGCTACAACATCCCACGGCACAGAGTGCTCGGCTGCTATTGTGGTTGCCTGTCTCACACACATTTATTTAAACATTTTGTTTTGTGAGCTTAGCTTTTAACATCATATCATGGGATTTTAACAGCTAAGAAGTGCAGCATATGCCGTTCAAAGAACACAAATAGGGAGTGTTTGACTGTGTGAAATGAGCTGTTTTTTTTCCCGTGACCATGGAGACTGTGCAATAGGCCAACTAAATAGATAGCTATGGACATTTAAGCTACAGGCTTTTTTTTACACCATATGTGGCAGTAAATGTGGCAGAAGACCTTCCAGAGGAAATACTTAGAGGGAACGGACCATTTCATCACCAACTGAAACACCAGAGCAGAGTAAGAACAAGGCCTTTCCTATTGTGTTCACCTGACGCCCCCTGGAGCCTGTTGTGATACTGCAGGACATAGAGGAGGGACACTTTTGTCCTGAGTGCTGTTCCTCCTGCCCTGACACAAATCTGTTGACCCTACCTGACCAGTCCTCCAGTTAAAAAGCGCAGAGACTTTTGACTGAGACACAAAGGCAACTGAGACGTGCAATATAAATGTAGCTTTAGCATAATTTCCCTGTGTTTAGTTGGTGGTAAATTGGTCTCTGAAAGTTGTAAAAGGCTCTTATAAACTCATTGTGGTGAATAATTAGGATGCTTGGAATGCTTAAGGTATGTGAGGAATAACTTTAAAATGAACTAGCTGTTTTTGACATTGTTTAGACAGACTTTTAAATAAATAACAAAGATTTTCTTGTTCCTACCTGCATTTTTGTCCATTTCGTTGATATAGTCCTGCACCAGTCCAGTGTTGTGGTCCACTATAAAGCTGTCGGGTAGAGGGACCGGGTGGCCGTCTTGAACCCCTGGAGGAAGAGCATGGTACGTTTTTGTCAGGTGTCTGGAGATGGGTAGAGCCTGGAGGCCTGGGGACAAATCAAATCGAGATTATAGTAATATTTTATAATGACTTTTAATAGCCCATATTACACATTTCCCTGATGTATGTTATAATGTTGTTTCCTCATCACACGTTTAACACACAAACCCTGCATATTTAGTTAGGCTGTATTCTTCTCAAACTGAAAACACTCTGTTCCACCTTGTGATGTCATGTAGTAATACAAGAAGTGCTTCAATGTGTTTTCAAGCGCCGGACACGTTCATTAGAATCATTCGGATGATTTCAGTCCTGGAATTGCCAATCTCTACTGACCATAAGGTAAAAAGTAGCTGTTAACTTGAAAACTTCATGACATCACAAGGTGGAACAAACATTTAGAGCTTTGGAGATGTAGACTTAATAATAAAGGATTACTCAAACATGTGCAAATGAAACAAAACAGCATTCTGGGTATGTTTTTGATGATATAACAGTATTATAACATGGCTTAAAGTTCACAAGAGTCAGTGTTGTGTAATATAGGGATTTTAAAGTGACAGGTTAGACTACTAATTTCACATTTTTAACATCATTATATATAAGATTGGACTTATATAAAAGTACATAAAGCTGATTCTATAACTGTTTCCTAGCAACCGTAATGATAAAATATGTCAGTCCACAATAGTTATGATTAGACTAATAAAGATAAGAGATAACACCTTTATTTTTTGTTAAACGAGTGTTCAATGTACCACAAAAATGCCCTATGATGTAAAAATCAAATAAATATTGACCACAAGTACCATCCCAACAAACCAAGTAATTAGAAAAACATGAAAACCTATCATGTGCACTTTAATATACCAAGGGCAGAATTATATATATATATATATATATATATATATATATATATATATATATAATATATATATATATATATATATATATATATATATTATAAAACATTCAGTTCCATTTGTATCGCTTGTGTGGACAAATATTCTTCATTTTCACAACTACAGATGTGTTAATTATGAAACTTTTAGGAGTACTTGATAGGATTATTTTATTTTATTTTGTTTTAGCTAATCCAAAAGCATAAACTTAAAACTTTCATTGTGTTACTTTTCTGGTAGATGGTCTTTTAAAGCGTCTTTCAAATACTTTTCTCCATGGAGCTGTCATTACTTTGTCTGGAATGTTCTATAGTGGCACTAAAGCTTTCTATCTTCATGTAAACCGAACCAGATAAAGTTACAGGTCAGATCTGTGGAGAGGCAGCCCTGCTCACAGTCAGAATGTCTGTTTTAAAATCTATATAACTGAATAAATGTAAGGTAGATCTGTTTAATTCACACTAAACAAAAAAAAAAGTTACAAGGACGGTACATAGCACACCTTTAAATTATGATTAGAAGCAATTTTTAAGCATAAATCCTAAATTATATTAATATTTTTTGTGACCTATATATGAAAAAGTAAAACATGTCTTACCTGATAGGGCCAAGGTTATCAGCACGAGCTTGTACATACTAAAAAATACAACAATATTTAATTAAAATTCAGTCGGAACAAAGTTTTGCGGTTGTGTATAGAAAGCTTACCTGAGACTACAGCGATAACTGAGCAAAGTCTATAAAAAGAATCTGTACTAAGTATCCCCCTATCTCGATCATAAATGATAAACAGCCAATAGGATTTTCAATGGGGCTTTTGTCTACAGAGTCAACGCACTTTGGCCTGTGTTAAATTAATTAACCGATAAAGACAGGACACAGAAACTTGATAAACACTGAGTATACATGATCAAATATATGACTTTTTGAAGACATTACTGTAAAATGTTCTTTGGAAATACCTGTAATTGAGATATAGAGATACATTGCTTTGTCTGAAATATTCCACAGGATGGCATTAGATTTATTTCCTTATCTGAGTGGATACAAGGAGCTCACATTAAGAACCATGGAAGTTTAATACATTTTTTCTTTTTAACCTCAATAAATACACCTGTAATTCAATCCATGCAAGATATACACGTTTAATGACATACTGTGGGACATTTCTAACATGCAATAACGTCTCCATAGAGACAAGCAGTAAAGTTACATGGTGTTTATTTAAATACGCGTACTCTTCTCAGTTATTCTAATATTCTTGAATCATCAGTGGGTTTGATTCTTATACTTAACTTGAGTAATTAAAGCAACTGCACTTTTTCCTATGAAAAAAACTTTGACAAAACTTTGACGAAACTTCGATGAAACTTTGACAAAACTTTTGACAAAATTTTGACAAAACTTTGATAAACTTTGACAAACATTTTGACAAAACTTTGACAAAAATGAACGGGACTGAAAGCATATCCTGCCTGCGTGATTGACAGGCGGATTAACCAATCAGAGAGACCTGTGCTCTGTTTGTATCAAAACAAACATTGCAGCTTACACATACAAAACGGAAAAAAGTGAGAAGAAAAAAGAGAGAAAGAGTGCTGATTTTTACAGAATCAACAATTGAAGCACCTAACTGTTATTTCTTATTACTTATCTTATTATCTCAAGAAGTTATACATTTTGTTCTGAATGATAAGAGAGGAGATTTTTCTGCATTTGAGAGACACATGATAAAAATGTATGGCTGTGGCTGGACCGTCTCAAGTTTGGACTGAGGATTTTCATGCTCTATGGTCCGATTCCAGACCTTTCTAGATTCAAACGGAATGTAGAAGAGACTGGCTGGTCAGGCTTATCCATACATGGTTAATTAAAGGTGCATTGTACAACTTTTCTGGTGGTGGTCTCCATGGAGATGTTAGTGCTTTGCTTTGTTTCATGGTATGACATTAAACTGCCATCGATTCATCTAGGATTTATTCAGTACGAGTGTTTCTGTTGCTCAAAAATACAATAATTCTCTTTGTGCATACGAGCGTCTCTCCACAGATCTGACCTGTAATGTAGCCTATAGTTGTCTCCCTTGAACTAGACAGGTTTACTCTCTATTGTGGAACACTCTAGACAAAGTGATAACATCTCCATGAAGACAACCAGGTGACGGACCCTCCACCAGAAAAGTTGCGCAATTCACGTTTAACTGTAGATTACAAAACAGACAAGTTTTTTTTTCAATGTTATTCAACTAGATGGCAAAGGGCACTTCCCGAGCGTAGTAGTTGATCAATATTTGGATTCGGGCCAAGAGCAAAGATCGTACAAGCAAAAACTGATCCAAAACCCCTGATAGTAGAAATAGAGGTCATTGGGTTGGTCTGCTAGAGTAATAGGTTCGACCTGTTTGCTTTATTTGTTGTAATGTAACTTGCACAGTGAACAAACTAAGTAAACTGTCTACAGTGTTGGGAAAGTGACTGAATAAATGTAACAAAAATATATATTCCGAATAGCATTTTTGAGTAACTGTATTCAGGTACGTTTTACTTTTTCACTTATTCAGAATACAGATACTTTCCTAAATTAAAGGGAATACATGACAGTTCTTCATCATTCAATTTTGATTTTAAATTTGATATTATTAAAGGTCCTATATTATCCAAAATTGACTCTTGTGAGCTTTAAGTCATGTTCTAATGTTATTACCTCCTCAAAAACATACCCAGACTTATGTTTTGTTTCACTCACACATGTTTGAGTAACTCTTTACTAATAGTCTGTCTACATTTCCAAAACTCAAAATGCTCTGTTTCACCTTGTAACTTTTAACTTTTTGCTCAGTGGATATTGTCAACTCCAACACTGAAATTATCCAAATGATTCTAGTGAAGGTGTGTGGGGTTTAAAAACACAAGGTGGAACAGAGCGTTTTTTGTTTGAGAGAAGAATTCAGCCTAAATATGCAGGGTTTGTGTGTTAAACATGTGTGAATGAAACAAAACACAACTCCAGGTCTGTTTGTGATGAGGAAACAACATTATAACAGAGATCAGAAATTAGGGCAATATGCACCTTTTAAAATTTGTTTCTCAAACTTTATAAACTGCAAAGTTATTAAAGCATTTCACCAGATCTTACGTTTTAAATGTGCTTTTATGGATACTGTAGTCACCAAGTAACTCAGCCTCTGCTATGTCTTTAAACTCTTAATATCTTAAATTTTCTAAAAGTCTATGGGAAAAATGAATGGAAATTGTACTTATGAAACTGGAGTGGGTGGTCACTGTTGAACTCCATTAACCATGAGGTGGATCTAGTTTTGTTTTGTTTTATCTGAAATTTGATACGTTTTGTCTATTAAAATACATAAAGTTTCACTAACTTCTGAAATTAGTTCCACAGTTGTATATAGTTTTGTTTAATACATCTATTTGTCTGTTTTAGATCGGACGATGTAAGAAAATTACGTGTTTCAAAGTGTCAAACTCAAACAAAACACAAAGATGTTTTCACTCTCTGTCCGCAAGTGACCCTTATGCAATAGGCTACGGTGGGTTTGTTTCTTTTCCTTCCTGATTGGTTCGTAGGGTTGGTGTTTTCAGTTATATCATTGGACCCGCCCGTGTTATTTGTCACACTTACACAAATCAAGCGCCCTCGTTTTACTGCGGCACGATTGGCTGCGCTGGACCTCCATGTGCAAAGGCATGTTCGGCAAGTTAGCAGCAATGTCACTCCAATAGAAGAACTAGAAGAAAGCAAATTAAAAGCAAAAAATGTATTACATTTAGCTACTACAGTAACTAACAAAAAGGATACCGATTCTCGACCACCTCAAACTACTCAAACATTTATAAATAAGGAAATTTAGTGAAGTGTCTTGCTCATTGACACAACAGCAGTATGAATTGGTTACCACTCTCCAAGATATCCATTACTGTAGTAGCTAAATGTAATTTTTTTTTTCTCAACACATTATCCTAAATGCAGAAAAACACAGGAATTTCTCGAACATTTATACTTTTTTTTTTTTTTTTAACAATAATACAGTTATAAAGCAACCCAATTTTGTTGCTGTTTTTGTCATTTTAAGTAAAATAAAATAATCGCAAGACTTATTGATGATGCCCTTTTTTAACTACTTTATCTCTCAATTTAATCTACTTATTTTGAAACAAACAAACAAAGAAGCAAACAAAACAACATTAAAATCTTAAAGGTCACTTTTTGTTTGGGGGTCCATCATTTGCCTGTTTCTACGAATATGCCATTGCTCTACCTGGAATGTTCCACAGTATCACATTAAACAGCCCTTCTGTACATTTATTCAATTACAGGTGGTTTTAAAGCTCAAAAATACCTAGAAAAACAGACGTTATGACTGTGAGCGGGGTCGCCTCTCCACAGACCTGACCCTTAACTTGGTCTGGTTTGGTCCCCATGAAGAGAGAAAGATTTAATACATTACTGTGAAATATTCCAGATAAAGCAATAACATCCCCATATAGAAAAGCTTTTGACAGACCCTCCACCAGAAAAGTTACTCAGTGCACCTTTAAATAAAAAAGTGTGCATTTACATTATAAAAAAAGACAAAGAATAATATTAAGATAAATTACATACAATCAAAGCTAAAATAATAACAGCAATAATAATAATAATAATAATAATAATAATAATAAAAAAAAAAACGAACTAACGAAATAATTAAATCAACGGCTTTTATTTTGAAGTCGTAGACCGGAAGCAGCTGTCTCCGCGAACCCGTGTTTTGTGATACAGGAAGTGTTTTCGTCCCGTGCGCTGCTGTAGTTTACTTTCTCCTCTGCGGGTCGTGAGCATCGTGCACCTCCTACACCACCTCCAAACCGCATTTCTGTTTATTTTTCTTTGCCCTCTCGGTTGTGGCGCAGTATTTTCGCTTTTCCGGACAAGTTTGCACAAGTTGTACGTTGCGCAATGAACGTGACACTGACTGATTGACTTTTGTTGGCTTGAAAAGTAACACCGCAGCTAGCATCACTGGGTTTTAGCCTAGCCCACTTTTTGACCGAGAGTTCCTTCTTCAGCAGTGCCTTCTGAATATAGGCTGAATATCTGGCGCAAAATATGGCTTTAGTTGCAGCTTTTAGAAGATTGGCGCAGTATTCACGTAGATCTGCCGCTGTCCTGTCCTCTCCCGCAGTTCGGCACAGTAATCCTAGAAGCTTTACCTTCGGCTTACAGCCCCTAAGGTGAGTAAAGTTATACTCCGCAAATATCTTACGAAAATACACGTGCTCCATGCTTATTTAACACTTTGCAACGCTGATATTAATTTATTTTTTTAATACTCTATTGTGTCAAAGTTTCACAAACAAAAATATATATACTCTGTTGACATTACAGTAAACACACTATACTATTTTTTTTTTAAATCTCCATTTTCCCCCACTCTCATCTTAACAAAAAATATAACACATTTTGCTAATTAATATTAGGAAATAAAGTCAAATAATCATAACATTACAAAATACAGTTACAGTTACAGTTTTGATGCGTAATGGTGCGTAAAACTTTGGCACAAACTTTGACGTAACAATGTGGTAGTAGTTTTGCCACAGAATCAACACATTTTTGCATTTTCGTCACGTTTGTGTGATTATAATTTAACAATACAACAGGGAAGCATACTTTATTCAGAATGTAAACTTTAAACTAATTTACACAGACCTTTTACCTATGTTTTTAGACTTTAGCCGGTGGTGTAAGAGGTTCAGAGTCAGGACAGTCTCTGATAGTTAAAATAAAACAGTAAGAGTAACATTTGGCAGGTGATTTTAGCATAATTTATTTTTGTAGTTGATAATAATTAACAATAAAAAATGTATGATCTAACTAATGCAAACACTATAAAAATAACACATTAAAGTGATTTGATTCAGTGATTTGATTGAGTAATGTTAATGTTCAACATTTAACCTTTTAAATCTAATCTACTTTAAACAGCAGCTATAATAAAGTTAAAACAATATTTAGACAAATGTTAAATAAAAATATAGACAAAAAGAATTAGAAATTGTATTGACATAGATGGAAAATAAACACTACTACAGTCCAGTTGTTTTAGTTTAACTTGTTGATAACTCCAGTAATATTAAACTCCCTACTTTTACTTGCCTACTGTTATGTTTTGACTCTAAATCGCTACTACTACTACTACTACTACTACTACTACTACAAATACAACAACAAAAAAATACTATGTGAAAGTGATTGTGGCTGCAAGTAATGGTAATACTCAAAATTAACCTTTTTAAATCTGTCTAATGTACTTTAAACAGCAGATATAGTAAAGTTAAAACAATATTTAGACAAAAGTTAGATAAAAATATAAATAAAAAGTATTAGAAATTGTTTATATTGAAATACATAGAAAATAAGCACCACTACAGTCCAGTTGTTTAAGTTTAACTTGTTGATAATTCTCCAGTAATGATTGTGTCAAACTCCCTATCAATTTTACATTGGCCTATCTGTTATGTTTTGACTCTAAATCGCATCACACATACTCTGATGAGATGAGTTCATATTCACAGGAGAATTCTGGGCCAAAAACTACACTTACACTTTGAATACAAGGTTTTGGGATTATTATTTCAACCCGGGGTCCAAGGATGCGTTCAAGGACACAGGAGAGAGGCAGAATTCCCAGGGTCAAACTGCTCATTAAAACTGTGCAAGAGCGATGTGTATAAGTTTCAAATTAGGGTTATTTTGAGAAGAAACATTGTGATTTCAGCGTGGTTTTTGATAATTTGAGAATTCACCTTGATTTACACTAGATAACTTTTAATGGAGGTAATTGTACATGTTTTTTTTTTAGTTTGTGACTTTTCTAGTGGAGGGTCCATCAGATACTTTTATTAATGAAGACGTTATTGCTTTGTCTGGAATATTTCACAGTATGGCATTAAACCTTTCTTTCTTCATGGAGACCAAACCAGACCAAGTTACAGGTCAGATCTCTGAAGAGGCGACCCCATTCACACTGCCCTACAAAGGCAAAAGACCTTAACTCGCCAGAGTGTGAAACTGAGAAAACTGACATCAAAGTTTCTGTTTTATCCAGGCAAAAGTCTAATAGGCAGGGCTCCCAAAATTTGACAGCTAGTTACTATAAAGTAGAAATATGTGTATGCGAAAAATATTGAGCTCAAAATGGACCTTTGACAAAAATAAGGGGTTGTGCAAAGGCAACTTACGGCCTTTTGCCTTTGCACGACTCCTTATTTTTGACTCATGATTTTTGCAAAGGCATCTTACTCCCTTTTGCCTTTGCATGACTCCTTAGTTTTTGTCTCATGTTACAAAAGCAGAGTACAGGAACTGCCAAATAAAGGCCAAAGATCAATTTAGAGCTCAATATTTTTCACAATATTTATTCACATGATAAAGGAGGTCTCAAATACCCCCAAAGTGACATTAACTCAGGACAGCACAGTCAGAAGAATGTCTCTTTTTCTAGGCATTTCTGAGCTGTAAAACCAACTGTAATTGAATAAATGTAAGATAGAGCTGTTTAAAGTCATACTGTGGAACATTTCAGGCAGAGCAATGACATATCTATAGAAACAAGCAGGTGACGGACCCCAACCGAAAAGTTACATAGTGCATCTTTAAAACAGGGCTGATCATACACTCGATATCTTTATAATAAGTTCATTAATTCATTCATTCATAATCCTAAAGGCAAATGTCTCGATACTGAGAAAAGTGTTGCATTTCTAACTCTGAAAATTTATAAAAAGCTTCGATGTGGAAACGTAAAGAAGCACTACGTAACTTTTTTCCTGAAGTGTCCACTACTTTGCTCGTCTCCATGGAGATGTTGTAACTGTCCCTGTAGTCGGACATTGTCATAAATATCTTGATGTGTTTCAATATTGAGAAAAGCATTGGCTTTCAAAATCTGAGAGTTTATAAAAAGCTTAACGAGGAAACATAAAGAAGCACTGCGTAACTTTTTTGCTCGTTTCCATGGAGATGTTGTAACCGTCCCTGTAGTCGGACGTAATATCATAAACATCTTGATGTGATTTGATGCTGAGAAAATCATTGCATTTCTAAATCTGAAAGTTTATTTTAAAAAAGCTTGATCTGAAAACTAAATACGTAGAAACACTGTGTAACTTTTTTGGTGAAGTGTCCACTGTTTTGCTCGTCTCCATGGAGATGTTGTAACAGACCCTGTAGTAGGTTGTTGTCATGGACCGTCCGCCCTCTTAAGGTCACTGAGTTTGTAGATTTTAGTCTGCTCTGTGTGTGTTTAGCCTTTAGCCTTTAGCCCGTTAGCGCTGTCATTCACAAGAGTCTGTTTGTGTGTGTTTTTAGGGAGCAAAGAACACTGGGAAATGGGACATGAGGGTTCATTGAAAGAAGTGTAGAGAGACAAGTTTTAGGCCTGGTTTAGTCCTGGGTTAGGCCTGATTTAGTCCTAGGTTAGACCTGGGTTAGACCTGGTTCATTCCTGGATTAGACCTGGTTCAGACCTGGTTTAGTCCTGGTTCAGTCATGGTTCAGACTTGGTTCATTGCTGGTTCAGTGCTGGTTGAGTCTGTGTTTTTGTCCTGTGTTTTTTGTCTTGGTTTTTGTCTTAGTTGTGTCCTGGTTCAGTCCCGTTTTTTGTCTTGGTTTAGACCTGGTTCAGACCTGGTTCAGTCCTGTTTTTTGTCCTGTATTTTTATTCTGTTTTTTTTTTTTTTTTTTTTTCTGGTTTTTGGTTCTGTCTTAGTTCAGTCCTGGCTGAGTCCTGGCTGAGTCCTGGCTGAGTCCTGGCTGAGTCCTGGCTGAGTCCTGGCTGAGTCCTGGCTGAGTCCTGGCTGAGTCCTGGCTGAGTCCTGGCTGAGTCCTGGCTTCAGTCCTGGTTCAGTCCTGGTTCAGTCCTGGTTCAGTCCTGGTTCAGTCCTGGTTCAGTGTCTGTTTTTCTAGGTGTTTTTAAGCTATAAAACCACCTGTAATTGAATAAATCTAAGGTAGAGCTGTTTAATTTCATACTGTGGCTTTTTTTTTTACATTTTTGTTGCCATATGAAACATTATAGCATCTACAAAAGAGCTTTAAAAGAACAGAATATTATAAAAGAAGAATTATATATATGTTAATAGTGTGTACTAACGTTTTATTTCTAATTCATTGTGATTTCTTCTGCCATTGCCGCTTTGAAATCTCTGTATTTTCCAGTGCAGTTCCCATAGAAGTGTAAGTGAGTTGAGTTTAAGCCCCTATATTGAGTGTATAGACTTGACCTCAAAGGCCCTTTTAAGCCAATGAGGAATGCTGAGAAACGCTCAATTAAGATAAACTGTAAATCCTAAAAGCTGCAATTGTTTAAGGGCCACTGGGACATGGGGAAGTTTAAAGGGCCCATGTTATTCTCTTTTCTGATCTATGTTATAATGTTTCCTCTCACAAACAAACCTGGAGTTGTGTTTTGTTTCATTCACACACGTTTAAAGGTGCATTTGTGTAACTTTTCTGGTGGAGGGATCCATCAAATGCTGTCTCTAATGTTACACAGTATGGCATTAAACATTTCTATCTTCATGGAGACCAAACCAGACCAAGTTACAGGTCAGATCTGTGGAGAGGCGACCCCGCTCACAGTCAGAATATCTGTTTTTCTAGGTATTTTTGAGCTATAAAACCACCTGTAATTGATAAATGTAAAGTAGAGCTTGTTTAATTCCATACTGTGGAACTTTCCAAGCAGAATAATGACATCTCCATAGAAAAAAAACAGGTGATGGACCTCAACCAAATAGAGCACCTTTAACACACAAACCCTGCTTATTTAGGCTTCTCAGAGCGTCTTCTCTCAAACTGAAAACACTCTGTTCCACCTTGTGATGTCATACATAGGTAATACAGGAAGCGCTCTACTGTGTTTTTAAACCCCACACAGCTTCACTAGGATCATTTGGATAGTTTCAGACTTGGAATTTCCAATCTCTACTGAATAAAAGATAAAATGTAGCTGTTAACTTGAAAACTACCGCTTCATAACATCACAAAGTGGAACAGAACATTCTGAGTTTTGGAGACGTAGATAGACTAATAATAAAGGATTATTCAAACATGTGTGAATGAAACAAAATAATTCCTTTATCAGAGCGTCATCTTGACACCCGTTCAACTTCATAAACACAGCGAGAGGAAACAAACAACAACAACAATTGGTAACAGTACAACAAAGTACTACAGCACAAACTAAGTCTCATATTTCATATATCTGCCCAGAGTTAAACATTTAAACTTCTTCATAAACTAGAAGAGAGTGGTGCACAGTTTTAGCTCTTCACTTTTAGGAAGGTCTTAACTATGTAATTAATTGAAACATGTAAGATAAAATCCTGAAATAGTAGCGGCACTGTTGAGACCACATCATTTTTGCATGTTTTTTTGTGTGTGTATGAACAAATGTGTTGAGGTATATTGCGTGTGTTCAGTACGTAATGACAAAAAATGTATATAGATTAACTAACTTAGTTTCATAAAGAGTACAATTCAGGGGGACTTTCCAGCCGGCGAGACTTTCCAGCTGGTTCCTTTGCCCATATTTTTGTGTGCAACTTAAAAAACGTGCAGCCGCATTTTGGACGAGCTTCAGTCAGGAAACGGAGGACTGACTCACCCCAAAATAAAATGCGTTACGATAATCCAGCCGGGTGGTTACAAAGAAGTGGATCACGGTTTCAATGTGCTGACGTGCCAGAAGGTGCTTAACTCTCGCCAGCTGCTTAAGGTGGAAGAAACTGGTCCTTATAGCAGAATGAATTTGCCTGTCAAGTTTAAGCTGTGGATCCATTTTGCAATCAAAGTTTCCTGAATTAACAGAGGTGACTCCAGCACAACTTGGTCCAAACATCACTTGTTTTAGACTCAGTAAAGTGCAGATAATTTAGGCTCATTCATGCTTTTAAATTCAAAACAAAACCATCTCTTTTCTTAAGTGGGACATAAATCTAACAACTTAAAGCTCACAAGAGTCAATTTTGTGTAATATAGCACCTTTAACCCTGCATTTTTTTAAATATATGTTTATTTTGTGTTTTCAGGGCGGACAACAAAGTGACTGTACATTTTGTGAACAGAGATGGAGAGAAAGTGACAGTGAAAGGCTCTCCTGGAGATTCTCTGCTCGACGTGGTCATAAACGAAGACCTGGACTTTGACGGATTTGGTGTGTAATTTGGTCACTTTTTTTTTTTCTGACAATCCTTGCATTTGTGATTCGATTTAGACCTGACACGCTAAAAAAAAGTTTAATGCTGAAGAAAATCTAGATAATATACGTTAACGCAGAATTATCCCCAAAAACGTATTGTTATATTTTTGTAATATTGTTAAAAATATGAGCTGGAATAAATGTCTTAAAGGTGAATTGTGTACGTTTTTGGTTTGCTTGTCATTGCACTGCCTGAAATGTTCCACAGTATGGCATTAAACAGCTCTGCACTTACATTTATTCAATTACAGGTGGATTTATAGCTCAAAAATACCTTGAAAAACAAAAATTCTGACTCTAAGCGGGGTCGCCTCTTCACAGATCTGACCTGTAATTTGGTCTGGCTTAGGTTTAATGCCATACTGTGAAACATTCCAGACAAAGCCATAACATCTCCACGGAGAAAAGCATTTGACGGACCTTCCACCAGAAATGTTACACCTTTAATTCTAATTACCTATAAAAAAAAACAGAATATGTAGTCATTTTAGTTGAGTTTTAATCTTTGCGCACCAAAACTCTACCAAAACTAAAAATGTTCGGCGGCCTCGGAGGTGTTCCTGTGTCAATCTCGTCTGAGCTCCGAGGGCTTACCAGGATTTGAGCTGATTAGTGTTTTGATCAGCGAGAACAGGGGAATGCCAGGTCCCTCTGAGGTTCAAGAGGCAGCAGCGGCTCTGGTCTAGTGTCAACTGTTCTGTGTCCTTGAGCAAGACACAGAAGAAGTAGTGATGGAACTTTCAGGCTCCTTGTATGAGATATGAATATTTTGGATCAGTTCATATCAAAGAGACGTTCAAAAGACGATTCAATTATATAGACAGAAGCCAGTGTGAGAATTTTTTTAAAAGTGCACTATGTAGAGCTGAGTAAAATTAAAATGAGCTGAAAGACTTTGTGTAATCTCTCAAACAAATGCATTAAGTTATATTTCTTCACTTTTGTGGTTAATTTATGACGCTTTAAAGGTCCTATATTACACAAACTTGACAGATACGATACATACCTCGATCAAGTGCACTTTTGATTCAATAAAATACATTTCAGGTACAGTCCAGTTAAAAATAAAGGCTAAATCATGGCTGTGATACTAAAAGTCTTTGTTAAAACACTTTTTATGCAAAGTTCATATGAAACACAAACATTTTAATCATCAAAACAGTGAAAATGTCAAATGTGTTGCATAAACGAGTTTCCTTGCTCTAAACAAGTAACTAAACTGTAGCTGTAACAAAATAATTTTGTAAAATATAACAAAAAATACTCTTGGTGATATATCGATACAGCAACCCACGATATCGATTCTGTATCATCACATTAATATACGATACGATATATCGATATTTTGATATTTTTGCACACCCCTAGTTGTGAACTTTTAGTCATTCTATAATGTTGTTTCCTCCTCAAAAACATTCCTGGAGTTGTGTTTTGTCACATTTTTGAATAATCCTTTATTAGTCTGTCTACATCGTTAAAGCTCAGAAATGCTCCATTCCACTTTCTGATGTCATGCAGTGGTAGTTTTTTACCTTTAGTTCAGTAGAAAATGGCAATTCCAGGGCTGAAAGTATACAAATGATTCTCGTGAAAGTGTACGGAGTGGAGCACACGACATCACAAGGTGGAACAGAGTATTTTCTGTTTGAGAGAAGAACTCAACATGCAGGATTTGTGTGTTAAAGTATTATGGACTCTTTAACCTCAACCAAGACAGTTACAGACTCAGTTTTGCATTTTAAGATGATGCCAAAAATAAAAATCAAGATATAATTTTTTGTCAAAATCGCCCTCCCCTAGTCCCATGTTTAGAAATATCTAGAACATTTTACTTTATTTGAGTAGATTCAATTTATTTCAAGCAACATTATGTTTAGTTTCTTCTTTTATGTACTCTATTACTTTTCTTATGTTAACCTTAGGAAGATGTATTTTCATATTTTAAGTACAAAAAGTCTTGGTTCATTTGTAGATCATTGTGAAATGTGCCAAAATCATGATAAAACTCTCTTAATTCAAGTCATCTTAACTTTGATTTGAGTTTTTGAGGTGCGGTCGGTGTGATCCTGAGTGTTTCTTTCTCTCTGCAGGAGCGTGCGAGGGAACACTGGCCTGCTCCACGTGTCACTTAATCTTCGATGAGGACGTGTACAAGCAGCTGGGGCCAGTCACTGATGAAGAGATGGACATGCTGGATTTGGCGTACGGACTTACAGACACGTGAGTAATCCGGTCATGGAATTCCCTAATGTGATGTCATGATTACCATCCATGAAGCACAATTTTAAACCTAAAAAAATGGCCAAACAGGACATTTTTACAATTTCTTTTTTGTAAAATCTTTAATATAATGAACTTAACTGTGTTTTAGTCAAGTGATAAGTTCAACCTGTCAGGCGTTTTAACCTTTTTGGAGCTTTCTATCATGTTATTAAGTTGTTCCCTCATCAAAAACTGAAGAGGTTTTTAGATATCATCCATGCATGTTTCAGTAATCTAGTGATCTCTCCCAGACCCTTTTCAACCCCTTGTTACATTTAGCGGTAAGATTCTGTGCTCAGCCCACAAATCTGTTCATTTAGGTCTTAAAATGTTCGTATTTACTCGCTCTACATGATCCTGATGTTTTTATTTCGATATTTTACATAACTGCTAGCCTTGTGAGCTTCATTTGACTCAAGCTGAACATTGTGGGTCCACTTTTTGATACAGTCTATGGCTCTAAAGCAACAGTTTTCCATAAATATACAAAAGCAGGATACAAAACTGTACACAGTAACTTGATAAACGTGACGCGATGTGCAGTAGTTTAAAAAAAAAAGACAATAGCTCTATACAAAATGGAGGTATTGTCAAGAGAAGGTTTAAACTGACAAAATGCCTTCTTTGTGTGTAAATTGTATTTTGCATTTTGGATGGAATTTTCAGTTTTGCATGGGGAGAGGTACTCTCATGTATTCTTGTATTTTTCACCAAACCAAGTCATCTGACATATGCACTTTTAATGTAGTTTTATTTTGTTTTAAGAGGTAACTAATAACTTTCCATTCATTATTTTTATTGGTTTAATCCACCTGTCACTCAAAGAATAGGAGGAGTGGGCGGGGGCAGATGTGTTTGAGCGTAGAGCTGCACAGAGAATCACGATATAAACATTTGAGCTGATTGGATGGTTTTCGGGGTCTCTGAAGTCCAGGCTTTGTCCATCCATCCAATGACTTCAGGAAAGTTGCATGGTGCTCCCTCCTTTTTACCTTGAAGCTGTGTTTTTCATCCCCGCTTTCTACCAGTCCCTCACAAGTTTTTCACTCCAAACTTTCTGTCTATTGCTTGATTACTGTTTTCAGCTGAATATTTCACTACTTACAGCAGGACAGAGGCTCTTTCTGCAGGAGACATGTTCAGTAGAGTGAAGTGACAGTGGTACAGGAGGAACAGGAGCAGCAGATACTGACACACAAGACTAGAGCCTCTCACGGCTGTCAGTCTGAAAATTTTAATATATAAGTCGCACCAGAGTGTAAGTGGCAGGAAACACCCAAACAGTGAAAATAAGTGTGATTTATAGTCTGAAAAATACGGTAATAATAATATTAAACAGGATCATGAACGCACGTATTTATCACACTCTTGAAAATGCATTGTTTAAATCCATTTTCAATTTTTTTCAAACTATATTAAAACATCTTAGTCTGTGTTTACTTATGTGTGCATTGTGTCACCACGGTAACTGCTGAAGATTCCTCCGTAGAACACCCCCAGCATGATGTCATTGCAAAGTATCCTCCAGCGTAGTAATCCTCTTTGCTTTTTCTTTTTTTTTTTTTTTTTTTTTTAGGTCTCGGTTGGGTTGCCAGATCTGCCTGACCAAATCTCTGGACGGGATGGTGGCGCGTGTCCCTGAAAGTGTAGCAGACATCAGACAAAGCAAAGACGGTTCAGCGTAAAAACTGTGAGCTGTAGTTACACGTGCGCACACACAAGGGGGCGCCATGCTCTGTGTCCAGGGTCCGGGGTACGTCCAACTGCTCCACGCCTGTTTCCTGACTTTTGATACAATAGATTTATCAGTTTTCTACGATCACCTATAATAGACAACTCACTTAAAGGTGCTTTGCGTAACTATTCTGGTGGAGGGAGGCTTGTTGCTATGGAGACGTCGCTTCTCTGCCTGGAATGTTCCACAGTGTGACATTAAACAGCTCTAGTTAGTTCACATTTATTCAATTACAGGTGGTTTTATAGCTCAAAAATACTTAGAAAAACAGGCGTTCTGACCTGTAACTTGGTTTGGTTTGGTCTCCACGGTGATAGAAAGGTTTAATGCCATACTGTGAAACATTCCAGACGAAGCAGTAACGTCTCCATGCAGAAACGTTACACAATGCACTTTTAACGTTACTGGAAAAAGTTTCGAGTGTCGAGTTGGGTTTCTATTTGCCTTTTACAATCAATTCCCCATTAAGTTATTATTATTTTTTTTTATACCCCTTTTGATGCTTTGTAACTGTCATCAACTCTCTGGAGTGGTGAAGCTAACCGGAGGCACTGCTCTGTCTGAAGCTCTGTTACTTTAGACTTTAATCTGAGCTTTGTTTTAACGCAATCTGACTTTCGATTTGACTTTCCGAGCCTTTGAGAGAGATATTAACACCTGTTGTGTTTTTGCTTACGTGTGCGTCGCATCGCCATGGCAACCGCTGAACGTTCTGCCATAGACGTGCACGCAGAACCCCCCCCTCCATGTAGTATTTAAGCAATTATTTATTTAACAAGATCTGGCCCCTAATTGAAAGTTACCACACCTAACGTCTATATGTCCATGTAGAATCTATATTTTTGGGCTAGTATGAATTAACTACTTAAAGGTGCATTCTGTAACTTTTCTGGAGAACGTCTCATACCTGCTTGTCTCCATGAAGATGTTATTCCTTTGCCTGGAAAGTTCCACAGTACGACAGCAAACTTACCTATCAATCTACTTAAATACAGATATTCTTTGGTGCTCATAAATACCTCAAAAACATTCCTGCAGTCCACGTGTGGGGTCGCCGCTCCACAGATCTGAACTGTATCCTGGTCTGATGTCATTACCCGGTTGTCTCCTTGGAGATAAATAAGTTAGATGCCGTATTGTGGAACATTCTAGGCAAAGAAATTAAATATACCTTTTAAAAACGCGCATTCTTACTGCGAGCACGACTGCCTCTCCACAGATCTGAGCTGTAACACGCTTGTCTTGGTGGAAAATAACATCACCATGGAGACGAGCAATTGGCAGACTCTCCACCAGAAAAGTTACATAGTGTATCTTGTAAATTTAGAATAGTAATAACAAGGAAAACAACTATATTTTCAACAATAGTTTTCTATGGAAATGGGAGCAGGTTTTTGCAGAGTGGGGCCTGGATATAACAACTTGATTTTAAATAGAGTATTAAAACTGCCGTATCCACTTATTTTATTATTATTTGTGTGTTATTATTATTATTATTACTACTGTCTTCTTGTCTGTTAATCACAAGTCCATTAAACACTGAGCTAATTTAACCAGGTGAATGTACATACACCACTGTTTAACTGTATAGTGTCATAATAATAAAGCAAAAAAATCACTTTCTAATTCTGTGGTCCGTCTGTATCGTCATCTGTTTCATATTTGGTTTACTATCAGAAATAATGCTAAGGAGGTTGGAGTTTATTTGTTTAATAAAGTTAAGGGAGCCTCATTATTCTATTTTTTAATATTTTAATCTATGTTATAATGTTGTTTCGTTGTTTTGTTTGCGTGTTTAATACACGTATCCTGCATCGTCACCACAGAATAACAGTTTAGTGCTTTGTTCACTGATTCTGCGGAAATCTGTGAGGTTTTTCAGTCCCCTTTGATATAATGTTTCCTTTTTGTTTTTCCTTGTGTGCAGCCAGATATGTTTTGATACAGACAGACAGAATTCTTGTCCCTGATTGGCTAATCCACCTGTCAATCACACCCATCTGAAAACGGGGAGCTTCATCTATGATCAGACTCGCATCTTCGTGTGACCAGAAGTAAAACAGTAATATAATAATACACCTGTTAAGAATGTGAAAAGTATGAAAATGTAGATATGTAAATTACACAGGGGCTAATATTGTGCTCAATGTTAATAAAAATAAAACAAACCAACAGTCACAGTGAAAAGGTTGTCGGATTTAAAAGTGAACTAGTTTCAATTGCTCCTCATTGTTTAATCCTTACTTTTTGTGATCTAATTTATCAAACGTTATACACTTCAATGTTAATTTAATGTTTGGTTCTTTGTTTTTGGTTGAGTAATACTTGTTAAACTAAAAAAGTAAGACTTGACTGAACCAAAAACAAAAATCTCTCAATTAAAATGTATTGTCAACTGTAACACAAAACACGTCATAAACCAGGACAAAAGAAAAGTGTTTTACAATATATATTTTTATTATCTTATAGCTCTTTATTGATAAATATTGGCAGTGATAGAACAGCTGGTTAGAAAGCAGCACTTTTAAAAACACAGCGTTAAGACAAGTCTAGATAAAGATCAGAAGATTTTTTTTTAATATATATATTTTTTTCTTCAATGTATTTGCTCTGGCTCGGACTATTGACACTTTGCAGCTGATGTCAACATTCCCTGGGCGTGTGAAGCTAACTGAAAGCACTACTCTGTCTGAAGCTCTCTTACTCAAGTTAGACTTTAATCTGAGCTTCGTTTTAACACAATCTGAACAGAAAAAGACGACTTTGTTGGAACTACAACAGGTGACACATAAAAATCTCACACTCTCATCACTCTCACCTTTTTGTTGAAAATCAAACTCTAAAACTCTTAAACATGACCACAAACACTTTAAATGATCACAGGCTCCTCCAATTATCATTTAAATCCATACTGTATTTTTTTCTTGAATTTTCAGAATATATTAGACATTTTTTGGTGTAAGCATTGTGTCACCATGGTAACTGTTGGTAACACTCCCAACAATAGAGATGCATGTAAAACACCCCTGGCATAATTTTACTACTACTAAGAGCAAAACCTAATGTATTAAGCACATAGTGAAAACAGTAAAGTTCCTATTATAAACAAAATTAAAGGCAAACTATGTACTTTGGAGATTCTTTTGTTTCAGCAGCTCATTAAACTTGTATATCTCATGTTTATTCAGTTAGAGGATTTTCGTTAATAAAATACAAGAACAGATAAGCATTTTTTTTACTGGGAGCTTTTTGCTTCTAAGGAAATCTGTAGGTTTAATCTCCTCGGAGACAAGCAGCTCACAGTCAAAAAAACGCATATTTATCTTTGTATTTTAGTAACGAAAAAGCCTGTCACTGAATAAATACAAGTTCAATGCTCTACTGTGGAACATTTTGGACAGCGCATTAACATCTCCATGGCGACATAGTGTACCTTTACATTTTTTACTTTTAATTTAAAGTCATAGCTTCACAAATGTACATTCAAAATAGCAGTTTATAAGTTAATGTTATCTTTAATAATTTTATAATCTGATCTAAACACATAGAAAATGGAAAATTCTGAAGCATTTAATAGATTTGGCTTTTTATAATGTTAAAAGGCAAATGGCAAAGGTTAACTTACATTATAAACATTATTATACAAAATACACAAGCGAACAGACTTCATAATTAAACAGATAAATTACAATTTACATCAGATGTGCTAAAATAAAATGTTCTCAAAATAAAGCAGTACAATTTGTCCTTAAGTCATTGACAAAACAGCGCATCTGCCATTTACTGGTGAAAAAAATCAAATACACTTAGAGATAGTAGCTTTAAAGCCCCTCTGTGTAACATTTTTCAAGACTAAATAGCATTTATTTTAACTGAAAAACATGTTGTTTACTGTAAGTAATTTGAAAAGCGCTGTACCTGATTTCTGCAGTCTTTAAAAATGTGAAAAACAGAACTAATTCATTTAAAATAGTTTGCAGTCGTCCAAAGTTATTCCTCACTAATCCTAATTATAAATGCTTTTCACAACTTTCAGATGCCATTACTCTAAAGCTAACAACAACTAGCATGCGAACAGCACACTTCCTGATTATGGGACACTAAAATACTTCGTAATTAGACGCAGACTGTGCAGAGCAAATACCTAATATCTGTACAGGGGCAAATCAGGTACAGGCTCTTTTTTTTAAAGGTGCAGTGTGTAACTTTTCAGTTGGGGGTCCTGCTTGTTTCTATGGAGATATCATTGCTCTGCCGGGAATGTTCCACAGTATGACATTAAGCAGCTTTACCTTACATTTATTCAGTTACAGGTGGTTTTATAGCTCAAAAATACCAAGAATGACAATGAAAAATGAAAGATACCTAAACATGTCAAACTCAGGCCCAGGGACCAAATTTGGCCCGTGATATAATTATATTTGGCCCACAAGATCAAATCAAATGTTTTAGAGCTGCCAGTCAACTACAGATAGGCTATAGAGACATTATTTATTTTAAATTTAGTTATTATTTTATTTTATGCTTGTTCTGGATTCAAAGTTTAAGCAAAACTATTATTAAACATTTATTTTAATATGTAATGTTAAACCTTTTCTTATCTCCAAAGAAGAGAAAACATGCAGATGCTGTTGAAATTTTTCAGTAAATATTTAGTTTGGCCCATGACTTTTAATTCCAGTCCCAGTTTTTAATTTTGGTCCTCTGTAAATTTGAGTTTGACACCCCTGACTTAGAAAAACAACATTCTGACAACATTCTGTGAGCAGGGTTGCCTCTCCACAGATCTGACCTGTAACTTGGTCTGGGTTGGTCTCCATGAAGATAAAAAAGGTTTAATATCATACTGTGAAACATTCCAGACAAAGCAATAACATCTCCGTGAAGAAAAACATTTGACGGACACCAAAGAAGTTACACAATGAACCTTAAGTTGTAGTTTTGAAATAAACTGTATTACCACAATAAACCGTATTTACAGTATTCAAAGTTCTGGTAGTTCTGATAATTCTTTATTTCATTAGACATAAGACTCTTCTGATAATAACAGTTGTTCAAAGTCTGGTTCTGATTGAGGGTCACTGCAGCGTTTAATCCACTCCCTCTGGCTCTCCACCAGGGCTAGCGCCACCTGCTTGCTGCTCTGGGGATTGCTGCGTGGATGCGAGGAGAAGTAGTCCTTCACTGCTTTTGTGGCGTGAGGAGAAAGACAAAATCTGGTCTCCGCGGAAACCTCTTTGCCGTCCACCTCGGATACTTTGAGTCCCGGGTCGCTAGGGAGACGGGTCCTGCTCAGATTGGAGACCCGGTCGACCAGGACCCGGCTCGGTTCTGATCCGCGTCTCTGGGACAGTCTGGGGTTGGCTGCAGGAGGAGAGAGAGAAGTGTTACTGAATAAAAGTACAACTGATACTTTTTACACAATTTTGATTTTGATTTCTAACAACAAGAGTGTAAGAGGTTGGTGATGGTAGTTGGTGTTGTACTCGATGTTGAAGTAGCAATAAGTGTACTAGTAGTAGTAGTATTAGTAGGAGGAGGAGGGTTGTTGGTGTAGTAGTAGTAGTACTAGTAGTTGTAGTAGTAGGAGTAGTAGCAGAAGTAGTAGGAGGAGGTGTAATGATAGTAGCAGTAGTAGTAGGTGTTGTAGTAGTACAAGTAGGAATAGTAGGAGTTGTAGTAGTAGTAGCAGTAGGAGTAAGACTAATAAGAGCAATAGGTGTAGTAGTAGGAGTAGGAGTAGCAGCAGTAGCAGCAGTAGCAGTAGTAGTAAGTAGGTGTAGTACTAGTAGGTGTAGTTGGAGTCATAGTAATAGCAGTAAGAGTAAGACTAGTAGTAGTAGGTGTAATAGTAAAAGTAGTAGTAGGAAGTGTTGTAGTAGCAGTAGTTGGCGCTGTAGTAGTACGAGTAGTACTAGAAGGAGTCGTGGTAGTAGCAGTGGGAGTACGACTAACAGGAGTAGTAGGTGTTGAAGTAGCAGTAAGTGTACTAGTAGTAGTACGAGGTGTTGTAGGTGTAGTAGCAGCAGTAGTGGTAGTAGGTGTAGTAGGAGGTGTAATAGTAGTAGCAGCAGTAGTAGTAGTAGTAGTCTTTGAAGTGGGAGTAAGTTTACTAGTAGTAGTAGTACGAGGTGTTGTTGGAGTAGTAGACGTAGTAGTCGGAGTACTAGATGTAGGAGTAGATAATAGTAGTAAAAATTGTAGACATGATAGTAGTAGTAGGTAGTAAGACCTGTTAGTCACAATAATGCAGTAGTAGCTGTAACTGTTGATATTTTTATTGGTGATTTTAAGCATATTTGGTAGTAAGTCAAAGTAGTTTAAGTAGTAGTATATAGTAGTAGTTAAAATGTATTGTTAAAATGACTATTATAAGTACTTGGTAGTAAGTGAGCCTACCCACCAGCTCAAGACATCAGTGTTCCTGTAATATAAAGGTAAGTAGGTCTACCAACTGAAGTACCTGAATTGAAGTAAGTGGTACTATAAGTAGACCTCACAGGTAATTGGTAATATAAGTAGACCTGCCTGTGAGTCTACACACATTTAAGCAGAATAAACACTACAGCAACCAAAATAAGTAGGCCTAGCCATATTTAAACAAGTCTAATGGTAGGTCTAAAAGAAAACATTTTAAATGAGCAGGCCTACTGATAAGCCTACCCAGAGTTTGGATAAAACTAATAGTAGGTCTACCAAAAATATAAAAAATAAAGAGGCCTACCCAGATTTTTGGTAGGACTACTCGTAGGCCTTACAAAAAAATATTAAAAATAAAGAGGCCTACCCAGGTTTTTGGTAGGACTACTCGTAGGCGTAACAAAAAATATAAAAAATAAATAAGTCTACCCACAGTTCTGGTAAGACTACTCATAGGCCTAAAAACATATTAAAAATAAATAGACCTATCCAGATTTTGAATAGGTCTCATAGTAGGCCTAACAAGTAAAGTTTTATAAAGTGAAAAAAAAAAAACAACACAAACTCCCCTGATATGTAAGGCAATGTGTGATAACTGGTAAATAAGTAGGGCTATTAAAGTAATATGTTGCAGTCTAGGGAGGTCATGTGTATGTAGGTCTATGGTAGGTTATCGTGCATTAGTTAGTGGCATATTTGTTAATGAGAGGTAAAATAAAATGACAAAACCAACAAAGAAAGATGATATTTATTTAGAAACATAAACACAAAAATATAAATAAATTAAATAAAAATAGCACATACAGTCAAACTAAAATCCTGCCTGAACTTGCCTTGCTCCTCCGTCGATCTCTGCTTCTTGAACAGGGACAGAGTGGGACCTCCCTGTCGGTAGAACAGAGAGGGAGAGGGGCTGCTTTGGACCGGGGTTTCTGGAGCGGGGTCTTTGGGTCCTCTTTGGCCCGCTTTGGCTAGTTTGGTTCTGGACTTCTCCTGACCTCCTTTGGCGACCACAGGGAACTTTTCAGCTGCTACAATCTAAAAGGAGAGAGGAAAATGAACTGAGGTTTGTCCTGCTTTGGTCCTGTTGTATCTGTGGTTGAGTTCTCTTTGGTTTAGTCCTGGTTTGGCCCCAGTTTGGTCCTGGTATAGTCAGGGTTTAGTATAGGTTTAGTTCTGGATTTTGAGCCAATTAAGTCCCAAACTTGATGATGTGAGTGCAGGTGTGATGAACTCAGCAGTAGGTGTAGTATGATTTTACCTATCTCTTTAACATTGTAGTCCTGGTTTAGTCCTGCTTTAGTCCTGGTTTAGTCCAGGCTTAGTCCAAGTTTAGTCCAAGTTTAGTCCAAGTTTTTATAGAATGTTGTTAACTTACTGTTATGGTATAAACAAAAATAATAATAAAATAAAACATATTCTTATATAAAACAAACTAAATTTAATTATTAAACACATAAGAAAAATGTCTAAAATTGCTCACCTCCTGTTCTGAGGGGTGGAAGTGCAATTTTAACTGTAGCCACTAGATGTCACCAAAGTACATCATATTCTTTTATCAGGAGCAATGCTTTTTCATGTTGCTTGATGAATAAAATGAATGCCGTACTGTGGAACATTCCAGACCCCAACCAATAGCATTTCCGTCAAGATAACATGGCAGATCCAAAGGTAAAAGTTACATAGTGCAGCTTTACAGTACTAAAATCTGATTAGGAAAAGGATGAGCTCAAATTGTATAGTTAGTCTAATTATTACACAGATGTGCGGTTCAATATCCACCTCCTGAAGTCTACTAGTATTGTGTACTTGGGCAAGACACATCCAGAGGTGGGCAGAGTAGCCAAAAAATGCTCAAGGAAGAGTAATATAATATAATATAGTAATCTAGAGTAAATAATATTTCTCCAGTAGAACAGGGTATTCCCAGGTTTGACTACCCCGAATTTAAGACTTTTTAAAGCCCTTTTTAAGACCACTTAAATGAAAATGAAGACCAACATCGCACCCATTATGAGAGCGAAAAACATCAGATCCAATTTTGATAATGACCATCCAACTAAAGAACTATATCTAAAATTTAAGAGCCACTGTGGATTAAACACAGACATTTTCCCATGATCCATCCAACGTCTTCTTCCACTCTGCTGATTGTTTACTCATTGCCGAGAGTGCCAGAAACCAAAGTATTGTTTGTGCATACTCCAAATTAGACGTTCGATCACTTTGGATGATTTCACATTGTTGTTTTTCCTTTCCTCCCTCCATTTAACATTGCACTGCAGCCTGGTTGAAAAATAGGCTTTGTGAAACCTTGTAGAAAAAAAATAAGATTTGGACAACATAATTTAAGACTTTTTAAGGCCTTAATAGTGTAGTGGTGAAATGACTTTGGAGTATTTGGAAGTACTACTCAAGTAAGAATAACTTAAAGACTGTCAACAAACAAACAATTTAATCATGCACAGAATCTGGTATTTTCAAAGGATAGACAATAAAAGAGAGAGAAAAACCACACTGAAGAAGCGCTGTAAGGAACACAAATATTATCATTTCATATTTTTACATGAAGCTTTTGTCACTTGTAGACTTACTCAGAGTGGGAAGAGAAAGCAAAAGTTTTACTCAAGTAAGAGTACTGTTACTTCAATACCTGCTAGAAAAGTACAAGTAAATGTAAGTTCTACCCACCTCTGGACACCTATTTTCCTTATATATATGAATGTATTGAATTAGACTTAGGTTTTACTATTATTTGAATCATTTGCTCACTCACCGGTGACTTCTCTTCTTTCCTCAAATGATCCTTATGGCTTAACGTCAGCCTCCAGTCCTTTTTCAACCACGTATTCGGATGCAGATTTCCACAACTCTTCAACGTTCCCAAGTCTTTAGGCGGAGAACTTTTTGCACTATTTTCCTCTGGCGTTGAAATGACACTAACAGGAATTTCATCCGTAGTACATGCTTTTACTTGTTGTCTATGCGATTTATCAAAGCTAAAAGAATCCAGTGAATCAACGGAAGAATAATTAGCAGCTGGAGAGTTGGGAGCAGATGCTAAACTTGACAAACTCGCTTCTAGGGCTAAAAATTTCATGCCAAAGCCCAAGTCCCGCCTCTTGGACTCATCTCTCAAATCTGATTGGCTGTTGGGCTGCTCGTCATCGTCTGTATTTGGATTATAAGGTTGTAACTTTCTTACATAAGTAACAGCGGGTTCTGATCTCCTCCTTGGTCTTTGTCGAGCCTCCAAAGACGGCGATCCCAAAGACGGAGACGACTCAACGTATTTATAGTCCTGTTTAGAGCTGTAGATGACGCTGTCGCCCCCTAGTTTCTCAATACGGTAGTGTCTTGTCGCTGTTTTGGAGGGGTTTTCTGAGTCGTTTTCTTGATCGTAGTCACTGTACGTCAGGATTGAATCGAGGCTGCCCTGGAGAGGCTGGTGGTGGTTGTCATGGTGATTGTCCACTTTGCGTTGAACGAAACTTGGGGAGCCACCGCTGCTGTTGTCCAGTTCGTTTTCCAAGCTGTCGTAGGACGAGTCGGTCAAAGGATACTGCCAAGACTCTGGATTTAAACAGAAGAATACAAGGATTTACTGTATAACAACAAATTATAAAAACATTGTGTACTTTTCATATTTTTCATATTTTTATACATTGTCACAGGGATCTTCTTATTATATATAGTCTGAAATAAGTTAAAAATGAAATAGAAAAATCTTTTAAAAATTATATGAAGTTGGGATAACTATTGTGCAGAGATAAACAGACATTATTTACCAATGCACCTTGGACTCCATGATGTAAAACAAACAATATATCAAACTAATATTATTTATACTAATTGAATAAAAAAATAATAATAATAAATCATAACATTTTACTACTCTACATGTGTGATGTGCTAAATATGAAGAGACATCAGACTAAAGAAGACATATCTAGGCTAGTGTTGTCATTAAACTAACATTTCAGACTCGATTCTGAAAAAAAAGGGTTGACATTTGACACCAATTTCGATACACAATGATAACAAAATAGATGTTTTTTTTTTTTTAAATATAATGCAATTTTAACACAAAATACTAGTAGTTCCTTAAAGGTGCATTGTGTAACTTTTCTGGTAGCGGGTCCATCAAATGCTTTTCTGCATGAAAATGTTAATACTTTGTCTGAAATGTTTCACAGTATGCTATTAAACAATTAAACATTTCTATCTTCATGGAGACTCAACCTTTTTCGTTTCACTTTCAGTACTTGTTTTATGGATTAGTACAGTTTGTAACCATGACCTGACCAAATCTAAATCTACTTGAAATAATATTTAAAGCAAAATGTAGTAAAACCTTTGTGGTACTAAATTACTGGTTTATATATAGGTGTATTTGTTTTTACCTGTCTCCTCCTCCTCTGTCGTCTGTCTCTGTGGCGGTCCTCCAAACATCGAGCAGGGGTCTTCTCCAAAAATCCCCTGACAGTGTTCGATCATGAACTTCACCAACTCACAGATCTGAAAACACACACACTCATTATATAGTTACAAATAGAAAATGTTAACACGTTTCTGGCCACCATTTTCCTTGGTGGCCAGTGCTGCAAAACTGATCTGAAAATAATTTGGTTGCTGATTACTGAAAAAGGAAACTCATAAAAAGCATGAATTCTACACACTAATTACATCTTCTGTTATTAAAGGTCTTATATTATGCAAAATTTACTCTTGTGAGCTTTAAGTCATGTTAGAATGTTGTTAATTGAACAAGAACATACCCGGAATGAAACAAAACACAACTCCAGGTATGTTTGTTGATGAGGAAACATTAAAACAGATCAGAAAAAAGCATAATATAGCATAATAATAGCATAATATTGATTTGTTTTGTCTTCGTTCACCACGTCTGACACCAGAAGAGGACGTCCTGTGCTCCTGTTTAACCTTTTAACCTTTTAACCACACAGTTCTATGGATTACACACATTTTGGCAAGGAAAAATATCTAAAGGTTACTAGGGCAACTGTAATCTAATTCTAGTTACATTACCGCGTTACTTCCATTACAGTAATCCCTTAGTAGTACTAGTTACTGCCAACACATGTGGTGAGCTCATTGTTTTCTTAATTAAGCAGATTTGGAGTTTTCTTTTAACAGGTTTAAGTGTCACAACTGCAAGATTATCCACACAGAACAACATTGTTTAACCAACTTACAATCCTCTGATACTTTTAAATTGAACTGTGATACTTAGGCTTAAAGGTACACTCGGTAACTTTCTCGTGGAAGGTGGAGGGGCTGCCTGCTTGTCTATCTATTAACTACATAGAGACAAGCGGCAGATGTCAACAAGTAAAAGGTCAGATCTGTGGAGAGGTGAGCACAATCGCGGTAAGAATGCATGCAAGGTGTTCACTAGCAATAATAAAACCTGTAATTGAATTGAAGTGTTTAATACAATACTGTGTAACATTCCAGATGAAGCAATAACATCTCCAAAAAGACTAGCAGGTTGCATAATACCCCACCAGAAAAGTTACTTAGTGCACCTTTACCAGACCTTCTATTAGACCTTTGTGACATTTTTTTATGATTGTATTTTATTTCTACTCTATGCACTTAAATTGTAGCCAGGCTGGCACCACCTAATGCCTTCGTTCATTTTCATTTCTCTCCAGCGACTAGGTCAGGAATCACAATACACTAGACGATTTGCAAGAACCTGGGAAGTTGTAGACCGCGCACCGGCCAATCAGTGAAGAGCTCAAGCGTCTGTCTGGGTCCGTTTTGTGGTATAACACAACAGTAAACAAAGTGGTTGAGATGGATGTAGACAAAGACAGACATTCTGTGTTGGCAACGATTCCCGAGATCGAGGATTTAAAGCCGGAACAAAGAGAATGTTTGGTGAATATTATCAAGAGGAAAGACGTTATTGCCCTTCTTCCTACGGGATTTGGCGCATTACATATGTCACGACCAAATAGCAGCAATTGGTTTAAAAAAAAAAAAGTACCCGCCTACTGTCAAGGGAACGAATCCTAATGCTGCAGACGGTTTCCACAAAGTGAAACCGTCTGATTAATCATTCTACTTAAATTGTCTCTCAGTGAAGTTATATTACTCTGAAAAAATAATACAGCCTGAATAAAAATGACAGAGCCCAGGGCAACTTCTGGAATAACTTGAATATTTTACGTTTAAAGTGTGCGGTTTGTACCTTCCTGGTTCCCTCCCCCTCCACCTCGGGGTTGTGTGCTGCCCCCGGTGGCCACAGAAGACTCGGAGCGATGCAGATGGACAGGTTCAAACTGGTCATCTGGTTTTCTGAGGCGTTGGTCTGGATGCCGTGGAGGACAGCCAGCAGGTGGCGCAACAGCATGGTGTTCTCCTTAGGCAGCCGGAGAAGGATCCTACAGTAAAAACAGTAAACGTGTTTAATAATTTATAGTTCAGGAGGGATATATTTTTACTATATTAACGTAGCTTTTACTGATAACAATTATAATGGAAACATGACAGGTGTTTTAGGAGCGTTTTTAGCGTCAACGAGGCGTGCTCCTTTTACAATTTTCTCCACATTCTGGGTTGGGATGGGATTTGATGTCCAGGCCGCGTGGTGTAATTCCCTCGTCCGGGCAACACAGGTTGAATCGGAGATGGTTACGATAGAACACGATAGAAACAATTATAATGACGATTTATTCTTAATTACACAAACATTAGACATGATGGCCTAGATGTTCTAATTTGGTGTTTGGGTTCTCAAAGATCTGCTGACTCTACCTGACCAGTCTTCCTGTTAAACTTCACTGAGACCTTTGACTGAGACACAAATTCCACTGAGATATGCTCTGGAAATGTTTGGAAAACAACTGCAACAGTTTACTGCAGCAAAACTAGAATTTCCCTCAGGATCAATAAAGTATCTCTCTCTCTTTATATTATCCAATCAGAAAGTTGAATCTCATTTGTGTTGCCAGTGTCAATGCTTGGTTGGTTTAAACCTAGAAGGACTCTCTCTGATCTGAACAGTCACTACCTAAACTCCAGCACCTTCAGCCAATCATGAATCAGTGCTAGTGCAGCCTCTGGAGGTTATTACCAGAAGTATGAGAAAAATCATTGTCTCTATATACAGGTTAATTAACACACTGGCAACCCAAGTTCAGTTGTGATTCTAATACTTTTTTAAAACTGTAAAAGCACAGAGTACACGCAGTTCCTTTAAATGTAGACACAGACCTTTGTACGTCGTGCACCTGCTCCTCTTCCTCATCGTCTTCCTCCAAAGCATCGAGCCACTCTTCATAGAGTTCACAACACAGCAGACTGTTCGGGATACTGCGCAAGAACTCCTGAAGACCACACAAGGTAAACACACACACATTTTAAACTATGTGAATACAAATTATAATGGATGTAATACAATGACTATGTTTAATCGCATCTTAATGTTGACAATGTAATTTTAGTAGGATTTATAAATCCCTATAGCAGCTTCACTGCCTCTGTGTTTTTGAATAGGAAAATCAAGTCCCTAATTATTATCCAAGCTTAAATACTAAATCAGAACTATGCAATATATATATTTAATAACTTTAGATTTTTAATGACCAAAATCTTCATAGTAAAAATGTATTATATCAAATCAAGGCTTACATTGGACTAAAAGCAGGTCTAGAGTAGGACTAAATTTCATTATCAGTAGTTAAATCTAACTAAACCTGGACTACCTCAGGTCTAAACTTGGACTAAACAAGAGCTAAACCAGGTCTAGACTAGGACTAAATTTCATTATCAGTAGTTAAAGTTAAACCTGGACTACCCCGGTCTAAACTTGGACTAAACAAGAGGTAAACCAGGTCTAAACAAGGACAAAATAAAAAACTAAGATTCTGAACTGACACTTTTTGCAATGTTTTTGACCCTGTGAATCGCCATAGACCATTAAATTACATTTGCAAGATTAATTTAGTTCTATTACATCACTTTTCTTAATATCCCAGTACGTTACATTTTGCCATCACTTATACCGTGTGCCCTAATAGTAATGGAGAGATCGTCAATAGCTTAGCATTAACAGCCTTTGTAATGTTACATAATGATGCGCGATACTATAGCCACTATAGAGTTTATGCATAAAGCGTGTGTGATCCGAGCAGGTAACAGGATTTAAATAAAGATTATAACAATGAGAAGCAGTGGACAGTCTGTACTGCTCACAACGGCTGAGTCAGAAAACATGTCATTAAAATACTGCTTACAGATGTGGAACTAAACCTCTATCATAGACTGTACATATAAATGAACAGAGCTAACCCACTCCACACAGGAAGTGAGCGTGGGGGCGCTTCTGGCTCCAATGACTCCAGCTCCAATTGACTTTACATTAAGAAACCATCAACTCTTTCTGTAACTGCTGCAGTGAGACTCGTCATTTTGGTTTTAAAAAATATTGGTATTAACCCGCTCTACATGATCCTGGTGTTTTTATTTTGATAGTTTGTCTGTAAAATAAATATCTATGGAAATTGGCTTCAAATTCTCCCCTATAACTGCTCTCCTGGAGCCAAACGCAGTGGGTGACGTCACACTCCCTTAGTTCACTTCAGAGTACGTATAAAGTAAGAACTATAAAAGCTTAAATGTACTAGTAAAAAACATTCTTGCTCGACTAAAAACGTGTCCTCACAATCAATTAGCCAATTAAAAAGGGGCGTGGCCACAACAATCAAAGCTATTATGATCTGATCATGTATATGACCCTGCATGAAAGTTCAAGCAAAAAACTATTAAGCAGATCTAAACTCATGATTCTTTCCCAAATGACAAGTGACAAATAAAAGTGTTGGCCGACTAAGGACACCACTGACTGATCGATGGACTAAAGGATTACAAGCCACATACATGTATTTATCAATGCATATGTCAAAATTCTTAAATCAAAATGTGGAAAAGGGAATGTGTTTGAAAATATATCCTGCAAACGACATCTGTCTGTTTACTAATATTATTACTATTACTATTACTACAGTTTAGAAAGACAACATGAAGTTTTTTTTTTGTTATGGTTTATTGTTCAAGTGCAGAACAGTTAGGGGAAGTGAGAGAGGCTCTACATGCACAGGAGCCTCCTGTACCACCTCCTCTTTTTCTTCTTCCGTTCCATCTCCAGCTCCTGCTCCAGCGCCGTGCTCTCCTCCTCCAGCAGGGAGCACTGTCTTTCTGTGCTCCTCTGCTTTTCCTCCAAGGCGCTGAATCTTTGGAGCAGTAGGGAGAGCTCTGTGTTCAGCTTCTCACGGGTGTTTACGAGAGCTGTTTTCTCTTCCTCTAAAGCAGTCTTCTTCTGATGTTCCTGCTCTACCTGCTGGTGTAGAGCCCTGTTCTTTACAGTCAGCAGGGAGAGCTCTTCCTGAGTTGTAGTCAGGGCGTGGCCCAGTGCGCCGCACCTGTCCACCAGCAGGGAGCGCTCTGCCTGGAGGTCTTTACTGGTCCTCAACATGGCGGCCTTCTCATTTTCTAACTGTGCTCTGCCATGTTTTTCCTCTTTCATTTCCTGCTCTAGAGCACACTTATTTTCAACGAGCAGGAAGTTGTTTTCCTCACACCTCCTCAGTTTTACCTGCACCGCATCACATGTCTCGACCTGCACCGAGAGCTGTAATTTTAGCTCATCGCAGGTCCTCAACAGGGCGGCCTTTTCATTTAGCAGGTCGTCTTTGTTCAGTTTGTCCTGCTCGACCTGCTGTTGGAGTGCAGTGGTCTTTGTCACTAGCAGGGAGCACTCTTTCTCTGAGGTCTTGAGTAGCTCCTCTAGTCCACTGCACTTCTCCTCCAGCTCAGCACTGATGTTTTTCTCCTGTTCCACCTCCTGCACCAGATCCTTCTTACGCATCTGGGTGCGCTGGTTCTCCAGCTTCTTTAAGAGCTTCTTCAGAGCCCCGTACCTTTTTTCAAGGATGGAGTGCTCTTCCTGAGATCTCCTCAGGCAGTCCTGCAGCTTCTCACAGGTCCCAAAAAGCTCTTGGACTTGTGTCTGCATGTGCTCTCGTTGCTGGAGCATCTTTGCCTTCTGCTCAGCCTGCTCTTTCTATTCATAAAATAGAAATAGAATGTGGATGGAACGTGTTACCAGGTGACGCCAGGTGTTGCCAGGTGCTGTCATGTGATCAGGTCAGGTCAGGTGATTCCATAGTTGCCATAGTTACATATGAATTCCAGTATATCACAGATTTATTTGAAAGTGTTTTTAAAGGTTAAATATGTATTTTTGTGGTGTTTGAAGCGTCTGTCGTCTCCACCTGCTTTTCTCTGTGCGGACAACCAACCTCACAATATGACCGACGCCACACAAAGAGAGTTCTCCTGCCAAGACCTGGATCTTTTCATTTTTAATATTTGGCAACATGTTTTTGTATGTGCTTATTCTACCTTATTTCTCTTTTTAAAAGTCTGTTCTTATACAGTGTGAGCTGCAGGAGGAGCTCTATCACAGAAAATTTCTTAGGTCTGCTTCAAGGTAATTCACCATCAATGAAATCTATTATTAATCTTAAATACTGCTAATATGTGAACATACGGCTGTCAGCAGTGCAACAGCAGAAGAGAACAGAAAGGCTGTAAGGTTAATCATAACCAAATCAAAATCGCAATTTTAAGTAAAGCATAATTATTTCTGAAAACCTTATAAAATGACTTAAACCAAAGATTCTCTAATAATTCACACCAAGTACCACCTAAGAAAAGATCTGGTCTTTCGAGTCCTTCAAGTACCATCAGATCTAAACCAGGTCTAAATCAGGTCTAAACCAGGACTATTGTAGGACAAATTTAGGGCTAAACCTTGTCTGTAACTGGACTACACGCTTGATATAGTAGTTCTAAACAGGACTAACTCAAAAGGACAAATATGTAGATTAAATTGAGAAAATATTTGTACTACACACTAATCCGTGTACGATCTGAAGGAGCTTGCGTACCACAACTTGAGAAACAGTAATATAGGCAGTTATGCTAAGAGGCTAACGAAATGCAACCAAAACCTTAAAGACGCCAGCGATGATGAACACGTGGTCTCTGGTCATTGGGAGTTGAAGTTCTCCGGCGTCTAAAGAATCTCGTAGTTCCCTCACGGCTCGAGCTCCGGCCGGGCGTCTGAATATTCCTCTAGTCCAACAGCCTTCATGATACAGGAACGTCAACATGTCCTGGAAAAGTAGAACAAAACTAAATAGTGTGTGCGTTATATTTTTGTCACATTTAATTCAGAAGTCAAATAGTTGGAGATAATTTTTTTCAAATTGTCAGTTAGTCAAATTATTATTTCTATTGCAAATTTAGATTTTCAAAATACACTTTTAACCACATAAATGCCAAAGTAGGGTGATAGGACCTTTCAAAATTGAGAATATTTAAGAATGTTTAAGTATTTAAGTGTTTTTTTTATGAAAATGACAAATTGTTTATTATTTTTTGACATTCTGATATAATAATGTTGCTTTCTTTGCTATAAAAAGGTCTATTTATATATGTTAACAAATACAAGTAACAAAATATGAATATTTTTTATTTTTTATAGTCATTGCGGTTCTAGACAAATTATTAAAAACTGACTTTTTAGAGCCTTTAATCTTAAAATAGTTGTTCCCTTTCTCATTTACCCTCTACTAATCTTTATTTTCATGTATTCAAGACATCACTGCTTCGATCAACCCACTGCTCTGTATTTATTTTATTCTCAAATTTAATTTTCTTAATCAAAGGATTCAGCAGTTTCACCTTTTTTCTTGCAATATAATAAGGTTTGTCTTGTTCCAGTAAAGCTATTGTAAAAGCCTTAAAAAGGGTTAAAATGAGAACAATGTGTAATGGCTGCATTTAATTATCGAGCATTTTTATCCTCTGTGAACCAGGAAGTAAGTCTGATGCCCTTAGCATGCTAGTTGTTGTTAACGTCCTGTTTATAGCCACTATTCTGAGTATTTTTCACCATTCAAAATTTAGATTATTTTGTTTGAATTCATTGCTATGGCAAAAGTACATATTTTTCATCCCTCACTTACAGTCACATGTTAATACTTTATTCATGGCTTCCTGTTATATTAAACCATATTTCTACCATTTTCCATTTAAAAGATGTCATATTTTAATTTAAATTGTTAATCGCTATGGCCTCTGATCCTAGATTCTCATCATTCTGAAACAGTAAATGATCTTACCAAGACGGGTTTGGGCAGCGTGTTCTCGATGCACACGGAGCTCAGTGGTTGTCCAAACAAACATCCTCTGGGGGCGCCACTGAGCGACGAGAGCTGAGCGGGGCCTCTCCAGAACGCCCACGTGATCAGAGAACGCCGACGCTTGAACGACTTCTGAGAGAAATCTACAAGGATTAAATAAACAGCAGTAATATATTTGAATTCATAATATTTTGCATAATTTTTGAATTTTTTTATTGATAAAACTACATAGGTTCAAAGGTCCATTGTGTAACTTTTCTGGTGAAGGGTCCGTTAAATGCTTTTCACCTTCGAGATATTATTACTTTGTCTGGAATGTTTCACAGTATGGCATTAAACCTTTCTATCTCCATGGAAACTCAACCAGACCAAGTTACAGGTCACATCTGTGGAGCTTCACAGTCAGAACGCCTGTTTTTCTAGGCATTTTTGAGCTATAAAACCACTTGTAATTGAATAAATGTAAGGTAGAGCTGTTTAAAGTCATGCTGTGGAACATTCCAGACAGAGCAATGACATCTCCATAGAAACAAGCAGGTGACGGACCCCCAACCAAAAAGCTACATAGTGCACCCTTAACTTTATTATGCTGTATCTATGAAATTCTTACCAAATTTTACTTGCAATCAGAAGTTTGTGCATACATATTACATATTTTTTTATTACAATTTTTGTTTTTGGACACTTAATCATCATAAAAAAAAACTCTTTACTCAATTCTTTAAACATGCTTTACTCAATAGATGCATGTTATCACATAGTAGTCCTTTTTAGAATTAAATGTGCACTGCGTAACTTTCCTTGTGTGATCTGTTGTTGCTTTGCCTGAAATGTTCCACAGTATTATATTAAACGTATGCATTTCTTTCCACAGATCCGACGTGTAACTTTGGCTGGCGGCACTTCCTAGTCTCCACGGAAACAGACAAGTACAAGGCAAAACTGTGCAACATTCTTCGCAAGTTACACAGTGCACCTTCAGTATAACATCATTTGTATATAATGTCTTCACGCATGTTAAGCTAAAAACTCCATTACCCACAATCCCACCTGTTGCCTCCTGGTGCTGCTGCATGACGTCACTGGGTCGCGGTTTGAGGATGAACTGGCACTGTTTATAGAGCAGCCTCTCCTCTTCTCTGCCCTCTCTCCCTTCTTTCGACTGTCGCACATGATTCATCTGGATGCTGAACGGAAACTCATGACCTAAAATAAAATTAAATGTACTTATCAAAGTGCCCTATTTGTTTGGATTAAGGTTATCAAAAGTAAAAAAAAAAAATCTGATGCTAGTCAATATTAAAACTAGTACTGAAACTAAAAAGAAAACCGAAAGAAAGAAAATCGAGTTTCGAAGTTACAGTATTTCATGATTTGTTGTAGGTTAGAAATATTTGTTGGGGTTTAGGTTTAGTTCCAAATTAGACCTGGTTCAGACCTGATTTAGACCTGGATTTGACTGCATGTATCAATTTTCTTTTAAAAATATGTCATCCTAATACTTTTGTCTTGATTTTGCACTATTTGTGTTTTAGGCAATAAGTATTTGTGAACTTAACTATCAAAATTATGCAGTTAAAATCTTCTCTTTAGTATACACAACTTGTCTAAAATACACAAGAGTTATGATTAAACTAATAATAACAACACCAATATTTTGATAAATGTAGGTATAAACAGTCAGAAAATTGTTCCAGGAATTGACAATAGTTAGAGGTATTCTGTTTTAACACTCATCGCTACACTTTTTTGTATTTTTGTACTTTTCTTAAATGTTTTTTCACCACAAACTGGCACTATACTGACCACAGGTACTATCCCACCAAACCAAGTCATAAAAAAAACATAAAAACCTGTCATAAACACTTGCACACCACATACAAACATATGAATAGTGCTGAAACTTGTGTGACTATTTCTTGTTTGCTTTAAGGCCTACCACAGCACGCGGTTTGAGAATGAATCGATCCACTGTTTGCACTCTAGCACTTAATCACGATGAACTAAATAGAGCAGTTTATGGGGGAAAGCTACCAAAGATGTACTGTTAATTTTGCATATTGAATTATAGTGAAACTATGATCAGATGACTTTATATTGGGATTTAAAGGAATAATAAATTATGCTTACCAATGAGAGGGTAAGGCGTGTTGTCTCGCTTGGAGATGACCCATAACTGGTAGTCTTTTACATTACCCTAAAAACAACACAAAAATACACAAAGTTCAGACCTATTTACAATTATAATGTTTTTGATTATGACTCAATATTGGGGACAATTTTGTTCCATGTATCGTATTTTTTTAACTATAAGTCGCACTTTTTTTCATTGTTTGGGTGTTCCTGCCACTTATATTCCGATGCGACTTATATATTAAAATTTTCACACTTGTGTATCAGTATCTGCTGCTCCTGTTACTCCTGTACCACTGTCACTTGGCTCTACTGTGCATGTCTCCTGCAGAAAGAGCTGCTGTCCTGCTGCAAGTAGTGAAATATTCAGCCTAAAATGGTAATTAAGCAGCAGAAAAAAACTTGTGAGGGACTGGAGAAAAGCGGGGATGAAGAACACAGCTTCACCGTAACCAGGAGGGTGCACCACGCAGCTTTCCTGGAAGTCACTGGATGGATCGACAAAGCCTGGACTTCAGTGACAACCAAAACCATCCTGTCGGGATTCAGAAAGGCCGGAATAATTCTAACTGGAACTGATGCTGTCTGACAACAGCTACACAGAAGAGGAAGAGGCACTATGTTTACCTCCAGAGGTCGTGGCGTTGCTCAGAAGTGACTCAGAGGATGAAGAATTGAATGGATTTAGTGATTTGGAGTGAGATGGAGAGTTTGTTAAACTTGTTCTGTTCTGTTGTTTATGCTATAGTTATCTGAAGGACTGTTTATATGTGACGTTAACAGCCTGTTGCTTTCTGTTCTATTGTTCTTACTTGACTTTCAAGATGAAATGTGAGTTCCTGGTCTCTGTTTTTATAAACTACATTTCCCCCCAAAAAAGTGACTTATAGACCGGAGCAACATATAGTCCAAAAAATACGGTAGTTGTAATGTTTGTAACAGTCTATTAAGTACATGATTAAGAACATGATTGAAGAAAATACATTTCTACTCTTACAACTAGTACTACTACTATTATGATTGAGAATCAGGTAGTCTGTAGTTAGCATGCTAGTTCTTTACCGTCACAGCAGCACTCCACTCTGGTCTCTGAAAGTGAAAAGTGCTTATAAACTCATTGTGGTGAATAACTCTGAAGTTACAAGGTAAGAGAGGAATAACTTTGGACCATTGCAAACTCTTTAAAATTAGCTAGTTTTGTATTGTCACATTTTTAAGAATGGAAAACTTAAGTACAGCTAAATCACTTTATTTGCAATATTGACAATACTCCATCCTAAATCCTGTGAATACCCAATATAATATAGATGTTAAAGGTGCATTATGTAACTGGAGGGTCCGTCACCTGCTTGTCTCCATGGAGATGTTATTACTTTGCCTGGAATGTTCCATGGTATGACATTAAACACATCTGTCTACCTTTTATTCATTATGGGTGTTTCTATTGCTTAAAAATACAATAATTCCCTCTGTGAATAGGGTCGCCTCTCCACTAACCTGACCTGTAATGCAGACTGTAGTTGTCTTAGTAGAGAAAGACAGGTTTAATCTCTACTTTGGAACATTCTACACAAAGAATAATGTATCCATGAAAACAAGCAGGTGAGACCATCCACTAGAAAATTTATGCAGTGCACCTTTAAATACAAACATTTTAATTTCTCTTTGTGGTGATATAAAGTAGTAATAATAACTTACGATGATGCCAAACTGCTGCAGGGCCAATCGGATCACCTCATTGGTCGAATCCGAGTTACTAACAGGAAGTGTTTTAGTCTAAGGAGAATAAAAACAATGTCAGATGTTAATGTAGTGTAATATTACTGCATTTCAAAGGGGCAAATATGAGTGGTTCTGAAACTATTTAAAACTTCTACTCGTATCACTGGAAGTACGCAAGGAAGGAAGGATGCAAAAAAGTCACAAAACAAGGAAGGAAGGAAGCAAGGATGCAAGGACACCAGGAAATAATGATGCAAGGACACAAGTAAACAAGAAAGGAAAGATGCAAGGAAGGAAGGATGTGAGGAAGGGAGGATGCATGGAAGGAAGGATGCAAGGACACAAGGATGGAATGAGGCAAACAAGGAAGGATGCGAGGAAGGAAGGACACAAGAAAAGAAGAATGAAAGGAAGGAAGCAAGAATGCAAGAATGCATGGAAGGATGAAAGGACACAAGGAAGGAGGAGGCAAGGACGCAAGGAAGGAAGGAAGCAAGAATGCAAGGAAACAAGGAAGGACTCAAGGAAGGAAGGATGGAAGTACACAAGGAAGCAAGGACACAAGGAAGGAAGGATTCAAGGAAGAAAGAATGCAAGGAAGCAAAGACACAAGGAAGGAAGGCTGAAGGGAGGAAGCAAGGACGCAAGAATGCAAGGAATGACGCAAGGAAGGAAGGATGGAAGTACACAAGGAAGGAAGGATGCAAACAAGGAAGGATGCAAGGAAGAAAGGACACAAGAAAAGAAGAATGCAAGGAAGGATGCAAGGACACAAGGAAGGAAAGATGCAAGGAAGGAAGGTCACAAGGAAGCAAGGACGTAAGGAAGGAAGGATCTCTACCAGTATAGTTGTACCCGAACCACTGTATTAAATAATAACCTCCAAAATGTCCTTTTTATGTCTAATATTTAGTTACTTAAACTAAAATAAAATCAAACTTACAACAGCAAATGTATTGATCCCTTTTCCATAAACTCTTAAAGGGATGGTTTTGGGTTCTTCCATTTCTTTCTCTTCTTTTATCCGACTAGAAGGAAACAAGAAATACTGTCAACATGTAAAAGCTCCGAAGTAAAACTATAAATATATAATTTATTTATGTTTACCTTTTGAGAAGTGACAACCATTTCTCCTTTTGTTCCGCTGAGCTGTGAATAAACATGTTTCGTTTAGTTGTAGCAGAGGGCTTGTTTTGGGTGCAAAAGTTCAATTTTACGTCAGTACAACAAGATTCAGCGTTGAGAGTTCAAACAAAAACTGACCGAGCACATCCATACAGGAACTCAATCAAACTTTAACTTTTAGACTAGTCTTGACAACTTATAAAAATGGTATTTTCTAGATAAACCTGATGGAAATTATATGAAAAAATATATTATCAATGGATGAAGCCAATGTATTCTTTTTGTGAATGAAAATGAATTAAAAAATAGTTTAGATTTAATTGGAAATCTGAAAATAAATTATGCTTAAATATTTCAGAGTAATGAAATTAAGAGTACTGTCAAAATACCGGATAAGTATTGATAAGTGTAGTATCTATAAATCCTTATAAATCAATCAATAAACCATATGGAGTCTAAAATAATTTCTACTTTGGACAACTACTTGTAATAAATTAATTGTATACCCACCCAAATCCGTGTGTCATTCATTCATTTGTTTTTCAGAATAAAACCAAAAATAAGAAAACGAAAAAACAGCTATTTTCTTCATTATTTGTCTCCAATACCAAAATGAAAAAAACAGGTAACGATTCATTTTTTTATTTTGTGTTTAAATGAATAATGGAAAAAACAGATAAAGGGCATTTCCTGTTTCCGTGACTTAAACTGTGATGCCGGACTTTTGCGCCGCATATGGACTGAACCAGGACTTAACCAGGACTAAACAGTTTTCAGTCCTGGTCTGGTCCTGGTCTCAGTCCCTGTCTGGTCCCAGTCTCAGTCCCGGTCTGGTCCTGGTCTGGTCCTGGCCTCAGTCCTGGTCTGGTCCTGGTCTCAGTCCTAGTCTCAGTCCCGGTTTGGTTCCAGTCTGGTCCCGGACCTGGTTCAGTCCTGGTTCAGTCCGGCACCGCAGTTTAAGTCACGGAAACGAGAAACGGTCGTTATTTGTTTATTCCATTATTCATTTAAACACAAAAATCAAAAACTGAAAAAACAAATTGTTATCTGTTTTTTAAATTTTGGTTTGGGAGACAAATAATGAAGAAAATTGTTTTCGTTTTCTTATTTTTGGTTTTATATTGAAAAACAAATGAACGAATGATACACAGATTCACCCATATTGTTTTGTAATTTAAATGTTTATGTTTTTTGTTTTTGTTTTTAAATAATGTAACACAAACTCAAAGAATCATACCCAAAGAATTACAACAGCTGTAGATGAATTCATAGGTTTCAACTATTTGTTCAACTTCATGTTATATGCAATATTTTGAGGAGTTTTTCCTCATCGTAAAAATCGTTAATCGCTATAGCAACAGTCCAAATTTCTCAGCATTCTGAAACCAACAAATACAAGACCATCTCCACCGCTGAACCTCCCCCGCATTCCCTCATACGGATCTCTAAACATGAACTATATTTACACACAAACACTCGGAGCGTTTCTAGGTGCAGGTGGGTGGTTGCTTGTTACCCAAACACGGCCACGCAGTTGGACGTCGGCCAGCCCAAAACGAAGCTCCGTTCTGGGTATGTGGTCCCCTCGCACACCTCCTCCAGACATCCAGCCGTCCACATCTCACACAGAAGGACCTGCGCCTTCTGCTTGAACTGGTTTGAAGACCTGCAAACATGAACACATTATCATAACTGTTCATTTATCTCTTAATATTGTGTTATTTTCTGATCTACTGTATGTTATAATGTCGTTTCTTCATCACAAACAGACCTGGAGTTGTGTTTTGTTTTATTCACACATGTTTAAAAACAAAAACTCTGTATATTTATATTGAAATCTCTTGAATAATCGTCATTTTTTTAGTTACACGATGCATTTATTCAACATTTCTCAGTTTTGTTTTTTGGGGGTTTTTACTCAGCTTTTTGTGTTTATTTAAATATTTTATCCTGACAATGCTGATATTTAGAAGTTGTTATTAAATAAAGTTTGGAAAAAAAAAACAATACTCTCTCAAAAAAACTTTGGTATTGGTAATTTACGCAAAACTTTCAAATTGAAAATAAAAACAGGCTACAAATATGAACCTTATAGCAGTTTTGCGATATATAAAACATAAAATGAATAAAATATACTTTGAACATGAAATAAGACATAGAAAAACATAAATGTATCCAAAATAAATTATATATACAGCTGTTCTACAATCTCTACATTTAAAAAATAAAATAAATATAGATAAATACAGATCGTTCTGTCTCTGGAGCCGTTTTCCATCGGATTAGTGTGGACGAACACTGGATCCGCAACGAAAACAACTAAAATACGTACTAGTGTGGATGAGGCCTTAGTTCATAAGAAGGATCCACATTAAGGGCATTAGTTTGTTTCTTCTTAATTAATGCTCTTACTCTCACTCTAATCCTAACACCTTAACTAAGTAGGTACTAAGCCTGAATTACACTCATTAAACTGTTTCTTCATTATGAGTTAAAGGCACTGAACCTGATTTTTATTGCTTTTAAAAACATGAAAAAACTGAATAAATTAATTTTAAACAGTTTGCAGTGGTCCAAAGTTATTCCTCACTTACCTCAGAACATCCTAATTATTCACCACGATGAGTCACAATTCTCAGAGACCAAAGCGGAGTTTTGCCATCACTAGCATGTTAACAGCACACTTCCTGATACTAAGACATACTTTATAGTTAGATGTGGACTTATTTTGACCTCAAGATGTTGCTTATACAATATAACTGTACTGGGGTAAAAAAAATTGCTCAAATACGTAGGAGAAAAATCAGGTACAGGGCCTTTAAAGTTAAAATTAATTGTACTCTGGTTTTGGTCTTGTTTTAGTTGTGGTCTAGTCCAGGTTTAGGTTCAACTTAAATCCTAGTTTAGTTCTAATATTGGTGTATCTGTGCTGTCAAATCATTACAAAAAAATCTAACTACATTTTTGAACATGACTTACTTTGCTTTAGCTATGACCAGGACATCCGTGAAGAGGAAGAGGTGGCGGTCTTGGGTTTGCAGTCCTGTTTTGAGCTGAGCGTGTCCGTGGAGGAGGAACGAGCGCTCACCGCCGCTTAAAAAGGACTGGACAAAAGCGCTGGTCTCTGGACAAATGGACACCACGAAACTCTCCCTGGAAAACAGCAACAAAATGCAAACAATTATGAAACTAAATTATTTTTGAAGTTCCAGAATTTCCTCCACAAACAACAAAATTTCCTGCTAACCCTGTAATTTAGATTTGTTATGAAATATGATTCTTATATTAGTTTGTCCGTTCAGATTTCAGTATTTTTGCCAATTACTCTGAACGTCTTTAGAATGTGAACTTTGAACCAAATTGTATTATTAAAACAAAAATGTGAATGGTTCATGTTCTGTTGTTCTGGATGGGACAAAATTTCACGCTGCAAGATCTCGCGAGAAAAAATTACCACGAGATTTTGCACACAAGTTGAAAATGATCTTGTGAGATTTTTTTCCCATGTTTTTACGTTTGGGATTAGATAACAAAACAAAGTACTTTTGAGTTACATTTTTTGAGAAGCTGTAGTCCCAAAAAGCACTGCTACAATGACAGCAAAAATATTAAATAAAGTAAATCAAAAATGGTGAGGCCAAAATTGGGATCTGGATTGCACAATTTATTTATTATAAAGAATATCAAAATCTCATCTTGTCTCGTTCTCATAGATCCAATCTCATGCCTCGTCTCGTTTTGTGGAAATTATATCTTGTCCCAGCCCTTCTTAGTGAACTATTCAATCCGTGAAATAGTACTACAATACTTTAAAAAGTATAGGACTGTCAATTCAATATAACACTTAAAACATTTGCTATAGCCTACTACTACTACTACTACTACTACTACTACTACTACTACTAAAATATTACAGTATTTTACCACCAGAATTACCCATAAAGGAAAAGTATAGTTGGCAAAGTCAGTTTTGTATCTCCATGGCAACCCACATAAACAATACTAACTTAATTAAATAGCCAATGAAATTAATGCTTCAATCAGGGACATTTTGCTGCTAATTATTCTCAGTATGTGACCTATTATAGACTCCTCTCTTATCCGCTGCACCTTGAATGTTTTGGATAGCGGTATGCAGTCTTGTTTTTAATATATTTTTAGTAGCGTGTTGTGTAACCAAATAGAGGCTTAATATCTGACTTGACCATATGTTCCTGGTTTATTTCCTGACTGCTAAAAGCTAAAATCCCTAAAACATTTTTCCGTGTGACGAATTTGCATGAACCATGTGATGTACTCTGGATTTAATAGTTTGGCAAAGCACAGAATATGCTGAAATGACCTTAGTTCAACTTTACAATTCTATTATATCTGTAATAAATTAATTTAAACCTGACCTGGGACTTGAGTAAAATTTTCTGCTTTTTTGCCAAGCTCTGTTTATTACCCAAATAGCTGCTAATATAAAAGTAAAATAAATTGTGATCATTCATGTAGCAATTTTGAGGCAATTGCAGGATTGAACAACACTCTGTAGGCCAATATTATTTAATACTAGGAATGTAATGATAACCAAAATACCGCAATATCGTATCGTCAAAGTTCTGACAATAATATTGTGGACCATCAAATTATAAGTCTGAATTAAGAGTTACGGTGCAGCAATAGCTAAAAAAAGACAGAGGGAACTACATAGACCATGATCCTTTGCTCCATTTTGTGGAGACTACAAAAAGAAATAACAATTCTAAGCACTTTTAAGTCTTAGTTCTTTGGATTAAGTCTTGTCAAGGTATTTTAGGAGAAAAAAGTGGCATATTAACAGTTTTAGTTATTTAGCCTCCACAAAATATCGCAATAAATATTGTACTGTGAGATTTTGGATATTGTTACATCCCTAATTGTGAGGCTCCCCATATCGAGAGCTTTCCCACGATATCGCAAGAAATATCGTATCATGAGACTTGGACATCGTTATACCCCTATTAAATATAGACGGGGGCAATTAATGAATATATAGTATGTAACATTTTTGCCAACTTTACTACACTGAAAAACCGTACCCTTACTGTGAGCAGGCTTGCATCTCCACAAACCTGACTCTTGGCCTGAAGGATGGCCCCTTCCCCTGTTTGTTTCCATGGAAATGTTGTGGCTATAATGTTCCACAGTATGACCTAAAATCTAAAGGTGTGTTTTGTAAACTTTCTTTCCAAAGTGTAGATTTAAAACTTTTATTAAATTAAGCAGGTGGTGTTGGGGCTGCTTGATTATGGAAAAAATCATTATCACGATTATTTTCGTCAATATTGAAATCACGATTATTCTAATTATTATTTTTTTTAGTTACAGGATACACTTATTAAGCATTTCTCTCTCTCTCTTTCTCAAAAAAACAAAAACAAAACCCAAAACACTCGCACTATTTACGCAAAACTTTCAAATTGAAAATAAATATAAGCTACAAATATGTACCTCATTTTTGCACAGTTTTGCGATGTATAAAACATAAAATGAATACAATATACTTTGAACATGAAATAAGGCATAGAAAAACATAAATGTATCCAAAAAGAAACTATATATCCAGCTGTTCTACAATCTCTATATTTAAAAAAAATAAATATACTTACTTATTTATATTTAAAAATTTGTTAAGCTTTACTCATTTCAACTCGATTATATGAATTTGGAAATTGTTTGACACACAAATCAAAATTGCGATCAAAATTCAATTAATTGCACAGCCTTAGGTGACATGCCATCTCCTGAAAATTACATACTGTAGCTTTAAATGTAATATTTGTTATTTCTACCATCTGTGTCTAACCCAAATAACTTGCTAATTGTGTCAAACAGTTATTCTGATTCAGTTGTGGTAAACTTAGCCGTCCTGGTGCCTCTTATAGTCGGCTCCTGTACCTGTTAAAGTGACAGTTACAGCTTGAGCTAAGACGATGCTAAACCCTGGTGTGTTAAGTCCATTGTTCCTCGGTCACACCCAGAGGACCTTTTTAATGGGGTGACACTTTCTCCTGTGACCCGGGCCATATGTTCAACACGAATGTGAAACTGATTAGGCCAAGTACGAACCGCGCGCTCCATTAATCCGCAGGCCTTTTCTGCCACATGTATGTGGACCGCATCTCGACTCTTTTCTGGATACACCAATAATGCCGTCCATAAACCCCGACCTATGCTAAATAAGCACTTACCTCACTATCTCCCGCCAGTTTCCGTGTATGCCGCGTCGACGACAGCCTATGATGTGCTCCTGGGACCTGGGCAATTTTACGCTCCTTATCATTACTTTGTGAAGGAACTAACTCTACGGTCACTGCACCTACATACCCGGCCTGTTTTTAGAAAACGCCAAACATATCCTTATTCCGATTTCCTGACTACCTACCCGCGTGCGCATACGAACTAAAGCGACGCATTTCTAACTCTCCTGTGGATGAACCGGGAATTTCGCTATGCGGTACTTCCGCGCATATCCATCTACAGATCCGTAGTTAAATGGCGAAGCACTCAACATCCCCGTACATGCTGAGTCCATTCCTTGTTTAACATTTCTATTTCCCTCCATTGCGTCTTTCTCAGGCTCTTCCCTCCTTGCGCACACAAAGGAGTTCGTGTGTATTAATAGAAAGCTACACACTAATAGTCTGGGTGTACGGAACAGCGAGGGATTAACAGCGTTCCGAACTGAACGCAGAGGAGAGACAGAGGAAGTTAGACGTCGTGAGAGCCTCCCCGCAGCGTACAGGCACGTATATTGCGGTCCAGAGGGCATTTTGGTAAGTTATAGTTGGAAGGAATCCACACAGTATACCAATGACCACAAGTCCAAAAACACAATCAATAGCACTGCATGCAGAAGTTAATCAACGACGGCCAATTAGATCTGCTACCATTTATTCACGTGTCTACACAGCAAACAAATGGCCATGATGGATATCCTCACTCAGCAACATACTTTGATATATACTCATTACAACACAAATATATATATATATATATAATACAAATAATAATATGCTTTAGTGATTTCATAATTATTAATAAGCAATATTTTGGTTATATTAAATTATACTAAATGAAATAAACACTAAACAAATTACATTCAATTTATCTATATATTATATAATGTAATTTATAATTACATATGATATATTATTGTTATATAATATATATACCTTTAATGAATATCCATTATATACACTTTTCTAAACACTCAGACGCTGTACAACAGGTATTTAAGAGCCATACTAAGTATAATAAGTAGTAGAAACAAGTAGTTAGCTAAAAGCTATGTAAATCTACGACAGAGATGCATAGAGACGCCAAGTCATAAGGCAGTGTGGGCCTAATAAAAAGTACGTGTAGAGCCACAATATAAAAGTAATAGATGGGTTATTTGTTGGCAGTTTATTTTCTGTTTGCCGATCTATGGAATAGTAGAGAATATCTATAAGATATAAAAGTAAATCGATTATATCAATCGACTTACCTCACAATACAGGTGATGCATATGCTGTTGTGACACCTTGATTCCCCACTCTGAGGGCACGACAACTAATTGCAACCCCCCTTGCCCCAAGTGTCTGCTTGTTACCTATGGATCTACATCATGTTAAAAAAAAAAATAGAACTGAAAAACTCTAGGTTCGTTGCGTCTGATCTAGCTTTATCATCAGACATTCACAAGTATTCTTATGCTGTAATATAAACTGTAGGCTCTTCACTCCCATCAATCTAAGGTAGACTTCTCCAACAGCGGAACCTTACTTGAGATCGCCTGGGTTGGAGAAAGGATTTTTCTCATAGATAGCATAGTCTACTCACTATCTCATCCACACAACAAACCTCTCTATCGTCTAACAGGTCTCCCAAAATGAGAGTCTGTGAATAACTTGAAGACTAAACCTTCTATGGCGAATATCGTGTTAAGAATAGACTGTGTTATGGCACTTAGAAAAAAAAAGCTGTAGCACTGTGAATTTTTTACCATTATTACCTCTAATAGACCATATATAAACTATCCCAATGCCTATTTACTATCTATGAACGTCGAACAACATCACAGCTTTACTATCTCAGATGCTCAATATTACAAAAAACATCATTATCATTCCAGTTTACTGTGATAC